TATATATATATATATATATATATATATATATATATATGTACGCAGAGTACATTTTGTTTTTAATATTTCTAAATTTTTATATTCATTAGCATATATTTTACATTTACTTCTCATTATTTAATTAATTACATTTTGAGCATTAGATCATTTAAATAAGCATTCCATGTTATAAATTAAAGATACCCGCAAATAGATAATATTAATTTATTCAATCTTTATTATCAAATTCTGTTTTAATCATATTAATAAAGTAATTAATTTTTTTTTTTATTAAAATTTAATTACAAATTATTTATAAATATATTTGTGCATATATATAAACGCGGACAATATAAATTGAAATGTATATATATAACATAACATAATAAAATATAATAATACATAACATTTTTATAAGTATACAATATGATTTATTTAAATTACAGAATTAAATTCGTAATGGCACCAAATATTACTAGTGCACCAACTGGAGTACTTTTTGAAGAAGAAACTCTTGAAAATTTACCAAGGCATCAATTGGTTAATGAAGAAACGAAAGAGAAAATTGAATATAAATTGCAAATTGTTTGGAAGAATGTATTTATATTTCTTTTTCTTCATATTGGAGCACTGTATGGAATCTACCTTATTTTTACATCAGCTAAAATTGCTACAACAATATTTGGTATTCCAATATATTCTTTTTACAAATCTTTTTGCATAAATAATATCTCAAATATATTTAAATTATCGATTAATCAATTAATAAATATAAAAAATGAAAATAAAATTAGATGATAAATTAGATGCTAAAATGCTATTTAGTTATAGTTTTTAAAACCCTTTAGATAAGACAGACCATTCTATAAATAATTTATGTTATGTTTTTCAGCATTTCTTTTATATCAAGCTAGTGGAATTGGAATTACAGCAGGTGCACATAGGCTTTGGTCACACAGATCATACAAAGCTACTTGGCAACTACGTCTTTTATTAATTATCCTTAACACACTTGCTTTTCAGGTATATTGCAATTGTAATTGTAATTTCCAACATAAACATTTAATTTAATTTATAGTTATAATTTTTACATTATATAATATATAAAGAATCTAGTGTTTGCACTCTTTTTTACTCAAACTTTTTCTTTTTTTTTTTTTTTTTTATAAAATGTCATTTTACGTATAATTTAAACAGGACAGATACAGATTAGTCTTCTACTGCAGAAACTTTTAAGTAAGAATGAATAAAAGAATTTGTGAATAAAAACAAAATTTTTTAATTTGACTATTAGCAAATTATTTAGGATTTAATTAAACCACTAATTTTTAAAATTAAAATTAAGAATTTTTTAATGTATAATATATTAATTTTATTATAGTATATATTGAATAAGTAAAATAATTTTAGGATGCAGCTGTAGATTGGGCAAGAGATCACAGAATGCACCATAAATATAGTGAAACTGATGCTGATCCACACAATGCAACGAGAGGTTTCTTTTTCTCACACGTCGGATGGTTACTTTGTCGAAAACATCCTCAAATCAAAGAGAAAGGCAAAGGGATTGATCTATCCGATCTTAAGAGCGATCCGATTCTGAAATTTCAAAAGAGGTGCGCTTAAATACAAATTTTAGCATACAAAAAGATTGTCTTCATTAGCATTTTATTTAATGAATAGCGTACATTTATATTTATACACATGTATTCGTATATTTTAATGAATGGTATTAAAATATTTACTACTCAATTGATTTAATTAAATACATTATTTTTATATACAATTAAATATTATATATATTTAAATTTTATATACAATTAAATGCAATAGTAACTATATTATTGATTAAATTTAAATTTTGTATATGTTCGTTATAAAGAGTGTTTGAATATAAGTTATGCTACACCAATATAAGTTTGATATTTATTATTTTATTAATTTTCTTATGAAAGAATGTTTTTCTTTTAATAATTGCTTCTTATTTTAAAAATAACGAAATAAGTCTATATATATTCACATAAAAAGGCATAATTTAACTGTAGACAAAAATAATGTTATTATAAAAAGTTATTAATTAGTATATATATAAATATATATAAGTATATTTTATAAATTTGATCTGAACAATGAATTTCTATTATTTGTTAAGTTCACTATATTATGAATAAACATTTTCATTTTTATAAATTAAGCAATTTATATTTATTCAGTTTTATTTAGTATAAAAGTTATATTAATTTTGCCTATGTTCATTTAACTATCATCATGTAAAATTGTTTTCAATAATAGATTATTACAGTTTATTATTAATTATCATATTAAATTTAAAATACATTAAATATTAAATTTAACAATTATCGATTATTTCATTAAAAAATTAATTAAATAATAATCATAGACAAGTGTGTTTTTGGAAATAATTGGAACTTTCAAAATTTTAGGTACTATATTTATCTCATGCCACTGGTTTGCTTTTTTATTCCTATGGTGATTCCTGTTTATTTTTGGAGTGAAACTTGGGCAAACGCTTATTTTATTCCAACTATTCTGCGGTATACATTTACCTTGAATATGACATGGTTAGTAAATTCTGCAGCTCACTTATTTGGAAGAAAACCGTACGACCAGTGAGTTTCAGTATAATTTATTTTTGAAACCTTTTAATTTCATTGATAAAATAATAAATATGATTATTATTTTTTTTTATAGATATATAAATCCCTCAGAAAATAAAGGTGTTGCAATAATGGCCCTTGGTGAAGGATGGCATAATTATCACCATGTCTTTCCTTGGGATTACAAAACATCTGAACTGGGAAACTACGCATTTAATTTTACTACAGCCTTTATTGACTTTTTCTCTCGCATTGGATGGGCGTACGATCTTAAAACAGCTTCAATTGATATGGTTAAAAAAAGAGTCGAAAGAACTGGAGACGGCACACATGAAGTTTGGGGTTGGGGTGATAAAGATCAAACACAAGAGGAACGAGAAGCTGCAATAATTATCAATCATGTCAAAGACCATTAAAACTACAACTGTAAAAATTTATATAAAATGAAGTAGCTTAATGTACATCTTTATATGCCTTCCATCGTTCATAAAATTTAATGAGTGACGTTAACTGAGACTGGACTGTTGCAACACTAGTCGAACAAAAATAATTCTCAATCAGAATTTTTTATTTCAATTATATTATAAAAGCGTTTCGGGCACTATCAGTTTTAATAAGATCTATTTCATATAGTCAATTGGCAAATATAATTTAAAACTAAATAATATCTCAAAAACAACTGCAGCTACTATAAGTGAATTGCTTGAGCCTAATTAAATATTTATTAGGTGAAGGAGTTTATTTATTTTATTTAATTATTTTATTTACACTATATTTTATTGAATTATAACTACAGGAATTTTCTCAAACTATAATAGATTTTTTATAAATAATTACTTTCCGAGTTGAATATTGTAAATCCATTATTAAAAACTACTTTTTATACACATTCTTTTTAAAATATAATGAATACGATTTTTTTAAAGCTTAATATAATAGATTTCTATTATTTTCAGTAAATGAATTATTAGAATATTTTCACATTGTTTCTTGATTTAACTATTGGCAACAACATTCTTTCATGGTAGTAATAATTAATCTTCTAAATTTTATGAAAATTATTGGAAAAAATTGTGTAAGTAATTTATAACTGATTATCACTAACATTATTTTTAATTTTTTCTTATAAAATTATCCTCGTATGCAGCACGAAATGAGTTAGTTCCTACAGTGCTAATTCCCTAATAGAACATTTTTCTAGCCATTAAGTTAATCTGTGAGCTGAACATATATTTAATATATAAGTAACTTAATATTTTGTATTGCAGAAAAATTTATTGCATCATACAAAAATTAACCATTCTTTCTATTCTGAAGATAAATCGAAATAATTTAAAATGACTACCTGGTACCTGTATTAAAGCATCAAACATTGTTTCTCAAAAAAACAATATATTGCACACTATAGCTAGCATACCAGTAAGCTATGAGAAACATACATCTTTAAATGCGAAATACAAAACTTAGATATATATTTGTGAATATTTAAATAACATATATATCATTATAAATACATAAGGACAAACATCTGTGAAATTAATAATCTTGCAGTATGCTGTAACTATTAGTAAATCAATTGTTTGTATACCAAATTTTGCAAACGCTGCAGTGCGGTGTCGACAAAATCCCAAAATTTATTTGTAATTTTTTAAATAATTATTCTTACTGCAAATGTGATTTACAAACTCAAATTGTGAAATTACATAACAGTATAAAGCGTGATATTATATTGATGAATCAACATCTAAGATAGCCTAATAAGGTTCCACGTAGCAAAAAATACCCTACGTGAATGTGTAATGCGTTGATTATTAACGTTTAATATTTATTATATATATTAAAATAAACGCTAGTTTACATTTTGTTTTATTCTAGTGTCTGAAAACGCCTTTGCACTAAATATTAAACGTATCTGTAAGAATATTTAGAACAATTACACATTGTAATTGGATTTTTTTATGCATGTATTAATACTTAAATTTATTGATAAAAATATAATTTTTAATATTACTTATCAAGTTATAAATGATATTTTCACATTAACGTATAAAAATAATTCTGTTTTTAGATTATAAAAAAAAATGATAATTATTAAAAATATTTTCTCAACAACTTTTATAAATATAATATAAATTAAATTTAGCCTAAAAGAATCCAAAAACTATCCTAAATTGAATTTTATTCATGGTAGCTGAGTGTTGCTATATTACATAAAAATATTCGATGTAGGATCTTACGTCGATAATTTAGTATTTTTAATAAAGTATAAGATAATGAAAAAAATTAATATTTTATTATGAATATAGAATATTACAATAAATATTCTTTTGTTTTTAAATACATAACAGCTAAAATTATTTTTTACGTTATACAATACATTATAAAATGAAACGCATATCTTTTCAACATGATGTATATTCTATAGAATTTCATTATCTTACTTTTCAAATTATAATTAAATTCTTTTCAAGATTTGTTTAAATTATTATGTGCTATATAATGTATATTAATTTTGTACAATATTTTATTAAAAATAGAAAAAATATTCTACTGTAACATGTTTTATTATTAGTCTTAAATTGTGTGTTAATATTATTTTGTAGAAATATTTTTAGTTACAATTCAACTTAAATAGTATGTTTAAATTAAAAGTTTAAGACAAATATGTAAGGAAAATATTAATTTAAAATTAATAATATATTTGGGATTTTTCTGTTATTTTGGAAAAATAGATATAAAGTTAAAAGTCAATTATAAGCAACCATTATGATATTGACTTTAAATAATTAGTACAATTTATTATTAGTTAATGCTTTTAAATTTATATTGTTAAATATAAATGACATAGAAAAATAGAAGAAATTAAATATAAATTTAGATGATGAGTATTTTATATTTTTTATTTAATATATTATTCCATAATATGACAGTGTTTATACAATGTATATTGACTTTGTGTTTATAATTGATGAAACAATTTATGTAGTATTTTATTCAATTAATATAAGTATTATATATAGTATTTATGTATGTACTTAAAAAAAAATACTTTCAAATATTTTTAAAAATTCAAATGTCTAAACTATTTAATATAAATAAAATTAAAATAATTTTATAATTTTTATTAGTTTTATTGTTGAAAAGCATAATTTACTCCTTAATTACAATTATAAATAAATTTCTTTTATTTATTTATAATTTTATTTTTATAATGCATTATAAAAGCACGTTACATACTTGAATTGAACTTAAAGTAATTGATTATTTTAAACATAACCCTAGTTTATTATCGACTATAAAATTGTAATTCAAGATTTGTTTTTAGACCTTGCAGTTGAATGTGCTTCAGAATTCAAATTACTTTCATCGATTTTGGATAAGCCAAAAGCATCTCGTAATTTAGCATTTCTTTCTAATTGAGCTTCAGCACTTTGATGCGAATCATGAACAATTGGACGACCATATTCGTCAGTGTGTTTCTTATCTTTTTTTGATTTTTCATAATTTTCGAGTAATATTTTTCTATATGACGTAACCTTAATATCTATTTCTTCTTGAGTATATCCTTCCTCTTCTAAAGCATCAGATAATTCAAAGCATTTAACTTCAATTTCTCTTTTTCTAGTATGTTCAAGAATTTCCTTATTTGGTTGTCGATTAATTGGATCAAGTTTACTTACTTCTGTATGTTTCTTTTTTTCCTTTTTGAATGAAATTGCACAATTGCGTTGTACATGACCACTGGTGCCAGATCCTCTAGGAGTTGGAAGACCAACACCGTTATACATATTTGATCTACAAAAAAAAAATTTTTTTTTAGAATATTAAATAGAATATAGATCAGGCAATATATTTATTAACAAATGCAATAAAACATAGAATACATAAATTTAATTGAAGATAAAATAAATAACACAAGCTTTAATTCTTAGTTTATAATCAAATACATAATATAACTCTTATTTCAAAATCTATATATAATATTTTACATATTAAAACATAAAAATGTGTATGGAACAATATAGTAAAGTTCAAATTTAACTTTGTTAAATTCCATTATAAATAAATAAGTAGTAAGTTGCAATGTTAAAAATAAAATCTTAATTTAAATAATAATATAGTTTTTTATTTTAAATATATATTTTCCAGCTAAACGCACCTTTATGTAGTCAAAATTCAAAAGATTCTTTTCTGATTATAAACTTTTTGTTTTATTAGTCTGAGCACTCTAAAGAATGAGTTAAATTTAATAGGTTAAGTATTATTATACGTATATGTAGTATGTTTTTATATATCAAACCTAAAACAATAATTTTACAGATTCCTAGATTAACAGCTGAGAAAAAAGACTTTATGATTATGATTACAAGTACTATACGAACAATGTCTAAGGCCTAAATTCCAAAGATAATCAATGATCTTATAGTTAAATAATAATAAAAATTACATTAAGACTGTGTAATTAATAGCATTAAATAACATTTGATTTTAGATAATTCTGGTGATTAATTTTTGTATTTAATAACTGTTAGGAAAAACTGTTATTAATTTAATATTTGATTTATGCTCATTCAGAAAATATAATCAATTTTATATGTAATGACATATATTTTCTTTAATATCTGAAAAGGTTTATCTATATTTCTTTTAATTAAATAAGTTATAAATAAATATTAATAAACTTCATATTGATAATTTAAAAATATTAAAAAATATTCGTTCAAATCTTAGTTCGGCTCCAGTTATTTTAAGCATAACAACCATTAACAATTAACAATTAAAGCTTTTTAAAGCTAACTATTTTTAAGACAATATGTATAATTCTAGTTTCTGTTGTATCATATAGTGAAAAATCTTAAAAAATTAAGTCAAATATAATTTGAAATTTTATTTTTTATTTAAAATTTATTTAAATGTCACAGAAAAATTATATTCATATTAATTATTTAATAAATTTTTGACACAAGTTCTACAAATACATAATAATTATATTTGAATATGATATGAAAAGGTTGAGCAATTTATAACCTCAAATTAATGTGTTAAATATAATTTATTTTTAAAGACAAAATTAAATAGTTTTAAAATGTCTGTGATGCTAACAGCAGACTGGTTTTCGCTGGAACGTGACAATTATTTTAGGTGAGTATAAATAATTTTCAAGTGAATATTAAAAATATTTATATTTTCTTATATATTACTTTTATTTCTATTTTAGAAAATTTGAAATCTATCCTCTTTCGTTTCGTCACGAAAGTAGTTTAGATAATTTAGTAGTTGCTGCTCCTTATGGAGGTTCAATAGCTATATGTAGAAATCCAAAAAAATTTGTAAAAGTACAAGGATCGACAAAAGCAGTTATTTCTTTATATTCGTCATCTGGGCAGTTAATGGCAAAGCTGCAAGTATGCATCTTATATATTGTTTATACACCTTACTTTAGTATATTACCCATTGTCGTTGTAGTTTAATTTTGAAAAGTATTAAATAATTCCATTATCTTACTTATAAAGTAATAAACTCTCACTAATTTAATTATATAGAAAGTAATTTTATTTCTAATTTTATCTATAAATGTGATTATATATATAATTGGAAATTACTTTATAGTTTTTTAAAAATTTACAGTAAATAACTGAGTAGTCATTATATTTTAATAAATTTATTTATATTAAATAATTAATTATATTTTCCAGTGTAATTGATAATATTTATAATATATTAATAATGATATATATATATTTATCTTATTAATACAGAATTTTTATTAATACTACACTGATATACCTAAATATTAATCATTTATAATTAAATTAAGATATAATATATTCTCATTAATTTATTTTTTAGTGGAACAGTGGACAATTAGTTGCAATGGGATGGTCGCATCAAGAAGAATTGTTATGTATACAAGAAGACGGAATGGTTTTAATATATGATATCTTTGGTCATTATCAACACACATTTAGCATGGGAGAAGTAAAATTGGAAGAGATTTTAATATCAACTCTTCATATTTCATATTATAATCTACTCTTTCTTTTTTCTATTAGGAAGCAAAAGAAACAAAAATTATTGAAGCTAAATTTTTTCCAAGCATAAACGGCACAGGTGTAGCAATTTTAACATCAGCCAATCGTATTTTTCTTGTAAATAATGTAGGAGAACCGAAAGTTAGAAAATTTGCAGATTTACCTAGTGAGTTAAAAAAATTATTAATTGGAATATTTTTAGATACATACATAATTTGACTAAATTTAATTAGAATTTAGTGGGATGATTGACAGTTGGTGTGTAATCCGTCAAGACAGAGAAAGTCAAATAATATTAGCAAATCAAGATGGTATACATCAATTACATCATTCTTATCAAACACCGATTTCAATACCTTTTGTATGTTTTGTACCTTTCATATTATATATAAAATATTAATATAGAAAATTAATCTACACAAAATTTAAATAAAAATTTTTTTAAGTATTTTAGATACAGTATTAACATTTAGTAGTTTAAATTATTTTATATTTTTTAGTGTAGAGTTAATATTTATATATTACTATTGTATTGTTATAGATTCAATTATATCTAAATTATTAATTTTTTAACAGTTGAAAATAACTTTACAATAAATTGTTTGAAACTAATTCAATTCAAATTTAAATATGAAAATTTACTTTTTTATAAGTTTTTATGGCATTATTATATTCATTACAAAACTTGAAGTTTATTTTGAATTTAAAATAAAAGTACATAGATTAGAATATTGTATAAAAATTCAAAAGATAGAAGCATCTCGACATTTGTAAATGAAAACATTTATTGTAAATACTTCTATTGTAATACTGAAATATAATTATGTTATTTATTATAGAATAAACTTTTTAACAATAAAGTAAGTGGAATCAATACAATAGCAGTTTCAAGCAATAGTCAACACATTGCTTTGTATGCTGATTCTGGCTATTTATTTCTTGGTTCTGTCAACCTGAGAGAAAAATATTGTGAATATACTACCAATATAAAAGACTCGCTAACAGATATCGCATGGTTAATAAATTTATAAATTCACTTCTATATCTATTTATTTATCAATTATATATTAATAATGAAAAGTATTGTGTAGGTGTGGTTCAGAGGCAGTGGTTTGCTGTTGGAACAATACTATGATGATATTTGGCTTAAAGGGAGAAGAAATAATATCCTATTCTTATGAAGGACCGGTTAATTTAATAACAGAGATAGACTGTGTTAGAGTTCTTTCAGCTTATTCTCACGAAATAATTCAAAAAGTTCCTCAAGTTGTCCAAAAAATATTTCGAATTAACTCTACAGATGCTGCTTCCTACCTCCTAGAAGCTTCAAAACAATTTAAAAAAAGAAGTCACAAAGCTGATAGTTATATTGATTTAGTAAAAGATAAATTAGATTCTGCAGTAATGAATTGTATTACTGCTGTAAGTCATGAATTTGATTTCCAAACCCAAAAACTTCTTATGCGAGTAATTACAAGTATTTTATTATAAAATTAATTATAAAAATGTTCAATGTATAGTCATACTATATTTATTATTATATATTGATTTTTGGAAGGCAGCCAAATTTGGGAAGGGATTTAGTAGAAATATCAATCCTGATTACTATGTTAATATGTGCAGAACATTAAGAGTTTTAAATGCTATAAGACATCCTAAAATTGGTATACCACTAACATACGTACAGTAAGTATTTTATATTAAAATTAATAAATTAAATTAAACTGATAAACAATTAATAAAAAAACAATAACTATATATTGTATTCAATTAAAAAATTTGTATATAAATAAATTATACTTATTTATTAACAAACATAAATATTCCAATTTATTTTTTTTTATATTTTTATTAGATTAAATACATTATCATATCAGGTAATGTTAGATAGATTAGTTGCTAGAAAACATTATTATCTTGGTATACAAATATCTAGACATCTTCAGTTATCAGAAATTGATGGCGAAAGCAGAATATTAGCCCATTGGGCATGCTATAAGGTATGAAATTAAACTTAATATAATAAATTATACCACTAATAATGGTGAATCAAGTTTTAAAATGAGTATAATGACAAATAATAATTACAATAAATCAATTCAAATAACACTGTGATTCTTATAAAATACAATAATTTAATTTAAATGGCTATAAAAAATACTTCATAACAGATATATTCATAATATAAATTATAAAAGTTAAGTCACACGACTTATGAAATTTTATTAAAATATCTAACTGTATTGCTTATTTAATATAAATTTTATTTCAGATAAATATTGTGTAAATATTTGTATAGGAATTGAATAAACGAAATATTTATTAGTTATTAATAATTTTTCAAAATTTATATAAATATAATATATATAATATATAATATATATAATATATGATATATATATTTTATTCGTTTACAATTAAACTTCAGGTTAAACAAACGCAACTTGATAAAGAACAAATAGCAGAAGAAATTGCTGATAAATTAGGATATACTCCAGGTGTTTCATATAGCGAAATTGCAGTAAGAGCTGCAGATTGTGGAAGAAAACAACTTGCTATAAAGGTATAGACATGTAAATTAAGATTATTACTGTAATATTTGAATCCATTTTATTTCAGTTGATTGATTACGAGCCAAAAGCGCAATTACAAGTTCCATTACTATTAAGATTAGGAGAAGAACAAGCTGCGCTCAAGAAAGCAGTAGAAAGTGGAAATACAGATTTAGTTTATACTGTTATACTACATTTAAGAGAACATATGCCACTTTCAGATTTTCAGGTAATTGAAATAATAAAACATTTATATATTTAGATTTATCTCCGATATTGTATGAATTATACATCGTGAAGTATAATTGAACTATAAACATAAAATAAAACTCCTCATTTAATTTATAAAGCCAGTTAATATTATTAATGATTTGAAGTATTGAATTAGACATTTACTATGTTAATGTAAAGATTCAATTCATGTTAAAAAAGTAGAATATATAATCGATATCGAGGAAATATAATATTTCAATAGAAATTTTGTGTATATATTAGGATTTAATAATATTTATAAATTTTTAGTGAAATTAACAGAAAAAGAAAATATTTTTTAATATTTTTAATTATTGCATATTTTAGCAAATTAAAGCTCAACTTTGATTATTAAAAAGTAATGGATAAAATTGAATATTATTTGGAATTAACGATTTAATAATTAATTTATTCTAAATGTGATTGACAATAGTGCAGTTTTAAGAAATTATTTTTTTTTTTTAGATGGCCATTATGCATTGCCCATTAGCAATGACATTGTATATAAAATATTGTCAAAATCATAATCGGGAAACATTACGCGATATTTATAATCAATATGATGATTATTATTCTCAAGCACTTTGGTTTATTAAGGAAAGTTATCAGGTAAAAAATTACCGGTTATATCTTATAGTACGTGCTACGTTAATTATTTAAGAACACATATTAATTTTTATATTAAGAATTCTACTTCAAGGGATGCAATGTTACAATCTGCATTAGATCATTTTAAATTGAGCAAGCACGATGCAAATTCGTGCTTGATAGACGAACAGATAAAATTATTAAGGTATCAACGTTCCTTGGAAGAAACTTTACACGAATCTGTAGTTGGAAAACCACTTCATGATACAGTAAAAGTTTTACTTTTACACAATGAAATTAAATTAGCTGATAAATTAAGATCAGAATATAAGTTTCCAGACCGAAGGTATGTAATTTTTCGAAATGCTTAGTAACTCACCATATTTTATATATTCGAAACAACTTTAAAGTTTTACTTTTGGAACTCATATTTATTTAAAACATTTTGTTTATTTTTTATATTAAATAATTCAGTATTAATGATAAAAGGTAATTTTTAAATACATATGAATACTTATCATATAGATAAAAATTGATAATTTATTTAAAAATCCATCTTTATTATGACATTAATTAAATACTTTTATAAATTGTTTATTTGTTTGAATGAAAATAGATACTGGTGGTTACGAATACAATGTTTGGCTGAGCAAGGATTATGGAATGAGTTAGAAAAATTTTCCAAATACAAAAAATCTCCAATTGGATATGAGGTACATAGTATAGTTACTTAATTTATAAGTAATACATTTTCATCTATAAAAATTAAAAAAAAATTGAAATAAACTTTAATATACAGCCTTTCATGGACCAGTGTTTGAAATATAAAAAAGAATTAGAGGCAAAAAAATATCTTCCTCGGATTAAGGATGAATTGAAAGTTAAATATTTTGTGAAACTGGAGTATGTATTCACACGTATACACACACACTCATATTGCACATTAAAATTACTAATAAAATAATATTTTAGTATGTTACTAGAAGCTGCTCAAACTGCCTTAGAGCATAAAGATTTAGCTGCTATTACTTTTGTATTAGCCCGATGTAATAATAGAAGATTGCAAGAAAAAATCGGTGCTATGGTAGCAAGTCTTAGAAATGGAAAGTGAATTTAATTTTGAAATAAAAATTTTGGTTCAGTTAAATTTTAATTTAAATTTATTAATATAATGTAAATAATTATTAGTTTCTTTAATACATATTAAATAGATTTATTTTATAATTTTTATATGCATAAATATATGTAATTAATATTAAAATATATACAATATCATAAAAGTACCCTATAAATGTTTTCTAAATTTTTTAACTTCTGTTAAAAATAAATAAAAAATATCTATATCTTATTATATATCCATATATTCCTTTATAATGAATTGATTACCTCATTTTGGTTCTTTTTCTTGAAAAAATAAAATATTTTGTTCTATCGTTAAATTGTAAAAATATATTAACATATTTCATATCACTAGTCAAGTTTTTGAGATCTCATCCAAATTTCGTGTTTTTCTATGAGATTTTGGACTATGAACTTTTCTATTTCTTCTCCATTTTGTATTTGTTCATTTGTAAGCGATAAGATATAGTCGTTTTCTTGACTAACAAAAACAACTTGTTGTTTACGTGTCTGTAATATATTTGCTATCACTAACTGTAATAAAAGAAATGAGACATAGTGTAAATGAAAACTGTTAAATATTATACTATGTATCGCGAATGTATATGTTTGACTACATACATTGTGATTATATTTTGTTAATGCTTCACGAGCTTTAGAAATGAGAATATTTTCATCGGTTTCAAGTTTAAATGATACAACAAAAGCCTTAGAAACCCAAAGATTGACAAGAGGCTCTAATACTTTAGGAACTAGTTGTAAATGAATGGATGGAGCTCCACTTGAAGAAATTTTATGTAAAGCCTGAAACCTTCATATGAATATTTGACACTTATTTTTATATTATTATTTATTAATTTGCAATATAAAAACAATTTTAAATAATTCATTATTTTATTAACAAGCTGAATCAATTAAAATAGTTTATTATTTGATTTTAGCTGCAATGAAGAAAGAATATTGTTTATTCAATGAAATAATTAATAGAAAGATCAAAACAAAATAATTCGAAGTCTGTGTAACTATATCAATGAATTTAGTATTCATATAATTTATTTTATAATTGATGGACATTTTTTATATTTTTTCTATATATAAATAATTTTTACTAACTTATACAATTATTATTGAAATTAGGAACTATTTTAAAAATGCATTTTAACGGTATATATCTTTTATAAAAATTTATATATAAAAAATACTTGCCATTTCATTCGAAGGAATGTAAAAATCAGATACTGCAGCTGCCAAGTATAAAATAGCTCTATTTTCTAAAATAGTCAACGCTTGACAAGCACTTCTAAGAAGCCAAAGATATTCAGAAAGAGTAGTAAAACATATTTGCAGAAGTTTGTTATCTTTCAAAGTTTCTTTATATTTTCTTAAAATTTTTGATATTTTATTAACATATTGTGGTGCAACTATTCATAACAAAATATTTAATATTAGCTATTGAAATAAAGAAAAGTTACTATATCTATACCTGATATTGAAGTAACATCATTTATCATTGTTAAATTCATTATGTCTAAAAATTTATGTCCGGAAAAATGTCGAGAAAAAGGTTCTAACGACTTCAATCTGTAATTATACAATAAAATATGAAAATCATGTTTCTTGATTTTAGTTGAATTCAGTCAATTCGAGAAATAAAATATATTTTTATTACCTATGCATGAAAATAACTGCGTAACCATGATCTAAAAAGTACTCTGCTGAAATTGAACCTCGATTTCCTGCACTAAAATTGTCTACAAATCGCACTGTATTATGTTCTAACGGAACAGTTGTGCCACCACTCTAAGTAACAAATAAAATGTTGCATAATATTTAATTATGAGTAGTATTAAAAAATGTATTCAAGTAAATAATGAACTAACTGTTATTAAAACAATCTTATTGTTTTTCTCAATATGATGTTTTGCAAAATTGTTCAAGAGCTTTTCATTTTCATCAAGATTTGAAGGTCTTGGAGTTCTATCATAAAATTCTTCCCACAACAATGCCATTGTATTTTAATACAAAAATTAACAAACCTGTATTAAATTTTATTTACACATATATTAAAATGCTATAAGAAATTATGCAAGATATTAGAATAAACGATGAATCACAAATATACTTCATTTACACAAATATAGTTCATTTACGACATATATACAAATATACACAAATATAGTTCATTTACGACATATATACAAATATACACAAATATAGTTCATTTACGACATATATACAAATATACACAAATATAGTTCATTTACGACATATATACAAATATACACAAATATAGTTCATTTACGACATATATACAAATATACACAAATATAGTTCATTTACGACATATGATTGTAATTATAATTATTTAACGTATCAAATATGCAAATGAAATACTATTTTACTTTTTATAATGAACCATCCTGACTTGTTGTTGCCTAATATTATTAAAGTAAATAAATCCTGCCAATATTATATAAGAAAGAAAAATCATACTTAAATATTCTTACTGCTTGCACTCTGTTTAATAGCTTATATTTCGTTTCGAATATGCCAAAAAATGAAAGTGACAAAATTATTTCCACATAGTAAATAATTAATACCAGAAATAACGATATTTTATAGGTTGGAATAATCTTCACAATCCATCGATTAAAACATAAAATTAAGAGATAAAATTATTCGGTTCTATAAAATCTTGTATTACTCTTGAATTTTTGCAATTAAGCTAAGTATGCATATTTGAATATAAAGAAATTAATATATATATATATATATATATATATATATGCATATATATTTGCGGATAACGACAGTATATTACCCTCTGGTGCGTATTCCTCAATCTATTATAAGGCTCAGGATTAAAATTATGATCCCATGTTATCTCTGGACAAATTATTGTTCTACGTGTAAGCAATATAGTTGCAATTGAAAAATCATACACAAAGACCGACGTTAAAAGAAAGAGCTGAAATATAATAGAAAATTGTTTAGAACCTAATTATAATACATAATAATTGCTGCGAATTTTAAATATTACGTAATACTCCTTTTTAGCCATCCTAAAATAAATTTTGGTCACTTCGCAAACCGCTGTATATAATTTCATATTAACGAAACTTTAATTTTGTTGTAATATATTTTTTGATCAACACTAAATAATAATATTAATCTTTACAGAAGCTATGAAAAATGAATAAGTAGTATTCAATCTCCAATGGGTATTGAATATAAACTACGTACAGGATATTCGAGGAGTTTGCTATTTTATATATAAATCAACAAAACACTACAAAACAAAAGAATCCGAAAGAAACTTCATGTAGGAAAGAACATGGGTAGATATATTTTTATCATTGAATAAATAAAATACAATCTTAAACTATTAATGAAACACCAATCATTTATCATTAAAAAATAATTTCATAAATACTCATGAATTGATTTTGTTTAAATTATACATCGTGAAGTATAATTGAACTATAAACATAAAATAAAACTCCTCATTTAATTTATAAAGCCAGTTAATATTATTAATGATTTGAAGTATTGAATTAGACATTTACTATGTTAATGTAAAGATTCAATTCATGTTAAAAAAGTAGAATATATAATCGATATCGAGGAAATATAATATTTCAATAGAAATTTTGTGTATATATTAGGATTTAATAATATTTATAAATTTTTAGTGAAATTAACAGAAAAAGAAAATATTTTTTAATATTTTTAATTATTGCATATTTTAGCAAATTAAAGCTCAACTTTGATTATTAAAAAGTAATGGATAAAATTGAATATTATTTGGAATTAACGATTTAATAATTAATTTATTCTAAATGTGATTGACAATAGTGCAGTTTTAAGAAATTATTTTTTTTTTTTAGATGGCCATTATGCATTGCCCATTAGCAATGACATTGTATATAAAATATTGTCAAAATCATAATCGGGAAACATTACGCGATATTTATAATCAATATGATGATTATTATTCTCAAGCACTTTGGTTTATTAAGGAAAGTTATCAGGTAAAAAATTACCGGTTATATCTTATAGTACGTGCTACGTTAATTATTTAAGAACACATATTAATTTTTATATTAAGAATTCTACTTCAAGGGATGCAATGTTACAATCTGCATTAGATCATTTTAAATTGAGCAAGCACGATGCAAATTCGTGCTTGATAGACGAACAGATAAAATTATTAAGGTATCAACGTTCCTTGGAAGAAACTTTACACGAATCTGTAGTTGGAAAACCACTTCATGATACAGTAAAAGTTTTACTTTTACACAATGAAATTAAATTAGCTGATAAATTAAGATCAGAATATAAGTTTCCAGACCGAAGGTATGTAATTTTTCGAAATGCTTAGTAACTCACCATATTTTATATATTCGAAACAACTTTAAAGTTTTACTTTTGGAACTCATATTTATTTAAAACATTTTGTTTATTTTTTATATTAAATAATTCAGTATTAATGATAAAAGGTAATTTTTAAATACATATGAATACTTATCATATAGATAAAAATTGATAATTTATTTAAAAATCCATCTTTATTATGACATTAATTAAATACTTTTATAAATTGTTTATTTGTTTGAATGAAAATAGATACTGGTGGTTACGAATACAATGTTTGGCTGAGCAAGGATTATGGAATGAGTTAGAAAAATTTTCCAAATACAAAAAATCTCCAATTGGATATGAGGTACATAGTATAGTTACTTAATTTATAAGTAATACATTTTCATCTATAAAAATTAAAAAAAAATTGAAATAAACTTTAATATACAGCCTTTCATGGACCAGTGTTTGAAATATAAAAAAGAATTAGAGGCAAAAAAATATCTTCCTCGGATTAAGGATGAATTGAAAGTTAAATATTTTGTGAAACTGGAGTATGTATTCACACGTATACACACACACTCATATTGCACATTAAAATTACTAATAAAATAATATTTTAGTATGTTACTAGAAGCTGCTCAAACTGCCTTAGAGCATAAAGATTTAGCTGCTATTACTTTTGTATTAGCCCGATGTAATAATAGAAGATTGCAAGAAAAAATCGGTGCTATGGTAGCAAGTCTTAGAAATGGAAAGTGAATTTAATTTTGAAATAAAAATTTTGGTTCAGTTAAATTTTAATTTAAATTTATTAATATAATGTAAATAATTATTAGTTTCTTTAATACATATTAAATAGATTTATTTTATAATTTTTATATGCATAAATATATGTAATTAATATTAAAATATATACAATATCATAAAAGTACCCTATAAATGTTTTCTAAATTTTTTAACTTCTGTTAAAAATAAATAAAAAATATCTATATCTTATTATATATCCATATATTCCTTTATAATGAATTGATTACCTCATTTTGGTTCTTTTTCTTGAAAAAATAAAATATTTTGTTCTATCGTTAAATTGTAAAAATATATTAACATATTTCATATCACTAGTCAAGTTTTTGAGATCTCATCCAAATTTCGTGTTTTTCTATGAGATTTTGGACTATGAACTTTTCTATTTCTTCTCCATTTTGTATTTGTTCATTTGTAAGCGATAAGATATAGTCGTTTTCTTGACTAACAAAAACAACTTGTTGTTTACGTGTCTGTAATATATTTGCTATCACTAACTGTAATAAAAGAAATGAGACATAGTGTAAATGAAAACTGTTAAATATTATACTATGTATCGCGAATGTATATGTTTGACTACATACATTGTGATTATATTTTGTTAATGCTTCACGAGCTTTAGAAATGAGAATATTTTCATCGGTTTCAAGTTTAAATGATACAACAAAAGCCTTAGAAACCCAAAGATTGACAAGAGGCTCTAATACTTTAGGAACTAGTTGTAAATGAATGGATGGAGCTCCACTTGAAGAAATTTTATGTAAAGCCTGAAACCTTCATATGAATATTTGACACTTATTTTTATATTATTATTTATTAATTTGCAATATAAAAACAATTTTAAATAATTCATTATTTTATTAACAAGCTGAATCAATTAAAATAGTTTATTATTTGATTTTAGCTGCAATGAAGAAAGAATATTGTTTATTCAATGAAATAATTAATAGAAAGATCAAAACAAAATAATTCGAAGTCTGTGTAACTATATCAATGAATTTAGTATTCATATAATTTATTTTATAATTGATGGACATTTTTTATATTTTTTCTATATATAAATAATTTTTACTAACTTATACAATTATTATTGAAATTAGGAACTATTTTAAAAATGCATTTTAACGGTATATATCTTTTATAAAAATTTATATATAAAAAATACTTGCCATTTCATTCGAAGGAATGTAAAAATCAGATACTGCAGCTGCCAAGTATAAAATAGCTCTATTTTCTAAAATAGTCAACGCTTGACAAGCACTTCTAAGAAGCCAAAGATATTCAGAAAGAGTAGTAAAACATATTTGCAGAAGTTTGTTATCTTTCAAAGTTTCTTTATATTTTCTTAAAATTTTTGATATTTTATTAACATATTGTGGTGCAACTATTCATAACAAAATATTTAATATTAGCTATTGAAATAAAGAAAAGTTACTATATCTATACCTGATATTGAAGTAACATCATTTATCATTGTTAAATTCATTATGTCTAAAAATTTATGTCCGGAAAAATGTCGAGAAAAAGGTTCTAACGACTTCAATCTGTAATTATACAATAAAATATGAAAATCATGTTTCTTGATTTTAGTTGAATTCAGTCAATTCGAGAAATAAAATATATTTTTATTACCTATGCATGAAAATAACTGCGTAACCATGATCTAAAAAGTACTCTGCTGAAATTGAACCTCGATTTCCTGCACTAAAATTGTCTACAAATCGCACTGTATTATGTTCTAACGGAACAGTTGTGCCACCACTCTAAGTAACAAATAAAATGTTGCATAATATTTAATTATGAGTAGTATTAAAAAATGTATTCAAGTAAATAATGAACTAACTGTTATTAAAACAATCTTATTGTTTTTCTCAATATGATGTTTTGCAAAATTGTTCAAGAGCTTTTCATTTTCATCAAGATTTGAAGGTCTTGGAGTTCTATCATAAAATTCTTCCCACAACAATGCCATTGTATTTTAATACAAAAATTAACAAACCTGTATTAAATTTTATTTACACATATATTAAAATGCTATAAGAAATTATGCAAGATATTAGAATAAACGATGAATCACAAATATACTTCATTTACACAAATATAGTTCATTTACGACATATATACAAATATACACAAATATAGTTCATTTACGACATATATACAAATATACACAAATATAGTTCATTTACGACATATATACAAATATACACAAATATAGTTCATTTACGACATATATACAAATATACACAAATATAGTTCATTTACGACATATATACAAATATACACAAATATAGTTCATTTACGACATATGATTGTAATTATAATTATTTAACGTATCAAATATGCAAATGAAATACTATTTTACTTTTTATAATGAACCATCCTGACTTGTTGTTGCCTAATATTATTAAAGTAAATAAATCCTGCCAATATTATATAAGAAAGAAAAATCATACTTAAATATTCTTACTGCTTGCACTCTGTTTAATAGCTTATATTTCGTTTCGAATATGCCAAAAAATGAAAGTGACAAAATTATTTCCACATAGTAAATAATTAATACCAGAAATAACGATATTTTATAGGTTGGAATAATCTTCACAATCCATCGATTAAAACATAAAATTAAGAGATAAAATTATTCGGTTCTATAAAATCTTGTATTACTCTTGAATTTTTGCAATTAAGCTAAGTATGCATATTTGAATATAAAGAAATTAATATATATATATATATATATATATATATATTAATATAATATAATAAAATAATATATATAATAAAATAATATAAAATAAATATCCAACAAGGCCAAAAATAAAAAATGTATATATTTAATTTTCACAGCCAAAGCTGCGATTTATTATTATTCTAAAATTTTACATGATTCAAGAATATTATATATTTTTAATAAGCAAATTTCTTTAATAAATTTTCTGCCTCTGAAATGTCCATTTGTCAATAAAATCCTACTTTCAACTATTATAGAAATAATTCTTTAATATGAGGGAGCTTTACATTGTTTATAATCTCTACCATAGTAATTGAAAAGCTAGAAGAGAAGTTAAATGTTAATACAAATTAAATTTTTTTATATATATATATAGACATATATATTTGAGTATAACATCAGTATATTACCCTATATTGACTATTCCTAAATTTATTATAAGGCTCAGGATTATTAACACATTTCCAATTTACATCTGGAGAATAAAATCCTTTTTGTATAAGAATTGCAGCTGCAGCTGTTATATCATACACAATGACCGACGTTAAAAGAAAGAGCTGAAATATAATAGAAAATTGTTTAGAACCTAATTATAATACATTATAATTACTGCGAATTTTTTAATATTACGTAATTCTCCTTTTTAGCCATTTTATAAAGAAATTTGGTAGTTTTTAAAACCATTGTGTATGATTTAATATTAACGAAACTTTAATTTTGATATAATATATTATTTGATTAACACTAAATAATAATTTTAATCTTTACAGAAGCTATGAAAAATGAATAAGTAGTATTCAATCCCCAACGGGCATTGAATATAAACTACGTAGAGGATATTCGAGGAGTTTGCTATTTTATATATAAATAGAATATAATAAAGTGCAATTCATAAAGAAAATAGTAATTTTAATTTTTAAATTTGTTAAAACTACGAATGAGGGTATTTAAACATGGTAGCGAATGGAATAAAAGATTCTTTTTTAATTTGTACAGATTATTCATTGTGTGGTACATTATTTACATTTTCTGGTACAAAAGCGCGAATATTTGATGTGGTAAATTATTGATAAATTCAAAATGAATATTTTGTCTTATAATGTTGAAATGGAAAGATATACAAAATTATTTACAAAAATCTGGCTGTATTAGATTCTTAACTAATAAAATGAATATATTATTTTATTTCATAATTTATGAAATTTAACAAAACAAATCAATAAATTTTATTTTGCAAATTCTTTTATTAATTTTGTACTTACTATTTTAATATTTAATATTTCATGGCGACAGCTAATCAACTAGAAGCACATTAAATTGAATATGTTTGAAGTGCGTGTCGAAAAACAATGTAAAATCGAGACAGGATATAAAAAAAAAAAAATTAACAAAAGAGAACTATAAAATGTTCTTGAGCTACTAATACAATAGTTCGTACAGAAGTTTTCACTATATGTTTTTTTTTTCATATTTGCACATATTGTACAGCATTTTCATATAGTAAATAATATGGTTTTTTTACATTTTCTTTCTGGTATTATTTTTTATATAATATAACTTGAGTTATTTAAATCATCAGAAATTATATATAACTTCCTTGTTTGGATAAGTCATGTAGAATGATGATTACATATTGATTGAACATATGTATTTTTTTTTATAATATAATTATATAAATAAATAATTTTTTTTTTTATAAATTGCTTTGCTTATCTATCAATTATAATTCTTGTTGATTTTAATAAATATTTTGTATACAAATTGCTTTGGAGCATATCAAGAAATTCGGGATATTTTTATGTATATATAACGAAATTCGGATAAAAGATAAAAAAAACATGTAATTAATTATATTTGTGATTAAATAAAATAATTAGTGTAAACAGAATTTCAATGGTAAAATTAAATTTTATAAAATATTATAAATGTAAAGAAAAATTATGTACTTTCTTTAAAATTTTATAGGAACTGCTCATTTTTTCAGAAATTTTTTCAGATATTGATACTTTTTAACGAATTTATTAATTTCCCTGTTGAAATATTAATAAATTTTTTATTTCAATTATCATTTGAATAGTAATAAAGTTAGTTTAATTATTAATATTCCGTAAATTATAATCATTTAATTATAAAACAAAAAATGTGAAAATTATATTACTTCAAATTTATTTGCATATAGAGGTATAACAAATTTATAATTATTATACACATTTATAAATATCTACAAATATACACATTGTGAATGTTTTACAATAATATATATTACTTTTCACTATCTCAATAATAACAATATTTCTGACATTATAATAATGAAATATTTACATATAAATATATATTTCTAATTCAAATTTAAAAATAAAAATCTTAATAAACTTATTATCCTCTTAATATATCTAACTCATCTGGTGTAACATGTATTCTTAATTCTTTTTCCTGAATTAAATCTTGAATTTGTGATAAAATTTGAGGTGCAATTTCAGCTGCACTTATATATACACTTCTCGACCATGGACACTGAGTAACAGCCTGAAAATAAATCTCTTCTCCTTTGTTTTTTGATAAATCATGCTCTCGAAGTAATAACATATAAAATCTCCAGACCAAAGGGCAATTTTGTACTTCTTCTGTTATTGATAATGTTTTATGAAATGAAAGCATTTTATTAATCATTGCATTAGAAGATTGTTCAAGTCCAATATTATTTAGATGAATAATACGAGCTCTTCCAGCCAAACAATTTGCTAAAATTGACCATATATTATATCTTTTATTACTTGTTTTCAATTTCCAATATGGTAGTTTACTTTCTATAGAAGCATTTAATGATAGAAGGAATAAATTACTGGGATATTTTTCAAGAGCTTCATTAAGAGTGTTAATTAATACATTTTCAACTTTTTGAACTGTATGTTGTAAAAATTGTAAAAATGCCACTTTAGTCTCATAAAATCTTTCTTGCAATCGAAAACATTTATTACAATGTGTTAAACATCTATTAAATAATTCAAAAATAGAATTTGTATCAATTCTATTTTTACTATATAATATGTAACTATAACAAATTAATAAATCACAATGTAAATTTGGTAACAAAAATGTATCTTCAGATTCATCTGCAACTGAATTAGTTAAAAATTTAATAATTTCTTCATATAATATTTCTTCTACTGTCATATTCTGATTATAGTTGAAACATACACAAATAAAATTTTTTAAACTTTCAGTCATTTCGTTAAAGATTTCTAGATTTGAATTTTTATAAGTGCTTAAATCTAATAAAATTTCAAAAGACGTTCTATACAGACTAAGAAGCGCTGCTTTTTCTTCATTATCTAAAAATTTAATATCTTGGGATTGAATAATTTTTCTTAACATGTAAATGCAATTATCAAAAGAACCAAGTTCATACTCAAATAAAGCAAATTCCCTGTAAAAATGCAAATTGTTTCTGTTCTCTGGTTTTTTTAAAAAATTTTTTATAATGGACTTGGCTTTTTTATTCTTGCTTTCTTCTTTCAAAGGCTCATCTTTGGTAATAAAAATTAATAATCTTTCGAATCTTAACCACCAAATAAGAATACTAGTTCTTTGAATTATTGGTAATTTTTGAGAAATGGTACTAAATATTAATCTTATAAAATCTAAATATAATTCTTGAGCAGGATGGTATTTTATAAATTGTGGTCCAGATGTTAGTTCCCCTTCAAATAATGATGTTAACATAAATTTGTTACTTAAATATTTATCTACCGCACCTATCCATACTGTTGAATATATCATGGGTAATATACATTCTAAGGAATCTATTGTCCAGCAATCTTTTTCCAGTTTAAAATCTTTGAAAGTACAGTGACGACTTGGAAGTAATGGAACTTTAAGACAAAGAAGAGTGAAAATTACCAAACGAAAATTTGATTCAATTGTAATTGTTGGATAAATAAAATTAGTTATTTCATCAGCCGATACTAATCGTTTTTCATCTCCAATAAGATTAACATTAACTTGATTAATATCAACACTTGTCCAAAAACACCTTTCACGTAATAACTCTATACGTAACCATAATTGATTCAATGGAAGTTTAGAATTTAAAATTAATTCTTCCATATCCATAATTAGTTTTTCATCGATTGTATTTATATTTTTAAGTTTTTCACGATCTATTTCAAGATTCAAATGTAGATTAATTTTTAAAATTTCCCACATTTGTTCCCAAAGTCCAACATGACGCAAAAATATTAGACATTGATATAATAAATTAAAAATTTGTTCATCATAAAACTTAGGACTTGTTTTACACTTTTGTTTTAAAACTGAAAAGTATTTTACATACGAATCTAATACTTTTGATACTTTACACAGCACACAAGAAGTTTGAGTTAATTTTATCAAAGCTTCCCATAAAATAATATTTTTTTTATCATGCTTAATCATTTCCTCAATTTTATTTAAAAATTGATCAGCCGGTATTGACATTGATAGCAATTGTAATTTCAAATTTAAAAGTTCTACAGAATCATAATTAATTGCTAAAGCTTTTTCAATAATGGTTAATTTCTTTTGAGTTATGATTTCTTTAATATTCTTTTGCTTATAAAATGAACACGATTCTATAACCTGATCTTGAAATTGTACATATTCAAGCCATGCATTAATATCTTTAGGACATTCAGTAATTCTTTTATTAAATTTTTGAATTAATACTTTTTGCTCATCTTTGAGTTCATCCATAAATCCTTCTCCAACTATATCAGTACTATTTTCATATTTAATTGTACTACCTTCATTCGTTGATTTTTTAGGAAGGTTTAAATTCCTTGTATAGTATCGTTTGAAATGCCGATATTTATTTTGTTTTTTTAAATTAAAACCTAATGTATAATTTGGTCTGACAGAAAATTCAAGAGTATCAATTGTCAGAAATCTTTTGTTCCCATTTTTATCTTCAAAATAAATATCTTTTACATGAGTTTCATATTTAACTAAAGAAATTTCTTTTCTTAAAGTTTTAGATTTTTTTTTTGATTTTCGAGGAAGTTTTGCAATTTTTTTCAGTTCATTATTGTCATTATTGAAAGGATTGTTTTTACAAATTTTCTTATTTGTATCTTTATCGTCGTTACATGTACTACTAGAATCTTCATCGGAACTATCCGACCAAATTTCATTTTTTATAGATGAATTTAAGTACGAAGCGATAGGTTTATAGCTACAATTTCTAAGCCATTCTAAATTTTCACTTGATTCTTGTGTTTCTATAATAATACTATTACTAGCTGGTTTATTGAAATTATTGGAATATGCAGGAAAAAGTGACATTTTATCTTATATTTGTAAACACATTTGCTTAAACCACATTTACTAAAACGTGTAGATCCATAGTTATAATTAACTTTGAACCACAAATAAAAATTTTCTATATTTTAATAAAATAAATTAATCGACTAACTTTTAATTGCTTTCTATGAAAATATCATTATTCATTTATATTCGTTTATTTTAAATGTATAAATAAAAATTAATTTGATTAAAATATAAAGATATAGATTGAGAATAGATATCGTAATATATATCTAATATATCAATAAGTTTTGACTTTTAAATAATAGTATTATGATTATTTCTATTGCGCTATTATTAAAATAATAAATAGAAGTACATGCAAAAATTTCTAATATATCTAACAATTATATGAAATGATCGGATATCACAACATTTTCAAGGTTTCAATATTCAAACTGCGCGTTATTTGAAAATTTGCAATAAAACAGATTAAATAATTATTATGTATAAAAGAGAAACAACCTAAAATTATATGGACTTATGTTAAATTTAGTAATAATAAATGAATTTTAACAATACCATTAATTGCATTTGTTTTCTATTATATTGTAATGAAAATATTCTGGTCGTTTAACGTAAACGAAAAAAAAGTATGTCATAAACTATTATATAAAAGCATGGATTTTTATTGAAAAATTTATGCTTATTTATTTATCATTATATCTTATTGGTAAATATTTGATTTTTTATTTTATTTTTTATTATTATTATTTTTTTAATATCTTAGAATAAAAATCATTAAATCTTAAATCATTATGTTTATTCTCATACACCTACATAAAAAGAATAAAAATACACTGCGAAATATCTTGTGATTTTAGACGCCTCATATATTTAACAGTTATTTTCAAAAGATTTTTACGATTATTTTAATAACAAATTTGTGTGTATTCAATTGAATTGTAATATAATTAAATTATAATATAATTAAATTCATTAAATTAATTAAAATTAATCTATAATATTGGTCACATATGAATTAAAAACAAAGTAATACGTTTTTTTAATAAGTTTCTTGATTTATTTATTTACATGTGTTAGGTTGCGGTTTGATGAATATAAACTTGATTACATTTGAAGGTTATTCAGGATGTAGATAAAATGAAATGTACTAAATACATTCAGGCATTATTGAAGATTACTTAGTTCACATGTAAGCTCAAATTAAATTGTGTTTTTAATGATTTTGCAAATAAAAACAGAAATGTACTTTAGGGTATTAGAATTAATATAAGATGATCATATTTCGTATATAATTTATTACAATTAACTTAATGTTTGTTTATTTATATTTTTTTTATATTTTTTATTTTTTTTTTTAATATTTAATTTAATTTAATTAATTTAATATATATATATATATATATATATATATATATATATATTTTTTTTTTTTTTAAATATCTTTGCTTGTTATATTGAACTAAAAATACAATATATTTATAGATATTAGGAGTTAATAGATTAATAATTATTTTTTTCATATTAATGTAGATGCTTTTATTAATATCTCAATTAATTATTTTAACAATTTAGATTCAATAATTTAATGTATTAAATAAAAATAATCCTTAATTTGAAATACATGATTATTTTATAAGGAACAATAAGTCTATTTTTTATATTTGAACAATTTATTTTATTCATATAATAAAATTTGTAAATCAAAAAATCTATCTATCTCTATCAATCAATATCTATCTTTTTAATTATCTTTGCTGGGCTTTACTTATGTTTTAATACATTAGGTTTTTTAATATTTCATTAATTCAACAGACTTTACTAGTGTGATTTTTTAAAACTCATCTTCACTAGAATCACTACTATACGCTAGTTGTTCTCGCCACCATTCACGAATTTCTACCATAACACTGGGAACTTTCGGTGGTGACATTTTTGTACTAAACACTTCTCTTAGACGAGGTTGTTCACTGCCTGCCGTTACATGCGGCAGATTATTTTTTGCAACTATGGCTATAAGGGATAAAAATTACGAAATTTAAATTCAATAGAATATTTATTGCGTTATTTAATATATAATTTGCCAAAATAAAATATTTTATTAGGACAAAATGTTATAAAATTTTCAGTTTAGTTTGATATTTCAAACAAATTTATTCTATTGCATTTATATGTATCTACAAAGTTTACAAAAAATCTGTTTTGAATAGCAAAACATATTCGTTAACGAAGTGTTTTATTATGAAATTTTCAATTATATATTCCAATTATATATCAATTTTTCAATTACCCGATTCACTTTTATCATTCAAGGTGATAAGCTTATAACGAAATATGCTAAATATTTATTTTGAAATATGTTTTATATATTAAAGTTAAGTTAAAATAAAATTGTTATCTTTGATTAAAAACAGTAAAGAATTGGGTAAATAAAAGCATAATTTTAATATTAAACTATTATAATGAAGACGGCAGATGTTAAATAGTCCAATAACAATCATTTTAAAATATTTATAATTATAAAGATCAGATTAAGAATGTTTTTGTATAAATTATAAGCTAACAATTTCTAAATACAATAAATTATATGGAAATATTGAATTATTATTAACGACCTACAATATAGAAATAGAAAATAGTAATTTCATATGGTAAAATAGAAATTATAACTAATCAGTTATAATGAATAATTAATTATTTATTATATTATATATTATTTATTATAACTGATTAGTTATAATTAATAAATATTAATAAATAATAATAAATAATTATAATTAATTACTTATTATCTATATATATTATAAATATTATGAATACATACGAGATGATCTAGTATTTCTTTTTTTAGAAGCAGCAATTTTTTCTTTTTCTGATCTTATCGATGCAGGATCGGATAATGTCGGAGCAAGGTATTTTCTACCGGAACCACTACCAATACTATCTGATCTTGGAAGACCTACTGGTTTTTTAGCTCTATGTCGTAATCCTTCTAGGTCCTATTTATTATTTGAAATAGAACATCATATGATAATACAATATTATACTTTTTTATTAACAAAGCTCAATTTTCTTTGATATTGAATTTTATTTCGTTATTTTAATACAATTTTAAGCTTGATAAAGATTTTTGTTAAATTCTATGTAATTTGTAATTGATTACCTTATTTTCTGTTTCTTCTTCGCGATCTGTTATTGTATCTTTTTTCTCCTCTACATGTTCCTGCATCGATATTACTGTTGTATCGTTCGTAGCTCTTAATCCAGCAATTAAACTATTTTGTTGCTTCTAATTTAATAACGACAAGAAAAATAAAACCTGTAGTCAAATTAGTTATTACAACTATTATAACATTTATATCACATAACTATGTGCGATAATACTTTCGTACGTGTGCATTATAGAAAATGAGCCGAATAATTTTCTTAAAAATTCTAATCTCCTTCTACAGTATATTGTTTATATTTTTATTATTATTTAATTGGCTATTACATATAAATCTTACACAAACATAAACAAACATAATAATTAATTCAAAATAAATCAACATTTTTAGTAATATGTATATCAATTTTAAGACTATTGTAAATATTTAACGAGGATAAACCTTAACTTACACCAACAGCTCGTATTTTTTTCAAACATCCTTCCAACCATGTTCTTATAGTCTGTTTTGCAACTTCTTCTTCAATTATATATTCAAATTCTTCTCGCGCTAAAAGCTCTTCTAATTGTAATGCTTTTCTAATGTCAACTGATCGATATGATAACATACTAGACATAATAAACTTTTGAAATGTAATATTATATTATAAATAGCCTATATAATTTTCTAAAAGATTAATGTGTTTTGATTAATCTCAAAAAGTTATTTTTATAATTAAAAAAAAAATCTTTACACTTATATATAATTTAAATATTTCATTTCATACTAATAATAACCTATTATTATAATAAATAACTTCCATAATATTTGGTAATTGTAAATTATGTATCCATTCTTATTATAGTTAGATTTTTTTATTAGTTATTAGTAATATTAATTTATTAAGCAATAAAAATAATAAAATTTACATACTTTATAACATCATGAAAAGTAACATCTTCTCCGTTGTGCAATCTTTCAAGTTCATAACACATATACTTAAAAAGAAGTCTATCCTTTTGCGGATCAGTTTCTAATCGACCTTTTAATAGCCTCAATATAAATTTGACCTGTAATGCAATCTGCAATTATGATATACGAAAATTTCGCCTATTTATCGCTTTAAAAAAAATAACATAAAATTATAAATTAACATACCCGTCGCACTGGTATTACTCCTTTTTGATAGATATCGACAACGTTCCAAGTGTTTTGAAAATTTCTGATATCAGCATACGATAATAAAGCATCTTCTTCGTTCGAATAAAAAAGGGAGAAGTTTTCCATGATAATAGCTAAACACGACAAATAAATTTAATAATTGTCTTATCAATCTTTTATTAAAAAATATGTATTTAAATTTTCGAAACGTATTTTATATATTCAATTAGCATATAACGATTGTTATCATAGATTTTAATATCTATTATTATACTTAATACAGGACAATGTATTATTTAATAATTATAAAATATTTAATAAATAGTATAAACTTTGTGTATAATATTTACGTGATTTTAATTTTATTATTTTTTTTTTTTTTTTTACAATGGTATTAATATATTTTTATTCGCGCACTAACAAACTTTTGTTTAATTTTGAGATGCAATTGTTAAATGATCAGTGTTATTAATAATTATTTATTTCTTACCTACTAAGAGATTAAGGACTATATATGTAATAATAACGTAAAAGGTACAGAAGTAAATTAATGATGCATGGAAATTTCCACAATCAGTTTCCCAATAATTATCAGCTGGCGTACAATAAGGCGGTTGTACCATGCAGTCGTGCATGATTTTGTTCCAATCTTCACCCGTAACAATTCGAAAGAGCATCGCTACACCCGTGACTGGCGATTCAAAATTAGCTCGCCTTTAAGAAAATCGTATAATATCAATTGTTTATCTAAATAAAAATGTCAATTTTCATTGATATTTCAAGTCTTAATAATATATCGTTGAATTCTTAACATTTCAAAGTGGCCACCAATTCGTACCCATACATTCGAAGGTGACATTTTAAATTTATATTATTATTATCATATTCACTTCCAAATAAAGTTTTAAAGTTTTGTAGCAGTAAATAAACGCCGATTAATTATTTTCGTTAAAAATATCAACAAAGTTTAATATACGTTCGAAAATCTTACTGTACGTTACATTTGAAATGTTAAAATTTATGTATCGAGACCTACACCATATTAATTAACAAAGTTAATTATAAATTTGTTTAATACCAACTTATATTTAATTATTGTAAAGAGTTAAATTCAATAATAATAATAAAAAAAAAGTTTATAATAATATACCTTCCAATGCCTTCACCATATTTAACAGTTCCAAATATTATTGTACCAGCTAGTGCATAAAAGAATACAAGAAGAAACATTCCAAAAATGATGAAGAAACTTTTACATACAGAGACACCAACTGTTAGCATTAACATTTTTAACGTAGTGTGTTTTCCTGTGATAGTGAAAAATCTTAAAATAACAACGACAAAACCCATGATATGTGACCCATCGTTCTAAAAAATATTTCTAATATATATATAAAGTTATATACTTTTAATATATTTATTTTAATATATTTAATATATTTAATATATTTTAATATATACTTTTAATTATTTATTAATTAGGTATAGATTAGATAATACCTTCATTGTAGCGTGAATAACAATCCAAATAACTCCTAAAACTGTAACAAAAAGATCGTAGCGATTTCTTCTAGATTGCCAATAACCACGTGGAGTAAATGCAATATTTTTCATTATAACTTCAATTAAAAATATTAAAGTAAACATAGTAGAAACGATAACTAGAGGTTCCGTGTGTTCTTCCTCAATCCTCCACTGTAATAGAAAAATTTTAGGTATTTATAATTTTGAAAAAATTTTTATTCATATTATTTATAATGAATGTCATAATTTTTTTTTTTCCATTGATTTTCAATGAAATAGAGCAAAATAAATCGATCCAAATAATTTAATTATAATTTTATGTTTAATAAGTTTAATACATTAATTTGTTAATTTATCTCACCGAAACACATAGTAAAGCACTATTGATAAGTACCACTACTGCTATAAATCGTTTGAAATAAATATTTTGCGTAATATCGTAAATGAAAGCACGAAATTTTTTGCCATCAGGTCTTGGTGGTAAATGCAATGGCTGAGCAATTTTCAATCTTTTCTTCAAATCACACCTTAAAAAAGTACAACAATTATATATATTATAATGAAAATTGTAAAACTAAATATTTATCATTTAAATTAAACCAAATAATCGAACATTATTTTTTAATTATGTATTCTTTAATTTTTATTATTTAATTTTTATTACCATCGTCTCTGATCGACTGTAAGCAATGCCGTTCCTTTATTCTCAGAATAATTAGCAATGACCACACCTACAAATAATGTGAGGCCTATCATGCAACCAAGAAAAATGTAGATGTGTATATATATGGCATGTACCTGAAAATTGGGTTCTTGATTGATAAAAAAATTTAATTTAAACTAAAAATAAAACATAAAATAAATTATTCTTTGAACTAAAGAAACATATTAACCATATAAAATATATTGACTAATTAGATTATTAAATAATAACACTTATTTTTTTTTTTTTTAATTTTAAATAATAGCTTTATATTTTTAGTAAGGAAATGAAGAATTTAATTACTTATTTGATAATAGGTGAATAATAATGTTTAAAAGTTTTTACAAGCACGTAAGGAATTATATCATTTGACATTCAAAATATATGACATTTAAATATATTAAATATCGATAACTGTAATTTGGATAATGTATAAAATGGTCGTTCCTTCTATGAAATATAGCGATTAACATTATAAAATGAATTAAAGTATTGTACTCACTGGCCCTAAAGCTTTAATCAATACATCACGAACATCAAGCCAACCTTTGAAAGATAGAACTTCAAACAGAGCTAAGATCGCATCTCCGATATTATCAAAATTGAAACGTCTTGGATTAGCCCTGTACGTAATAAAATAAATATGTATATTATTATTTTAATAATAGTTAATTTTAAATTAGTCTTTTTAAAGAGTCAAGTGAAGATTAACGAAATTACAAGAATCTTTACTAATTAGCACACATTATTTTGTCACAATATTTATGTCTAAATTAGTTCATCCATTATCATAAATTATTTTCTATATATGTATATATAAGGTAAAATATGTTAGGCTTGAAAGAATTATAAAAATAATTTGAAAATAAGAAGGTAATTGTCACGATAATTTTAAGTATAATACATAGCGAAGTAATTGTATGCATTAAATATTCACCAGACACGTGGTACAAGAATAGATGGATAGCTCTCATTTTGTCCAGGTTGTAGCTTCATTTTTGTAACAAATACTCGACGCATAAATACACCCACACACTCTTCGCGTTTTGTTATAGTTGGATCATTACAGCGCGCTAGACGCCCGCCATATAACTGCACACCATAGCTTGCGAAAACAAACATGAGAAGAATTAGAAGAATTGAAACGAGAAGAATTTCCTTAAATCCGCGACAAAGTTCGTAGACAACTTTGCGCATATGAGGTACTAAGGTAAATATTCTCAACGGTCGAACGCAACGCAATATCATCAAAAGTTGAGCTCCAGAATTCGGCGCTACGCTTCGTGGCATCCAACACAGGAATACGAGACTTACCTTGTTTAACACACAATATTAATTATTTTTACATAGTGTTTTCAAAAATAATCTTCTAATTTTTTGTTTTTTTTTTTTTTTAATAATGTATATTATGCTAAAAAATATTCTTACCACATAAATAAAGACATCTAAAATCGAGGCAACATCTTTAATATATGCTTTTGGGGTGAAAAATAGTCCATCAGCTAATATTTTTAACGCTAATTCAATACTCATGAAAATTACGAAACCATATTCGGCTATTTGCAATGCTGGGACTTCCATTACACGATATTTTGGTGTTTCGAACATCATAGAGATGCAAGAAAAGGTTGTTGCGCAAATCATCACCCAATCCAAATAAGTTACAAGCCCAAGAAAATTACTATTAAATTTACAATAAATTAAGTTAAATTTTAAATAAAATCTTATAATTAATCTTTATTTGTTACTAAACTTACTGCAAACTTTTATATTTAACTTTTCTTTCCTTCCCCGTTAATGGATCTTTTAATCTTGCATCATATCTGGCGTATACTAACAACTGACAAATTTTTCGAAATTTACTTTCTCGAGGTACTGCAAATAGCGGTGTATCGAAAAATGGATGATTCTCCCTTAAATCTTCCTCGCGTTGATTTCTTAATAATAATTATTACATTTCAATAAGCCTGATAAATCGTTATATGCAATGTAATTACGAATAGTTGCTACCTTCTCATTTCAGCTTGTTGCCTCTTGGCTTGTAACAACTTGATATCTAAATCATGGGGTCTACTACGCGATGAACTCACACGATTCATAGCTCCAATATCACCATTTTCCATGAGGTGTTCATAAGTTTGTTTTAATTTTATTGAACCACTTCGAACACTTCTGCGTATTGATCTTTTAATAAAAAAAAAAAAAAAAAAAAAAAAAAAAAAAAAACAAAAAACAAACAAACGATAACATCGATAAATACAACTTAATTTAATTAATATTTTAAGATAAAAGTGCAAATATTGTTTTTTTTTTTGTTCTTTTAATATAGCATATAAAATATTAATTATTACTTTTTTTGGTCGATTCGTAGCTGTTTTGTACTACTAACTGCTCCTTGTGGTTTTAGGAGCCCTTTGCCTGGAACTGGAATCATAGCAGAATCACCTAACAATAATCGTTGATTATTCGAATCACTAAAATTATAAATAATTCAATGGTAATATTATTTTTATTTAGCCGTATTTTATTATTTCATTTATAATTATGCGTAGATTTTTAATATTTAATACTTTATAATGTAGGTAACTGCAGCTTTCTTCAAATTTGTCTCAACAGTTCTAACTTTCAGAGGTTTATTTAAAATTTGAACTGGACATTGTTTTCGATATACCATTTTTGAATCAAAAGTTTCATTAATTCTCTTGTTCCCTTCATTTTCATCGTCTTCCATTTCATAAACAAATTGTCTCATAAAACTTTCTCTTACCTGAATGATCGAAAGATTGAAGTTAAATGACACATTTAACAATTTTCATACCATAACTAATAACTTAAGATTAATTTTTTATTTCTATTTTATCGTAATTAATATTTTATATTAAAATACCAAAACTTAAAAACTATGAAAATGTTGAGCTAAAACTTAAAAAATCTTAAATATATTATTAATGTGAAATAATAATACGAATCACATTTTACTCAAAAAATACATTCTCCTTACTTTTGGAAGATTAAAATCTGAAGGTACTTTGTGTAAACATGTCATTTGAGGACTATCTGGAAATTTTTCAAAAATTCTTAATCTAAAAGGCAACGTTTCTTTAATTTCAGCACTTTGTTCACGAAATTTTAATTGTTTTAGCTTCTTTATATCCTCATCCAATTCAAGATTATCTAGAATTACAGCAACGAAAAGACTCAATACAATCTAAAATATAAATTCAAAATAAATTGAAATATATCCTTTAATTATACATTAACATTAAGATTGAAACAAGACTGATTGCATCAATATTATATATTAAAGTTAAAATAAGAAAAAGCATTTTCATTTTGAATACTAATCTATACATATATATTACACATATACGAAATCAAATTTTTTATTTAATAATTTAATAATAAAAATTTTTTTTAATAAAAATTATATTCTTGCATATTGTTGGGTATTTTAGTAGAAAAAAAATATTTCGTTATAATAAAAACGATTCTATAAATAGAATGTTGCATAAAAATTTGATTTTTATAATTTCGAATAAGTTTATTGATTAGCATTTACTTAAAACATTGTTTAATTATAAGTATTTTCACTTGTCAGTTGTATTGTAAAAGAATTATTATATAACAACACGTACATAAATATTGTTTAAAATTATTTATAGAGAAGAGTTTTAAATATTGCAATATAGAGTGACATTACTTTTAAATCAATTTCCTTTGAAAATTTGCTTTTTCATTAGAAAATTAATTATAAAATATTGCCTTATTATTCATGCAATAGATTAATTACCAATGTAACAAACAGATGGTAGAGAATGAAGTAAACAGCGACTAATGGTGCAATTGATTCGTGTGTTCGCACCATAGTTTCATCCATAACTTCCACCCACGCTTCTTGCGTTAAGATTTGGAACATAGACATAAAAGCCTAAAAATAAAATACATTCTATTCAAATGGATTTTTTTTTTCAATAATTTTGCGCACTCACGCACACACAAAACACACATATAATTATAACTTTGAAATATATTTATTATTTTATTCTTATAAGAAAAAAGAAAATGAATCGTATATAGATGCTGTATTGTTCTTACCTCTGGAAATGTTTCGAATTTAGTGAAATCGCATAAAAAACAAAAAAGCTGCATTGAAATACTTGAGGATATAACAAGTAAACACATTGTAAAAATGATTAGGCTACCCAATTTTTTTCCGGGGCCAAAAATTTTATAAACAAAGTCTTCTAACATTGGCGAAGCTTTAATTAAACGAACAATTCGAAGAACCTAAAAAATATATTTTTATTATTAGCATGCGGATCAAAATAATATTTATTGACTTTTATTAAATTTTAACATTGTCAACATAAAAGAGTATATTTAATTTTTAAGTATATTTATTTAATTCTTATAAAAAGTCAAATGTAATAAAATATAAAATAAAATAATTATTAATATGTATAAAAGGATTTAATTTCATTTTTAACGATTTTTATCATACTCTACATTTTCATTAGCTTTAAGTGCTTTCAATTAATATGCATTAGTAATGATGTTAATTTATGTTAGTAGTTACACAATGAACTTCGTAAATAATGAAACATGCACCTTTAGAGAAAGTATACAAACCTGAAAATAAGTGAAGCCAGAAAGATAGAAAAAGGGTATGACATGTATAGTAGTACCGATGGCAAGAAGTAGCTCAAATTTATGTATAGAATGTTTATAATAACTGCGAAAGCCGAGACAACATATCTTGAAAAGTGTCTCAAGATCGAGAAGTACGGTAAAGGCGATCTCGGCATAGTAGTATTTATCATAAAAAGTATGCCTAGGACGTTCATCGTGCTTAAAGTTCATGGTGGCTGTGGTGATACCGTTGGCAAGAATGGCACACATAACTACCATACGAAATTGGGGTGAACGTAGGATTGCCTGACACATAGGCGAAGCTAAGCCGCCGTGCTTGTTCTCATCGACGGTTACTAATTTCCATCCATTTTCATCTCCCGTCAATATTTGAGAAGCTGAGCTATTGCTAATTGTGCTTCGAACGCCCCACATTTGTTGAAACTGAACTCGAATTTCATTAAATGTCTCTGTAATAACCGCTATGAATACATTCTTTACTAGCCACGCAAGAAAGAAGATCATTGTACTAAAGTACAATATAGGGCGCCAAGCTGGCAAACTGTCGATTGCTCTATACATTATGAAAACCCAACCTTCTTGTGACGCGGCTTGGTACACCGTGAATATACTTGTTGCTATTGTCATTCAAAACAATGAATACATTAATAGATTTAATTTATACGAATAAATCCAGATTTATGGCAAAAGTACAATTCTTTTATATTCGCATATTTATTTCTTTACAAACATGCTTAAATGTCTAACTTCAAATCACGACGAAATGTTTCATGCATGAAAACATACTACTATTCAAGATTAATTAAGCTCTAGATTCGAGCATTTATATGATCATGCATACTTTTTGTATAATTTCCTTAATGCTACTTGTAATTGTGAGTAGCAATATGTAGACCTTGAATGTTCCGGCGATACAAGTTAAGTGAACTTTTCAAGAATCATTTATAATGCATGACAACTAACATCTATAATGCAATGCTCTTTATCGTCTAAAACTCTTTTCTTCATATAACATTAAGGAATATTGATCTATAGCACTAATTGATCAATCGAAGTAGACGATTTTTTTAACAAATACCAATCTGCTTTAATTCGAAATTCCTTACAGAGAAATTAAAAATAGTAATGAATTTTTTTTTAATAACACCATTAATAACTATTTAATAATAATTTTTAATAACAATAAATCATCGGCGTACAATGGATGTAGTATTATATATACATATATATATATATATATATATATATAAAATTCATTGCTTTATACATATATGTATGAAAGTAAATTATCAAAAGGCATTCATATAATATTTTCTTTCTGAGAAAGATCTCAGACTTTTCGTTCTTCCTATTATGCATCAATGCACAAAGCGACCATCATATCAATCATAATTCAAAATACCCGAAACTACTTTATACATACATTTGGCAGTACTTCGTTAATTTTAAATTTCATTGATCAATTGTTAAGTGAGAATGAATGTTATAATGATTATGTGTAAGATATCTGCGTTGTAATTTTATATAAACTTATTAAAAAATATTATCTGCTTATAATATTACTTATATCGTAATTAACACTTTTTAAAATTAAATTAATTATTATTGGATATCTATTTTACTGTTTAATTGTTAATTCACTGAATTTTATTCGTAACCGAACCAGAGTTGATATTCTAAAAAAACTTCTTTGGGAATTATCTTGAAAAGACAGTAGAATAGGGATTAAATACGACAAAAATGTACAATCCCGGAAATACAGATGAGCTTAATAAAAGCCTGCGACTTACTTAAGATGCGAAGAAAGTAATAATAACTAAAACAAAGTGTTATAATTTATTCGTATTATATTCTGCTCTGTTATTAAATTTATTGCCTTACACGACAACGCAACAGAATGTTTTGAAAAAAAATCTACTGTACTGTTAAACTAGAAAATACCTTGTCAAATTTTATTGCATAATATGAATAAAATATATGAATAGAACCATTTAATAATGATGATGTATGAAAAGAAAATATTCGTAATGAATGAGACCCACTTAAAGAAGGTATTTTGAGAGCAGATAAAGGAAATAAAAAGAATTTAAACTACTTAGAAAAATTATTCAAATTTATTTTATAGTGTTATAATACTCATGCAAATTCTCCGTTTTATTACTCAATTATTACTCATTTTTTATTTTAATGTATTATTTATCTATGCATCGAGAAATACATTTCAATCTCTATTCAAACGTTCGTGTATGCTACTATACGATTATTAATAAAAATTAAATAACGCATTATTATGAATAAAATTGAATTCCGAAAATTTTGTCAAATTAAATGGCTAATTTTTATGACAAATCGATTTTGTAACTTAACTATACAAGAATATCATTAAAAAAAGCTTTTTAACTTTTCATATACATTGGAAAGACAAACTATATTTGCATTTGCAAATGTGAAAACAGCTATTGCAATTTATGAAAATTAAACATTTATAAATAAAATAATAATAAAAATTTTATTAAATTTCTTAAAAAAAAAAAAAAAAAAAATTAATTGTAAAACTTTCGTTAATATGTTTCTATTTTCGTGCTTACATATACATCGACATGCACAAAGCACTAGTCTACATAAATGAATTATTAAAAATAAGTTGAGAGAATATATAATGCGATAGAATGAAACGGAATACACCGATATTTATGTTAAATTTTTATTTAAGGAATTGAAACGATAACTATACCAATGTTTCATTAAATATATAGATTTATAAAACAAGCTTGTGTGCAATTAAATTGAAGTAAAACCAAATTTTACTACGTGATTTAAAATCTACGACACTTTTAATAATAAAAAATTAAAATTCAGCATACCGAACTCATCAAATCCGTTAAAACCCATGATGTATTTGGATAATTCTAATTTTAAGCACTTCATGCCCTCGGGGCATTGATAACCAGATTTTGGATCCGTAGAACAAAACGTATCAGGAATTGCGAGGCTGTTGATGGTAATATGACGTGGATCGGTCGTATTTAATACGCAGTGATTTTTAAGTTCGCCAAAGAATTGGACTCCAAGTAGACCGTACAGGGACATAAAAAATAGGAAAAAAAGCGTCACATTGTAAATTTGTTGGCTCGAACGTCTAGACAGATAATTAAAAAAAAATTAGAAATACTGATGTACATAAAGATATTAATTCGAAGGTGAATTTATTTAATTAAATAATTACTAAATGTAATTTTTTATTTGAAAATTAATGTCTTTGCAATTTGTAATAAGTTGGTTTTCGTTTAATCTGCGATTTTTAATATAGCCGTTAATAAAATCAATATCGATTGTGATAAATATTTGATCCGATAAATTTATTTTCAATAAATTTTGAACGAATAAGGAGCATATGGATTTTAAACTATATATGCAAACATTTATGTATTTTTTTTTTTTTGCGAGCGCGTATATTTATGCGCGAAATAAAGATTATTTAAATATAATAGAATTGTAAATTCTTACTTGAAAATTTGATTGATTCTGGCTTTAGGCATTGAAAATTTGAGAAATACACGAAGGAATCGAATCATTATAAGTGGCCGAGGCGCTCGCAGAATAGATGCATAGCTGAATTTTAAGACAAATTGTAGCATCTCGAACATTTGAAGAATTACGGATAGCCAAAGAAAAAATACCATACTCGCGTCGAATTGACACCAATGATCTTTTAAATATGATTTTTCATTCTGAAAATACATAAATATATATAGTGAGGCAAAGAGTTTTGTCAAGATTTTTCAAGATTTAACGATTATTCCTTGAAATATTCAAGTCACTTTAAGTAGCTTACTTTCAATATACCACGAATGTGCATTTTCGCTATCATTTCTGCAGTAAATAAAAATGTGACAACAAGATCACAAATAAAGGTGACGTATTGAAGTGGTGGTACTTTTTCAAATGTCTTTGGGGTATTAAGGCAGACCGAGGCTAAAGAAACTAATGCACAAAATCTCATCAATCTCCTCACCCATAGCTGTAAAAAAAGCTCCATATTATTTTCTTATACAATTAAATAATTGAAATAGTTAAAAATTGTTGTTAATAGAAGAATAGAAGATGAAGAATAATTTTGAAAGACGTTTCAAGAAACCTTGTACTATTTTATACGATTACAAAAATACCATTTTGAATAATAATTTGTCATTTTTCTTAAACGAATGCTTTCTACTTATTATCGAGCTATTAGCGATAAAAATAGGAATCCAAAAGAAATAAATGGCATGCAATTTCGCCGGCTCTAGAATGTCTCACTTTGTTCACCCATTCGATGTCAGCGCTTTCGTTGAGTGACTCCTCTGGTCCATAATCTGCCAGGACAGGTTCTCCTTTCAAGCTTTGCTTCCGTCCCAACATCATAATTGGAATTATATTCGCAATGATGAAGCCTGAAAACAAGTGTAGCCAACATTTGTGATAAATTTATTCACAAACGGCGTAGCAACATGTATATTATTAATCGGCTTTTAAATTGATATCTTAAAGAAAATAGAAGGAAGTGCTGAATAAATAAATGTTATATTATTTACGCGAATAATGTCATTGGGTGACAAAAATATAGCGAAAATATAGAATGTTCATATAATCTAAAAATATAATAATTTTTAATAATAAGCAACTATCAGTAATTTAAAATATCTTCTTTGGTGTTATTTGATGACTGAAATTGTGCGTGTGTGGGTGTGCGCGCACGCTTGTGCACGCGAATTATTACTGGCTATCCTATTTTCATTGATTAATAGTAATGGTATAGAAATAGATTGTTTAAATTCAAAATATCGTAAAGAAGCATTAATATAACATTTGAAATTCTATTCAATGAATATTTTTTAAAATTGCATTTAAAAAATATATGCAAATATACAAAGATTTTAAATTATACTCGTAATATTATAAACTTATAATGATTTACTAGGTATTACTAATCTTATCTATTTCTTATTTATAAAAGAATATCTATTATTATATATTAAGTTATTTCGTAAATCATCGCTATTACATTTATTGTTTTCCATTTTATTGCGCAGATATTGAGTAAATATAATATTCCAAACTGTACATTTCAAATCATTGTGAATAATGTGTTCTTTATGAAATGTGAAAATAATGTGAATTTATGAAAAAAAAGTGATACGAATCGACAATTCCCAATCGAACAAAAGTTTGATCTTAAATGAACTTCTGTCGATATTAATAGATTTATATGAATATAATCGTTAATTAGTTAATTTTTATAATATAATTTGAGCAAGTAAATAAAATCGTATCCTATTTATATTTATTTTATATCACTTAAAAAATTAACTACTCATTTTATACTAAATTAGAAATCTGAACAACAATTTACAATATTCTAATAATAAATTTATACAATTAAAAATGTTAAAACATATTTCAAATAAATAATTCTCCAGCTTCAAAACTTCCGCTTTTTCTTTTACAATGGATCTTTCTATATAAAATGAGTAAATTAAATGTTTGCACTTAAGATTATTTCTAGACACATAAAGAAATGTTATAAAAATTATACGCAATATAAAGATTATAGATTCGTATACAACATTGTATAATTATCTTTATAACTTATAAAATCATAAATTCGTCTATGAAAATATGTTACAAGAAGATAATAAAATATTGATAATAAATTATGTTGTTAATTAAGCACTTAATTCACCTGTTATTCGAGCGTGTCAACGCTCGAAATTGTCCACGATCCAAAATATTCTGACGATTAATTAAAGAAAGAAAAAAAAACGTTTTCTTGTTGAATAAGCTTTTTCCAAAATCTTAGATATCTGCATTTTTATCAATTTGCGCTTGGCACTCAAAGATGTTATTGTTTATTAGTGCGGATACAACTTCCATTATCTACAATATCTTGAGCTAACGTTAAGTCTCAAGTCACAATGATGCAACTTTACTCCTGTCATTATTTACTCTGAACACTGAGCAGCTAAACGCAATTGCCTCAGTGCGCAATCGCCTTCCCCTCCTAATATGCTCGCTCTGATCTTTATAAAACCACCCTCTACCAAATTTATTCCACATAAAATACCAATATACCGTTAGGTACATATTTTTCAGCCTCGTGATGTACATATTCAAATAATTTATTGTATGTAATTAATATATAAGTATCTTCAACATATATCTAATGAATTAAAAATAATGATTTCATGGAAATCTAATGTTAAAGAAATTTGGAATATATACGGTCATGCACGCGCGCCTACACATTATAATTATTTTATTTGAGATATGCATTTTGAAAATAACTAAAGTACATTAAATAATTTTATTTTTCATATCCTACTGTTAAATTTATAAAAGCTTATAATAAATATTTAAAAATTTCGCATAACATTTATATTTATAAAATTAATTGCAAGATAAGAAAATTCAATATCATTTTATTTAAGAGTTTATACACTCAATATTTAGTTATAGCTATTTAAATTATTTATTTAAGCTATTTAAAAAAAAAATTTCTTATTTATCTTCACAGTGTAGCATTCATATTAAGAATAAATGCATTCATAATAAAAGGGTTTTAGTTTATCATAATTTCATATTAAATTGCAATAATTAACTTAATTTAATATATTATAGTTATAATAATTTAATGTATATTATAATTGTAATTAATATTTAATATTTGTTTTTGTAGGTATTATTAGAATTTAATATTATATGGGCGTGTGGGTAATACAAAATTTTTACTATTGATATATCATATTTGTATTTTAAGTATAATTTGTATTTTATTCTACTAATAAAATTATGAGTCGAATTACACTTATATTAATGTTATAGTCGTATTATAGCATTCGTATTATATAGTTTTTTTTTTCATTTTTCTTTTCAAATCTATTCAAATTACGTACGTATTTTCGCAACGTTAATCTGGTAAAAATTCATAAACGTTACATTTATGAGAAGTTATAAACAACGAATTTTATATTAAAATTAATTTTTACATAGTGACTTAGTGAACTCTTAAAAAATATTTACTATAATTGTAATAATTTATTGTTTGAAGCATAAATTACAAATTTTAACGATAACAAAAAATGCCTTATTAATCCAAAAATATACTCAACAAGACATTAATTATATTTTAAAGTTTATAAATTTTATTTACAAAAGTCGAGTTTAAAATTGAATTTAAATTAAATCTACTACTAAATAAACTATTCTGTGAATAAGATATTTAAATTTACCTTACAATTCATAGATGAATTTATTTTTATAGCATTCTCAATTTTAATAACGAAATCCATTAAGTAAAAATCATTACAAAAGATAAATATACTTTTCTATAATTGAAAGATTATTAAAATTTTTAATTATCAACATTATAAATTTGCATTTGTCGATGATCACGGTAAACAAGTAGTGTCCGATATACGAGTTTATTATTATAAGAGTAAATCTTAGAAAGGAGAAAATCAGTTTATGGCTAATTTTCAATAAAATAAATGTCTTGTATAATAAATTATATAGTAAATTTCACCCTCTAATATAAGCATTAAATTTTGTTTACGTTGAATGTAATTTTTAAATTGTGATAAACAAACTATTATTTATTATAAAAAATAAAAATAAAATTTTTAGAAAATTGAACAATTGATATATTGACGTCTCATAAACTTTTGATTTTTTTTATCGAATAAGTGTTTAAAGATAATTTTTTATTAAATATTTAATAATATTAAAAATGAATTTTTTTTATTAATATACATATATATTACATTTTATTCATATTTTATATACTGTGTAAGTTTCTGATTATTAAAGTAAAGAAAACATTTGAATAATTTAGACCATAAACTTAAAGGATAAAAATATTAATGACAAATAATATCTATTTTAGTTATGGAAGTTTATAAATATGAGCCATATTAAATAAAATTTTAATATTTATTTAGAATTCATTTAATTATAAAGTGCAGAACATCTTAAAAACTTGGGAGTAATTTGTTAGCTAATATTTATTTAAATTGTAGGTTTGAGAATTAAATATTTGTATGATATATTTGAAATACAATATTTTTATTATATAAATAGCATACAATTAAATCACTTATACAAATTAAAGGAAATTTAGACTGGATAATTAAAATATCAAATTTATTATTTTACAGATATCAAGTTTATTATTATTCATTCGGAAAGTCTTTTAACATTAATATTGCATCCTTTACTTGAGCAACATTTATTAATAGTTTTCAGGAGTGTACACAAGTAGTGTCTTTTTATTCAAAATATTAATATTAAGACACAAAATCACGTTTTTTTTTAAACTGTGTAACGTTTTTATTTTAATATGATCATAGATTTTACGTAAATTTCATTATATTATCTCTTTCAATGATTTTCATTATTTTATTTCAAAAATGATAATCTTGATGTATTTCATTTAATTATCTTAATGATAATCATTTTATTATTATGAAAAAATATACTATTTGTTTGTAAATCAAACTAATAAATTGTAAATGTTTTTTTCTCTACAATTACAAAAATTAAAAGCAGAGTGTTTATCGATGACTTAAAAAATTGTCATGTTACAAATTTGTAACATAAACTCAAAATTGCAAAAATGTATTTTGTTACACAATTATAATACTAATTGTTTTGTAACCTTACATTCTAAAATTTACCTTACAATTAGTGTTTATGTTTATTTTGTTAAGTATCATAAAATGAAACGCAAGGTGAACGCATTTTGGTAGTTTATCATTGCATGATGATGTTGCCAAAACTGGTCTATGAATGATGTGATTTCGAATTGTTATTAAACATTTCTAGTTGAATGATTAAAAACTATTGTAGTTGCTACCACTGAGTTGACTATTTCCATATCCTCTATTGTTTGGAGAATAGCCAGGCCTAAAGTTATTACCAAGACCTATAAACAAAATTTAGTAGCAAATTTTATAACATCATTTACAATACAAATGTAATAAACAAAATTTATATAATACCTCCACAGAAATTTCCGATACCTCCAAGCATTCCACTTGAATTTCCACCTGAACTAGGACCAGGTGAGGAATTTAAAAAGAGTTCAATATATCTGTGAGACATGTGACTTTTATCTTTTGACATAGCTTTTAATGCTTCTTCGTGAGTTACAAACTCAACATCAGCCTCACCAGAAGCTCTTCCTCCACTCTCAAGAATTATTCTGATATTAAGTGGTACAAGGGGTCTAAAAAACTGTAACAAATAAAAACAATTTAATAAGTATAAGAATGAAATTTGTTTCAAAATTAATGTTTATTAATTAATATATCAAAAACTTAATTGATTAGATTAACGAATCAACACTCCTATAAGAGTAACTAATTAGTGATAATATTTATATTAATTTTAAATGAATAGTATTTCTGTTTAAGGTTAATACGTTTTTTGTTTAGTTATATCTAAAGCATAGTAGATATTAAGATCTTTAGTAAATATTAAGATGTTCTATAGAATTATCAAACATTCACTTATTAGTTTAAAAATTAATACAGTTTCATTAATACATAAAACATAAAGCAAAAAGATGTGTTTATGCAAAGATTTAAATTTTACAGCATCTGATAAACGTTAAATCTTTATTTAAATATTTACATCAGCTATATCTTGCTCCGTTGCTCTAAAAGGTAAGCCTCTCATGTGCACACAGTGTACACCGGTATTATTACTGTTCCAGTTATCATTACCCCTGAAATTTCCACTTCCTTTCATATCCATACCACCTCGCATTCCACCACCCATATTGTTTCCACGTGATTGGAAGTTATTACCGCTATTCCATCCTAGGCCATTGTCAAAATCTAAATTTTGAAATTACTATTAAATTATTTTGAATATACATATAAATATTAATCACTTAAAACAAAAACTTAATTACATTCAAATACAGAATTCGCAATTGTTACAAATATTTAAGACGACAATCAATGTACCTATGCTTAATTAGTTGCAATGGTATACAATTTATAAATTATAATTAACAATTACTCAAAAAATTAAAAATATATTATTAATTAATAATTTGCTCAATTGTATTTGAAAACTGTTTAGAAGTTTTAATAACATTCAATCTGGTATTTTATATACAGAAAAATTAATTTCTAGAAAAATAATTATTTGAATTAGTTGTTAGTTTCAATTATGCTTTAAATAAAATATCATATGTGCTTACGAGCCACATGACAAATATAAAAATATCTATTTGTGAATGCTGTAGGTGTGCTGAGTTGTAACACATGTAAAATCAATGATTGTGAATGTCACATCTTCACAAGACAGCATTTGCAACTTAAATTTCATTATTGAAAAAATGTTCCAATTAATAATCGGTGTACTAAAAATATTTAAGTTTTTAAGTTTGCATTTTAATGATATAAATAATATATTGTTTTAAAGTATATAATTGTACATTAGGATATAAAGTTAAATAAATCTAACCTCTATTTCCTCCTCTATTTCCTCTTGCATTATTGTTGAAACGATTCATCCCACCAAACCTACTTCCACGATCATATGGAGCAGGTCTTTGATTAAATCCACCCATTGGACCACCACGCATTTTGAGTCCAATACTAGCTCGAACTTCTGATAAACTACTTCTGAAGATTTCAATGTATCTGTTGGTCATTATTAATAGATGTATTAATAACAATAATTATGTGCGATAGTTTATTATTCTTGCAATAAATTTCTCAGAAAGAAATTAATATAAAATATAAAGAAAATGATCTATAAATGATGGTGACGGAGTACAATATTATTAATATTAAAAGAATATTAACTTTAACAAAAATGTTTTAAAAGCCAACAAGTTATAGTAAGAAACTAATTATTTTTTAGTAATGCAAAACATTTAACTAAACTATAAATTAGTAAGCAAACTTATTAAATAATTCAATATATATATATATATATATATATATATATATATATTTACATTTTATTATAATCACATTTAATTATAAAGTTATCTCATATCGATAATATATATTATCATTAATATATGTGGATAAATATTTACTATTATACCTACGTCACCTCATTGCACATTAAGCAATTGTAAATGAATCACGTGTATTAACATTTCATTATTAAAAAGAATTTTTCAATAAAAAATATTTTATTACAAAATTTCTTAGATTATTAATTATTATATATCATAGGTAAATAAATATTAGAAAAGAGTAGCATTAAATACAGTAGCAAACTAGTATTTTCCTTTACATAACATGGTTTATTTACAATTGCAAAATAAAAATAAATATTACAATGATATTTACTACCTCCGAGAGCCCACCCTTCTACGGTGAATTGCCTCGGGGCAGCCCTACCCACCTCCCATGGATATTGAAGTCGATGTAAAGGGGTACCTCCCGCCCGGAGCCCCTACCCATTGGTTTTGCTCGGGCCAACAGTACTTTGTTTACATACGACTCGTTTTTTTTCTTCTTTGATGTAATTTCAATCAAACAGTTTCTTTACATTTTTAAAATTCAAAATAATAAAATGAAGCAATATAAAATTTGTATTAATATATCACACAAATAAAATAATTAATTATACGTAATTCAACTTGACAAACACGTGGTGAAAAAGAAAATCATGTCAAACCATACCGAATAAAATAAGGTAAAATAAATGTATTGTGAATTTTATGCACCTTGTAAAGAAACTATTTAAAATAACAAATACTCATCCCGCTTTATCAACCATAGGAAAGTCGATAAGCTTGCGTAGGACTGTTTATCGTAAAATGATAGAAAAAAATCATAAGTATACCCGAACCGAGCTCAGTGCCCCACCTGTGTCCTATCTTTTCCTTGTGTTTCTGCAGAGCGCGCTCCGCAACATCTTTGTTAACAAACTGAACGTAAGCTTCCCCAGTACTGCGGCCCGTGTAGTCTGTCGGTAGTGAAATCCCGTTCGGCAATATCTCCAACCCTGACCCACACATAATCAAACAACGAATTGCAGCTTAGCGCCCATTAAATTTGTTTCTTTTCTCATTTTAAATTTTTATCTTATTTTGTTATATATTCGATAAAAATGATTAAAATACCCTTACAAATTAAAATCGTAAAAAAGATTTTTTAGTTATTCTTTGATAGTACAGAGAAAAAATACTTCAACAGATTTATGCAATATAATTAATAACTCTGTTATATAAAAATTTCATGCATATGACTTCAAGATAATACTAAAACAAAACTATGGACTTCGAACATTAAAATATAATGTTAAGGCTTAAATTTACATTAATATTGATAGACAAATGCAGTTATTATACATTGTATGAAATGAGAATTACAATTACGTACATTTTTTAGTAATCGATGGTATGGTTAAGAATTTTCTTTTTGAAAAAATTAATGGTTCAAACAAAATTAGTATACATAAAATAGTGAAAAAAATCGAATACTAAAAAGAAAAATTTTATTGGAAATTGAACTACTTGAATAATGCTTGAAAACAACATAAATATTATAAAATTAACAACCTCTTGATTAATGATAAAAAGACAAAATTAATTCATCACATGTAAAAAAACAAGAGTGAAAATTCCTTAAAATCTAAAATACAGTACAAATAGGATTTTAATAAGACAATTATAAATTAGCTTCGTTTTCAGTCTACAATTTTTAAATAATTTTCATTAAAACATAGGTGTGTAAATTTATATTTGCATTGAATAAAAAAAAAAATAAATAAAAACAACAACATTAACATGCATATTATATGAATAAATAAATTCTTTTAAATTCAATAAAAAAAATTACAAAATGTATTTGTTCTCTTACTTAATAAAAATAAAAATAAATAATTTTCATTTGTTTGAATACTTTACAAGCCATTTAAATATGAAATTTATATTAATTTTCAAATTTACATTTTATAATATATACTTATAATTTGTGTACATCAAATATAAATCGTTAATCACAATATAGATTAGTACCTGAGAAAAATTGTGCAATCTCTTCTTTTGAACAACCAAATGGTAAACCTCTTAATCTAACACATCCATCGTCCATAGCATTTTCTAAATTTAAACCACTTCTTTTTATTACCCATTCCATTTCTCCTCTCTTGGCTTTAAAAACTGTAATTTAAAAATTTTATTTTGATTTATTATTTTAAATTATTTACAAAAGTACACACACGCACACGCACGCATGCACGCACGCACGCACGCACGCACGCACGCACGCACGCACACACACACACACACACACATACATACATTAATATATTTAAGTTGAACTGAAATAGAATTTTCATATTAAAATTATTCGATATTCAATTAATGAAATACTTGAATCCCAACGAAACTTTTCATAAATATAAAATAGATAATATTTAAAAGAGAATTATATTAAAAAAATACACAACTGAATTTTGTAAAAAAAAGTATTCATCAAATAATTTATGCACAAAATTTCAAATTTTATTCAGCTAACATGTTTAATTATACCATGTGAACAATAAAATAAATATTAATTTAAAATATTAAAAGATGAAATTAAAAAGTAATTTATATATACAAAAAATTTTTATAAATTGTAAATAGATTATTTTACAAAATATTATGTAATTACAATCTAATTGTAAATTAGATAAATATACAAAAACAAAATTTTTATTTATTATTGGAACATTAAAACTGAATATAGTTTAGTAATTATATATTTAATAATAAATTTAATAACCTTCAATATAGCGATGGCCCATATGATCTCTATCTCGTTTACAAGCTTTCTCTATATCTTCCTCGGAATCCATTTCAATATACGCTTCTCCACTTGGTCTGCCTTCTCGAGACATTGTCATATGAATACCTGCCTTACCATGAGAAATACTGCAATCTCCAAAAAACTTCATAATTTCATCGACAGTCGTTGACCAAGGCAAACCTCGTACTTTTACTACGTATCCCTCTTCGTCATGATCATTTCCATTTGCCATTGTGAATCTAAAATAATGAATCTATGTAATAAAAAAATTTCACAATTATCGACTGTGTATAACACTACTAACTAATAATGTACTGTATACAAGATTGCATGAAGTTATATTGATAATTTATTTAATTAAAGCTTGTGTTTTCAAAATTTAAATACTGTTAAATAATAAAATTTAAATTACAAGTGGAAGATCTACTCGATTTAATCCTTTACGAAATAAAATGAACAGCGATACCAAAGTATTAATACGATTTCAAAGCCGTTAAGCGATATCGCTACGATAATAGCGTCTGTTTCCAGACGCTCTCTTGATACAAATATTTTCAAATCTTATACTACAAAACCGACTTACTTAATTAAATAGAAAAGGCAATATTTTATAACTATTTAACTTGAAAAAATTACGTCTCCAGGTGTTTTATTAAACTCCACAAAAAAAGTATATTAATTAATTGTTAAAATCAATAAGCAAAGCAAAGGTTATTGATGGCACAGAATCTTTTTCTCTAACTTCCAGTACTTCGTTGATATAAAATGGCGCCGAGACTAAGAAATAACTTCGGAAATCGGAAATGACGTTATTCTGCATTTCAAACTATGATTGCGTGATAAACCTAGTGAGTTCCGATGGGGTAAAAAATAGTCTAAGGCAGGTAATATACAGGAGGAATATACATCCAGAAATTAATATTTTAAAGAACATTATTGAGCAGGATTTTATTTGCTTTACATACGGATCATAATAAATTTAGGGCTATAGCATATTATATATTATTATTTATAATACATTCATCTATCGAAAACAACTTTTGTTATATTTATTGACAAAGAAAAAATACAGACATTCATAAACTTTTTATACCTGCAAACAGATTAATAAGAATTACTTGTAAATTTGTTGCATATGTTTATTAACAGCATGTTTTATGTTGTCTCTTTTCTCTTGCTTAACCGGCAAATATTTGCACGAAGTATTGATAAAAATGTCGGTTGACACGATCGATGCTTCGTTGATCGAATTCTTCAATTTATTTTCGTTATTTATTAAAAAATAAAAGATTGTAACCATTATTTAATATAATTAAATTAATTTATAAAAATTAATATCTATATTAATATTTATATTATTAATAAAAAACAATGTCTCAATTATAAAGCAGATGAATAAATACAAATTTTAGAAATATTCAACATTCATTCTAATGGTAATCAATAAATATATAATATAAAAATAATAAAAAATGTAATACGTTTTACAGTTTAATAATAATCAACGACTTATAAAATATTAATAAAAAATAATCACGATTACATAAATTAAAGCTAATGAATTTTGTTATTTTATAATCTATATTTACAAATGTAGCTATATATGCTTATCTAGAAATACTAGCAACTGTTTTATTATTAGATCAAAACTGAACTCCTATATTATTTTATCTGATATCAAAGATTTCTTCTTGGTATTCTAATAACGATTGCGTAATTGTCTATTATCAACAACAACAAAAATGTATTTTATAGTTAATAAAACAATATTATCAAAGCTGAAAAATTTTGATTGCAATATTAATTATCGTTGCTTTCAATAAATTGTTTCTTATTTTTATAACGGATTTTATTTAGTGAAATTATGCTGCACGTTTCAGATGAAATCTTTAATATTCATAATTTATGAGAGAAGAGAGAATTTCTGGAGAAAGTAGTACTTGAATAATTTAAGTGAGCAAGGGAGACTGATTAGATAGTTAATTATTTTAAGTGTGACAAATATTTTAGAAAATATATATAAACGAAATTAAACTGCTCATTTTTAAATTTTAATTTATTATATTACAATATAAAGGAAAAGTAATACTTGAAATTTAATTTTAATTATTTTAATATAAATTGTTTTTTTAATTAATAGAATAATATTAATCTAATATAATAATAGACAGCATAATAATCAAAATGAACGTAACAAAACATAATAAAAAAATTATATGATTTGATCAAGGTACATGGTTTATCTGTATATCATGTGTTGTTTATTATAAATTTTATATAAATATTGATAGCAATAAATAAGATTTTTGATGTTTTATTAAATTCTATTCCAAGATTTTGTTGCTATCATTCCGTTTTTGATTATTTTTTTACACATTCAATATGATCTTATAAAATACTTTAAACAATTTTTATCTACTTTGATATAAATTTTTTCATTTTTGTGAATCAGTACCAAGATAGTTTTTAACATAAATTTTCTGGACAAATTTTTTTACACCCTTTTATTTAATTCAAAATGTTATCTTGAAATTAAATATGTCTATGATCCGATGGAACTCCCTTTGAATGCCATATTGTTATACGTACATTATTTCCTATATAATATTTAAGCTCCCATCAATTTCCATCAATGCAACATAAATATTTGATATAAAAATATAAAAATTATCTTTTAATGTTTAGACATTTAAAAATCAGCATTGTGTGAATAACAAATCATTTATTTCTAAATTTAATTTTTTTCTTATTTTGAAGCCATTACTTCTTTGTTAATTATCATAGAAATCTGAAATTATATATTACAAACCATATCTTGTTTACTTTACAAGTCTTATACTTATTTCTAATGAAGTCAACTTTCAAATAATTACAAGATTTTATAATAAATACAATATTTATGTTAGAAATAAATAATTAAAACAAAGTTATTAATACTTTTAATTATAAAAAATAGTCTTTGTGTATGTATTTCTGCGTTTATCGTTTTAAACAAATTTTGTTTAATTATAAAATAATAATATTTATCTGTCAAAAATTGGTAAAAAATTAGAGCAAGTTAAATGCAAATAGTATCCCTGTATTTATGTATTAAAAGGTTAAAAGTACAGTATAAAATATTCTTTAACAATAATTAAACATACTTTTTAATAAATACATTTCTTTCCTGATTAAGCCATTCGCTAATTTTTTCACTATTCTTTTCTACCCATTTAATGTTTGCAGCTACTGTCTCAAGAGCCTGAGCTCTATAACTGCTACCAGCTCCAGCTTCTGGATATTTTTTGAAGAAATCTGTCATCTCATTTAACTTATCTTTAGTACTAAAGCTCATTGTAATTAACGGTAATAGTTTCCCAAGGTAGCGATCATTTAAAGTGTAACGCTTAACAAGAAGAAGCCAGTTCTCACGCACCCAGTCCCATATCAGATAACATCCAACAGGATTCATAGAAATACTACTTAAGCAATTGAGTGCGTCCTGTGTACGTACGTAATTTTCATCCATTGCTAAATTAATATATCTGAAAGTAAATATAGTAAATATATTATTATTTATTTTATAAAAATATTAAAAATAATATTATAATCTCATTCTTAATTTATAACTGCATTAAGATAATATAAAATACATTTATTTATTAAAAATAATTACATTTTACGTTTTCAATTGAATTTGTATTAGTACTTTTTATTATTATTAATTTTAATATCTATTAGAATCCAAATGCATTGCATATTTTAAATGTTATATTAAATACTCACTGAAGCTAGATTTAAAAACTTTAAACATAATTATAAAATAAATTCAATTATTATAACTGCTTTTTTTTTTAATTTTGATTACTTTCAATTCAATTTGATAAAGACAAAGCACTACTTGTTATACTTCATACTTTTTTAAAACCTCAGTCAAGCGAATACCAGCCAATCCATGCATCAATTTCATTTTTTCGGCAGCATCAGTTTCTTTAGTAAATCTTTCAAACATGATATTCCAGTTATCTTCACGATTGATATGGTTCATACCTGTCATCATAAAATAATAATAATATCGTAAATTAATTTTCATAAATATGTTAAAATTACATTGCATTCGATCGCTATATATGTATAAAATAAAAAGATTTTTATTACAAACAAATTAACAGATGCGAAGTTAAATGTAAAGATCACGAGATTTAACAATTTAAGCATAAGTGTTTATTTAACCAATTATTAATTACTTATTTACATTATGTTTTATATAATATTAATTCATAAAAATTTCATTTAGAGTTGAAATCGATAGATGAAAAATAAAGTAATTATTTATATGTATTGTTAAAATATAGGACTAATAATTAATTAATTTCAGACATTTACTATTTTACCATAGTAATAGACGTATCCACGAATATCTGGATGTAAATAGTTATTTTTTTCATCATTTATCCAGTTTTTAAAAATGATGCCAACATCTTCTAAGCATTCACCATGGCCAATCGAGCAGGTAAGTTCCAATATTGAACTTCTCAAATTTCTGGGATAAAATTCAAAATAATATTAGCAGTCTTTCTATTAATAATACCATATTTGTAATAGATAATCGTATTCCGTATTGAAGCAAGTTGTAAGTTACTGAAATTTTTTCCATATGAATATGATTTTTATTCAAATTTTATAATAAAAAAGAAAGAACGAAATTTGATTTAAAGTATTATTTAACAATTTCTACTTCTATTAGATACCGTTCATTCTAAATTATAAAAATCATTTGATAATTCTATCTGTAAATGCATATGTATTATATCATACATAAAACTAATTATGATAAACAATGTATAATTCTATAATATTCTTTTACTCACAATTTTTCGTGATCTTCCATTTCATTAATATTCCAAGTGACATCATGATACGTACTATCCACCAGATCTCTCACGTATGTCTAATATAAAAAAATATCATCAGATACAAGTTGCCATTATAATTATTATGTTTATTGCATATGTATTAAACATTGAAATGTTCAATATGTAAATTCATAAAACTGAAAAATCGACTATACACAGATAGGTAAAACAATAATTAGATGCTGAAATCGATGAAAGCGATATACTAAATAAAAGTATTTCATAATATTCCTACCGAATGAAACTGAAAATATTCACGTTTCTTACATCATTTGCTATTTATTTAGATTTCTAAGAAACTAAATCTTTATACAACGAAATACAATAACAGCAGTCAATATAATTATCGATCATTTAAAAGCATAATTCAATAAGAAATTAAATTAAAACATTTTTTTCCAAAAAAGAATGAAAAGTGTATTTAACAATTAGTAATATAATGAATCTTACGCGAAATTCTGTTGAAATTTTTGTTGAGAATAGTAACTTGTCTATAGCTTTTAGTTTATTAGCAGCTACAACCCATGGAGAAAAGTGTTTCTCTTTATGTAAATAAAGTGTCATGTTCAGTGGTATAATGTAATCAAGCTCTCCTGCATTAGCCAAACTAAAAGCATCTTCGAGAAGGTGTGTTCTATCTTGAACAGAAAAATACTAGAAGAAAAATAAAAATATACAATTTATTTATAATTTATAAATTCATATTAGAAAAATTTATGTAAATAATATTTGAACACTTTATGTAAATAATATTATTATTTGACTATAAAAGAATAGTATAGATAATAAATTATTTAAAATTACTTAAAATTATTAATTAAAATTCACATTGAAATTATTTACCTTTATTATAAAAATAAAAATAATATTTCAAATACACAAAATAAATTTTCTGAAAAAAAAACCATTCATCTACCTTGTCAATAAAATTGATTTGATTAAGGACATATTTTAACAGAAAATATTCTAATAAAAATTTGAACTACTTGAAAAACGATACTGACCTCTGGATTCGTTAAAAGTATATTCAACAAATTTTCCCATTCAGATTGATTATAATTTACTCGATAATATCCAACTTGGTTAACATTAAATTTGATCCAGTCGACTGGTTCATCCAACTTAATTGACACTGTAAATAATATTTATAATAAATTTATTAATGATATTAAGTTTAATTTCTGTAAACATACAAAAAATCGAGTGAAACAGGCAACTCAAGTGTATCTAAGTTTAACTAAGCACTTTAATAGGATATTAAGGAAAATCGATTAAAGCTTAGATTTTTCTTTTAAATTTATTTAAATATTGCATATTATTGTTTTTACGAATTAATTTGCTCTGTTAATAATCAAATACTATGACGAAAATTCCATTTGCTTATAAATAGATTCATAATGTTTTTATATAGTTGAGATGTTTAACAATGAAATTGTAAAATCAAATAGAACATCTAACAAAAAGGGTGTATACATAGCTGTTTGATTGCAGTTTGATTAACTATAAAATAATAATCTTACCAAATAATTATAATAAATGAGAATACAATTAAGTATTATTTATGCTTGTATGCACTGCATGTATATAGCATACATACAGTATAAATGCTACGCAACTGTATTTCCATTCGTTTGATTATTTAGTAAGTTTATTGTTTTACAGAAAACAAATATCTAACTTAGATAGAATATTGGAGAACTTCTTAGGTAAATTGAACTTATACGTTAAGTTATTGATAAATTAAAATGGAAACTATTAATAGTTATAATGAAAGTGTAAAAGAAAAAAACTAAGAAAATTACATATTTACTTACAGTTGCTAGCATCTTTGTCGAACCATACTATTGTCGGAGAAGAATTTTTATTTGTAATATATGTAATTGGAATAGTCCATTTGTAACTAGATTTTGAAATATCAGAAGGATTACTACTAGGATTGTATAAAAATCTTTTTTGTGTCAAAGTGTATGTAAGTTTTTGTTTGGAAACACTAACGACTGGATATCCCATTTGTTTTGTCCAAGTTTTCATAATTTCTTCAATATTAATTTTATCTGTAGTCTTTATGCCATTATAATTATCATATGCTTGCTGTAGTATTTGAACAAGATCAGTAGTCGTTGCATTGCCGTTTGTAAATTTTTCTAAATAGTTTTTAATACCTATATAGAAAATCTCAGAACTAATAAAATGTTCTAACATGCGTAAAATTGATGCACCCTGAAAAATCATTTAATTCGCTATTAAACGTGAAACATTTAATACGATAAATTAAGTTTTTATTAAATATAATTTGTATTATGTCAATAATATTTCCGTATGAATAGTATTTTTAGTACTTCCAATATGTAGCTACAAATTATTTCAAGAAACAATTTTACAAATATTTTTAATGGATTGATGTTTTCTTAGTGATATTAATTCTTTAGGTAATACTTGATTCAATAAGCAATTAACACTATTTATCATATTCTGTACCATGGCAAATAATTTTTGCCTGAAAAATTATAATTATTATGTAATAGTTATAAACCTTTTGATAGGAAATAACGTCAAAAATAGCAGTAATTTGATCAGGATTGCTAACTTCTTGTACAATAGGACGAGAACTTAAAATAGCATCTGCTTTCAGAGCTGGATGCAAGACTTCGATTAAAAAATGGTCCAACTGGTAAATAAAATATTCCTCATAAACGATATCATGTGAAAAATATGTTTAAAAGTAATATAATTCCTTACAAATTTACATTCGGGTAGTATTGCATCGGAACTTTTATATTGCATATATGTTGCAAAACCCTCATTCAGCCATAGATCATCCCACCAAGCCATTGTGACTACAAAATTTCATTTAGTTTTTATAAAAGAATAATTAGGATTTTTATTAGAATCCATTCTTATTCTTATAAGTAAATATTTTTAAAAATATTTTTATCCTCGTTTATTGTATTTTTCTTTTTTGTTTGTTTCTTTATTTCTTTTCTTTTGTTTTGTTTTTGCTTATCAACCTTATTCTACCTGTCCTAATTTAATGTTCATAATTCTATTACTATTAAGGATAAGTTAGGTATTGGGCATGTAATTGTGAAAAATAATATGTCGATATCATAAAATGTTGATTTATGATCATAAATGATGTCGGTAGATTTTCAACATTTCAGACACATCAAATTTATTTTTATCGCGTAATGTTATTATAAAACCTTTGTTTCTTCAACTTTATTTAAGAACAATCTTGTATTGTAATTTTTATAAATTTAGTGTAAATATTTTGTAGAAACTTTTTGCTCCAATAAACCATAAAAATACAATCGCATTTATGTTGGATATCACATTTTTTAATTAAGTGGAATATTGAATAGATTTTTAAAAAAATTTAACATAAAATGTAATATATTTATTGCTTAATGCGAAATAATAATCAGCGTACAATATGAATACAAAAAGGTAGAATAAAATATTTATAGTTACCTAAATTACCAAACCACATGTGTGCAAATTCATGTCCAATTACTTTAACTATGCCTTCTTTATTTGTTGTAGATGCTGATTTATCATCGAACAAAAGTCTAGCTTCTCTAAACGTCACAAGTCCCCAATTTTCCATAGCACCTGATACGAAATCTGGAATAGCTGCCATATCTTTTGAAAGAAAAGAAATGAAAATTTTAATTAATTTTAATTTTGTATACATTATGTTCATCATATTAAATGTATGTAATAATACAAGTATTATTAAACAAGTAATTTAATTTGAAATTATGATTTTATATTTTTAATTCTCATTTAAATAATAATGATTTCAAAGAATCTAAGAAATTTTGATAAGATTTGCGATTTTTTAAAAAATTTTTTTTGTTCAAGGATATAGAAACAAAGTATTTTCAATTCACAATACATATACTTAATTGTCTGTTACATTAATAATAATTACTAATTATAAAGATATTTTTTTATAGCTAGTTTCTTTATTGTACTTATAATAAATCAATTTATAATGAATTTATAATGAAATGAAATATAATAAAATGTATAATAATTTGATTGGTGATTTCAATAAGACATTATATTGTACAAAAATGTAAGAAGGTAATATAATTTACGTTCAATGAATTGTATATTAATTTTTTTTAACTTATAATTTTTACATCAAATTGATGGATAGTTAAATTAATTCTTCATTTTATTTTCTTTAGTTATATTTCAATAAAAATGATAATTTAACGTTTATTTTTGTAAATGTTATACATATAATGAAAAAACATATATATATATATATATATATATATATATATATATATATATATGTTTTTTCATTATATTAAATACGTTAAACAAAATAATCAAAATTTATGAAATATTTTTCGGTTTAATCAATAAATATTTTTGATATTATTACAATAGTTTTATAGATATTAGTAAAATAAATTAACAGTTAATATAAACAAATACAAATATAATATATCGTATATTTTCGAATACTATACAAACGTAATTTCTACTATCAAGGTACATTACTATAATTTTTTAATTTATACATTAGTTTTAATTAATAATACTATTAATAAATATTATTCTAATATTAATTTTCGAATATTATTTTTGCGTTATCTCGTATCACTTCGTTTCCACGTATAAAAATAAAAAAATGTCAAAATTAATAAATAAATAAAGTATTTCTCACAAATTATATAACTTTTTAGTTTAAAGAACGAAAAAATAATTCTAAAATATTCTCAATTATATTTTATTACAAAATATAAAATGCAACATATATTATAACACGATTATGACATATTTAAATAATAGGAAAGCAAAAAGATGTGCATATAGATAATACCTAATTTTGGCAGTGGATAATCAATTTTGAAGAGATTAATATAATACTCAATTATCTTAACACCTATATCAAGAGCAAATAAACCCTTTTTCTTTTGCGCTCTTGTAGTGTAGACGCTAACGTGCAATTCTTTTCCATCCAACCTATTTGCTACTTTACTTACAGCAACGAAATCACTAATGATAAAACATACTAAATATGTCGGCATTGGTGGAGTGTGTTCGAATTTGACTGTCGTCAATCCTTGCTCGGGCATATCCACCAAAATTTCCTAAAATATAATTATCTTTAAAACACAGTATAATTTGAAGTTCATTTTAATATCTAATGCTACAACGTGCTGTTTAACGTGTAATTATGATCGTAAATTTTATCTATATAATTTTATCTACATAAATACTAGATATAAATATTGATGTGTGTATCTTTTTTATGTACATGAAAGCTCTAATAGTATCCTATTGCATAAAGTTGAAAATTTGATATATGACATACATCGGGGATACGATAATAGAGTAAAATTTATGGAATACATATTATATCAAGACATATAATATGAATTGCGATGGGATATCTTTAAATTAGAATTTCAATCATTCAAAAATTAAAAATACTTATGTTTTAATGCAATTGTAAGATGAATAGATACAAATATGCATAGTATGAAAATAATGGAATCGCAGTCAGAAAAATTTAAATGCTGAATGCAATTAAGATTTCCAAAGTTTTCCAATTATAACATAATATTCATTACTATTGTTGAATTCGTAATTTCATCCAATAATCTGAGCCATTGCTTATAATAGCAATTATAATATAATATAGAGTATACATTGACTTTCTGAAGCCACCAAGAAAATATTTAATAAAAAAAGCGGACGTCAAAAACTATTTCTTAACGTATATACATCTCAAATTGTAATATTATTTCAAAAAATATATTATAAAACATAATTTTATATTATTAATTTGTATTATTTGAAAAGTAACAAGTTCAGTTTTGCCACTATATAGTAACATCAACTATAGGCCGTTTTATTTTCAATTATTTTATTATTAGAATTATTCAATTATTATTAGAATTTCAATTATTTAGAAAAAAGTGATTTTTAAATTATTTTTACATACTTTAAAGTCAAACAAACATTATTTAACCAAATGTAAAGCTTAGAAATTTATTTCTAAATTTATGAGAGCATGAGATCTACTTGAATTATATATATATATATATATACAGCACAAGTTACTCAATAAAATAACAAGGAATATTTAAGAGAAAATGGAGAAAATGGAGAAAATGGCTATTATAACAGTTTTCTGAGACCTGGAAAAATTCACGCACAGTGATCACTAGCGTACAAGATTAGTAGAACGGCAGACAGAAGCACAATAGCATAATAATCAGCTATTGAATAAAAGTCTTCGCGCCAGCTTATCAATAGTTAAGAAGGGGAAAACTAACGAGTAAGTATCGGAAAGCCTTAAGTTAATAAGCTTCCTGTGTTTGGTCGAACAAACTTACAAGCAAGAAGAAACATATTGATCTTGGAATCCCATTATACAAGGATTAGCGGGTAATACATTGTTATTACTAATTAATTTTATTTTTCTATCAAACTTTATTATTATTGAATGTATTATTGATAAGTTGATTGAAAAGATTAATTAAATAAATAACTAAGAAAAAGTCAAGTCAAATTATACTCAATCATTATTTTTTTTACATATTCTTCCTTATATAGAATCATAATTGATTATAATATTTTGAAAAAATGTTGTCAAAATCGGTTTAAAAATAACAAAAATTAAATTAAATTATTTTGTATACTACCTTGTAAATAAAAAATTATAAATTAATAAGACAAAGTACATTACAGAAATTTTTTTAATTATTTTGATATAAGTATAATTTGCATTTTTTTTTATTAATACACTGTTTAACATAAAAAAAGTTAATATTGTTAAATAAATAAATTTTTTACGGCAAAGCAAATAAATTAAGGTATTTACTACATACTATTAAATTCAAGCTATGGGAAACGTTATAAAAACAATAATATAAAAATTTATGAGAAGTTATTTATTAGACAGAAGTAACTTTTCAATATTAAATGACTTTAAAAATTATAAATGAATATTTTTATTTATAATATATTACAATATATTCAAATAGCAGTATTCAAAATAGTTAATATTGGCTTTTATTGACATTGACATTTGTATAAAATCTTCATTGCACTTTTGGAGTTTTAAAGAATATCAATATAATTTAAAAATGTACTTGTGAGAATTTTTATTTAATTTTTTATTATCATTAATGAATGAATAATTTTTTTTTTATACAAAATGTTTAATATTATAACGAAATTTTATAAATATTTATGTCAAGTCTTAAAAGTAAATTCTTAACAATAATTTCTTATTAGAATAAAATATCTAATATAATTAATATTAATGTATATATTTTTATGGGTATTATTCCTTTTTACAAAACAAAAATATATTAAAGTTCGTCAAATTTAAAACTTGACATTATCTTTAATTCCAAATTTATTGGTAAAACTATTATAAGATATTATTTTTACCTTAATATTCATGTTTGATAATGTATTGTAGTTATAGTCATTTCGATATACTAATTGTATTCTAAATTCAGCTTTAAAACCTGGTTCGTCGAAGCATGGAAAAGCTCTTCTTGCATATGTTGGTTCAAATTTGGATGTAGCGATAACTCTATAAAGATATATAATTTCGAAATATATTTTTACTCTTAAATGACGAAATTATTTAGCATTAAGTTATTATTAGGTATTATGAGCAATTTATTAAACATTGAATTTTCTATCGTAAAATTATTTTAAATACTGATATGACATTGATATAATTGATATAACTAAAAGTGCCAATATCAATATTTTTATTGGTAATTATAGTTATTTCAATACGATGCATAATATAATTTATTATAAATTTTTAAAATTAGTAAAACTAATTTATAAATAATGTTTACCTAGTTCGATTTTCTTCATCTTTATACCGACTAGAATAGAAGCCAACAATTTTATCTGATAAAGATCCAGAAAATGATAAAAAAATATTATATGTTGCTTGGATTAATTCCTCATTTAGAACAATTGTGAAAGTTTCATCCTCATTGTTCGAATAACTTTCTTTAATTTTTATTGCCTCTAGTGAACTCGTTGAGTTTATTGATACATTGCTTATATTGAGATCTTTTTGATGTAATACCACAGATTTCGGCGTCCCTGTGTTTTTAATACTAATTGTTACATTACCTTCAAAAGTCTCATTTTCTAAATCAGGAATCATTTGTAGCTCGTAACAAAATGGCTTAACATCGCGAGATAATCGAAATCCTACTTCTGATGATGATATTTCATGCGACATTGTTAAATACTTATGTTAGTCTTTTTAAATCTGAAAATAAAATAAGGATATATATTTTACTTTTGTATATACATTAATGAAAAAAAAAAAATAATAATAAATAATGCTGGAAATATTATCATTGAATAAAATACCGTCTTTCGTTAACAAACTTAAATAATTCTCAAAATTACATTGTTTGCATCTATATATCATATAATATATATTACATAATCTATACAAATTCAACATTTATAAAGTTTTAAAAGATATTTTTTTAAATATTATTAAAATCACAAAGATCGAAACTTATAAAAATATTCAAAATGTATAACTACGTATGATAGATAATTTATGAAAAATTACTATAACATTTCAGTAATTGGAAGGTAAAGGACTAAAATATATATATTAGTGTAATACTATATCGAAAATAATATCGTGGTAATACAAATTTTGACTCATCATTAGTAAATGCACAAAATTTTTGTACAACTTTTTCTAAACTCTAATATTACTTCATTTATTTTTACCATACGGGATGATTTGGCATGTTTCCGCGTAATTTTATGAAATTTTTTTAATACATAGAATAAATCTATATGAGATAACAATGAACATATTCTTAAATAATAAAGTTATTCATGTATCCATCATGTAATCCATCATGCAACTGCATAATAAACAAATTTCCTTACGAGCGTTCCGTAATATACCAATTAAGTTTTTGATTGATTATTGTCTAAAATACAATTAATAGAAAATATTTAACAATTATATATTATTTTTTAGTCTTCTTAATTCAATGAAGACATTAAACAAATTTATAATTTATACTTTTTTTGGTTTATGTTTCAATCACTTCTGCAATTGCTCAAATGCGATTATGCAGCAGTAAGCCAGTTATATTAAATTCACTAAAAATTGCCTGTGATAAGACAAATCTTTACAGAAATAATATTTTATATCGAGGCATTATAAAGCTCTTAATACATTTTCAATACTTGAAATTGTTAAATAGTTTCTGCAATATTTTCTCTAATTTAAATATATTGTCAATAAAAATTAGTATATTGAGTCATACAGGATTAGAAAACAATGTAACGAAATATACAAAAACTAAAAGTAACATCAAAGTTAATAGTACAGTTTAAAAATTTACTTTTATAAGTAGCCTCTATTTAAATTATATCTTTATTTTTTTATTTAATTTCTTTCAATTAATTTAATTTAATTAGTTGATTTAATTTCTTTAAATTTTACAGATTTAAGATATCAATCTTATATGTATTAATAAGAAAATATATATAGAGTACTGTGTAATGAAAGGATATAAACATTTAACGATTAATAAATAAAACGATATAAATAATTTTTTAGATAATAGAATGGATAGCAATAATTGAAAAAATTACCAAATTCTTATATATTTACTACGTAATCTAATATTATTAAGTAATTAATTCACTTATATTAAAATAATCATAATATTTATAATAATTCTTCAATTTGTTAAGCATACAATAATCATACATAAATCAGATTACATGTGAATACTTGACATACAATAAGTAAATAAAGTAAATACTAGACAAATACGTGACATGTATTATTTTGTATTATCATATTTATTATCATATATATATATATATATATATATATATATAATATCATATAACATGTATTATCATATATACACATAATAAATTAGAATTTATACAAAAATAATAATTCATATATTAAATTGCTTTAATCTAGCAAATAAGTAATTATTTATAAAATGCTTAAACTGGTTACTCTAACAGACTGTTATATGCATACTGTTGCCTCTGTATGAGGAAAAAACAATTTTTATAAATTTTTATTCATTATATTATAACTTCTTGATGACGAAAGTAAAGTATCTCCACATCTTTATTATTGATTATTACACTTATGATTATTTACATTATCGACAATATTTTCATACATATACGTACTTAACCGAATTTTCAACAGTAATTGTAAATTTCAACGAAAAAAGGAATCAATTATAAATGAAATCAATAATTAGTGAGTAGTAATTAGGATAAATAATAAATTAATATTGAAAAATTAGCATATTGAGTCATACAAAATTAGAACACAATGTAATGAAATGTAAAACAAACTAAAAGTAGCATCAAACTGATTTGGGCCTTGTAATATAAAAAGTATTAGTTTTTCTTTGAGATTTTCAATGATAAACTAATATATTTCACTCATAGCTTCAAGTGAAATATAGTAAATCTTCTTATTGTAAATCATTTAAAAATAAATAATTATTCGATAATTCCGGCTATCAAATAAAAATTCTTACAGTGTGCACTTATGATATTCGCTTATTAATATCTATAAACATAAATCAGTTGAAGAATAATAAACTCTTTAGCAATCTTTGTAATTTTTCAAATTACTTTGTAGTAATTATATATATATATATATATATATATATGTAATGATATTTTTAACCAATATGGGTAGTATATAATGAACCTGCATTTATAGTTGCTTCAGAAATTGGTGCTATTTTTAGATGTGTAAATGTTAATAAATGATAAGGGATTGTATTTATTTATATCGTATTAATAATTTTTTGCTTTTATAGCAATTGTTCAAATTTCAATTAATAATTGTTAATCCATTTTATAATCATATGAGTCAAGTTATCTAATTTCATTAAAGTAATCGTTATTATAATCATAAATAAAAAAAAACTTAGAAAAATAAAATACAAGGTGCTAATATAGCTATTTGAACATAAATGCATCATTTCGATTCTTTTCGTAAAATAAAAGTTAATTATTACATTTTATTTCATTAGAATAAGTTTGCGTTTCATTCTATTGATTTGTTCATTTTTTAAGTAATTCGAATTAGAATGTATATTAATTTCCATATTTATGGTGAATAAATCTAAATTGTAGTATCATTACTCGGTTAATATATTTTATAACTATCAATAAAGATATGAAATTTAAAAAAACGGTTCTGAATATTAATATTCAAAATTTTTTTATTATCTGATCACAAGTTTTTAAATTTTGTTTATAAGAATAAAATGATGGATAGCTTTAGCTAGCTGGTTTTTATGTTTAATGCTATGACAATTATTTAAATTAAACAATTTTCTCGATCCTTATATAAATTGATAAATACATCACAATTTACTTAGTAAAACTTTTGCAGTAAATATAACTGTAATTTTTTTATACTTTCTTTTATTTACATATTTCTTAATATATTTGTTTGTTTTATGTTAAATAGGATTTAAAACACAACATTTTATTATTAGACAAATTATTAAATTTATATATAAATAATTTGTAATAGTTCAATCAATTAAATACATTTAAGTTACTTTATAACAATTGTATGATTATACAAATTTATAATGAATATATAATATAAATTATTAAAAATAATAAATATAATGGATAAGCTAAATTCCAGTTTTTAGTAAAAATTAAGATTGCTATTCTTTTCAAAGGTACAGTTATCTTAATCATAACTACATTAATTATGACCTTTGATTTTTCTAAACTTCAAATACTACCAGCATTGTTGATTATTTACTATTGAAATCTATTAAAAATCATTTTATTTTGGATAGAATTCCACATGTTGCATATATGATTATTTGAAATATCTGAGCCTATTATTAGTTAACATAATAATTGATGAAACAGTTTTTAGATTTAGTAGTATAATTTAAAAAAAGGTATGTTAGAAATGAGTTTAAAATCCCAGATCATTTAATTGTGTTATACTCAAACTTAAACATTTATTTTTAGATATTTATTTTCTAATAAAACTTTTATTTATATCACTGTGAACATTTTTAAGGTTAATAATTTTTATGGCATAACTCAATTGTTCAATGATATGCTGTCAGATATACTATTTCAAACTGAAAATGTATTTTTTCTTATTTTCTTATTTTTATTATTTAAAACTATAATGTAGGATTAAAATAATTTTTTTTAATTATAAGCTTATATATCAATTAATAATTATTTACAAAACGTATTAGGATAAACTTCAGATAAATTCCAGAAACGAACACAAAATTCGTTAATTTAAATAAGAATATACTTTATACTTTATACTTTCAAGAAATAATAATACAGTAAATTTATATATGAAATATCTTAATAAATATAAATATTAATATAATAATTGCACATATTGATATAATGTATAATGCGTTAATATGGTATGAATTTCAATACAACTTTATATTACCAAAATTCTACTATTTGTAATTAATCATCCTAACTAACCCTTAAATTATAAATCATTTGCGCTTATAAACCACAAAAATAAATATGGCAAGATTTATAATACATAATTTAAATCACATTTTTCTGTACATGGTTATTATACATATTTCAATGTAGAAGTTAACCTTATTAAATAACATTTGTTTACTTATTTTAAAATATTATACATGATCAATTATTCCATACCCATGATGTATAAAAATGTTATAAATTTTCAAAATAGTATTAATTAAAAAGGTTTGAATTTAAAATTAATATTGTTTAATACAAAAGTAACAATTCATTTATAAAATAATGACATATTCAAACGAAATCCATATCTATTTCTATTTGCGTTATAAAAATTGCATAATCTAATTTATTAAACTATTATAGGCCTCTATCTTATGTTCCTTAACAAAGTAATTAAAACTAGAATTGTTTATGTTTATTAAAATAATAATTTTAATTAACAAATAATATTATTAATAATAAATAAAACTCAAATTTGTCTTTCAAAACAAGATTTGTTATATCGATTACATTGGCTTATAAGAATTAATCTTAATTATTTTTACAATAATTTATTTTATCTACAAAAAAATTATATCTAATGAATGAAAATTTAAATAACATAATATAATAAAAATTTAATAATAAATATAAGCTTTAACAGTCAAAAGTATATATTTCATTGTTGACATTAATAATTGTATATTGTATCAATAACAGTTTATAATTGAAGATTTCTTCTTATATTATATATGCACTTTTCATGCAATACAAAAATTCTATTACATCAACATACTGGTCCTTTTTATTTTATAAACTTCACAACAAAAAATTGTTTTACATTTTTCAATATTTAAATTTATAGCTATATTTTGGTATAATTTTATATAACAATAAATTATATCCAAATAATTAAAATTTTAATGAGAAATTAAAAAAAAATTCCTTGCGTTAATTAATTAAATGCAAATTCCACATTTTACTATAGTTGACTATAAAATAATTTAGTATTTTAATGCCTTTTATTTTATACATAATTAGTTTGATGATAATATAAAATTCTATTTTTACTCGAATTATCAGAATTATTTATCATCGCAACTAATGTTAAAAGTATAAGATGTAAATTAGTTTCAGAATACATACCAATTTTCAAAACAAATTTTATATATGCGTATGCAATAATATATTGCCCAGAGTGTCAACCATAAACCACAACCAGTAGATATGCTTAGATAGCTTAGCAAAGGCAGAAATCGAGTCTCAATTGTACAACTAATTGTATAAAATGTACTATTTAATTTTGTGTTCAAGGTCAATTTGCTAAAATATTCGAGTTCTTAAAGTAGTCAATAAATAAGTCTATAGACTATCCGATATTTTAAAATAATTATTCAATATATATAATTATTTTAATCAGTTAAGTATGTACTATTCGTCGTTATAAAATTGATCACGCATTATATATATATATATATATATATATATATATATATATATATATATATATATATATATCTGTATAGATATAAAAAATTAATTAAAATAATAAATAGTTGTTTAATTAATGAAAAAATTAACATCCCAGGTTACATACTGTATGCGCATGATCAGTAATATCATGATAATGAAGTGCCGCCATTAATTATAAAGTATTTTAATATTTAACATTGAACACAAGATATCTATTCAGTTATATCATTCATTCATTGTGAAAAGTGATATTACAAAAGTGTTTTAAAGTAATATTCAAAGATTAAAGTTTTATTGTCTAATTTATACATGTTTTATAAAAAAATAATTGGTTATTTTTCAAGAATTAAATATTGAAAATTTTAGATTGTTAAAATTATAATTACTATACTACTTAAAGTACCATGTATGAAATATATAAGAAAAATTTTTTTTTTCGTTGTAAATTAAGAGAGTACGTAACTAATGTACTGGAATGAATACTTTTTATTTTTATTTTATTTTATTTTTTGTTTATATTATTACAAATCGCAATTAATATTGTTCAATAACAAGGATCTCGAGCATTACGTTACTCTTATTAATCATATTATTATTTTGAATTTTGTATTATAAAATTGAATTAACTTATTGCGATTCTTCAAATTATTTCAATATAAAAAAACATTAATTAGAAAAATCTAATGCAGTCACGCTTGCACATACACGCGCACGCACACTCGCGCGCATACGTACACCCACATGCGCACACAAACATAAGTATGTCAATACACTTTAATAAACCAATATTTTATGATAATAATATTATAAATTTATTTATAAAATAAATGAATGAATAAATGAATGAATAAAACTAAATATAAAATAAAATATAAAATGACTTAATTTATAAAATTAATTAATGACTACTATTAATTTTCATTATAATCGTTAATATTCCTCATATATATTTTTCATTTAATTTTTAATAATAACAATTTGTTACGCAAAAATTTAAGATTTATAAAAAATAAAGTAAATATATATAAGTAAATATAAGGTTAATATAATTTTATAATTGAAAATATGTTTTAGAAACTCTTTGATAAATATAGAAATAAATTAAAAATTATGAATTTATGAATTTTGAAAGAAAATTTTCGTTCTTCTTTATTTAAAATAATTTTCAATCTTTAAATACAATCAAAAATAAATTGAACATATTTTAGTGGATATTTACGATAATTTTTTAAATATTTTAACATATCTGATATCTGAACTTGTGATAGAATTATTGCAAGAAAAAAAAGTAATTAAATTTAGACTTTATAAATTAAGTACTATAATAGAATATGTATTTATTTACTATGTTTACAATAACAAATTTATTTAAAAAAATATATGTAATTAATGTTATTTTTTCATTTATAAACTTAAATATCTCTGATAGCACATGAAATTTAAATTTAAGTATATAATTTAATAAAAATTAATCAGTATTAAAGTAGCACATACTATTGAATTTTTAAAAAGTATTATTTTTACAATGAATTGTTCAATTGAATTGGATAAGATTATTTTTAGTTGAACTTTCTGAATTTTTGTAGTTACTGAATAATTTAATAATTGACAATACATAACTGCAGATAGAATTTATACTAATTATTATTTGCCTAAAAATAAAATAGCCATATGTATTTAATAAATTGTGTTTTAACTCAAAATTACTATATAGTTTTAAAAATAATACGTCTAGTTTGTTTTATTATGTTACGAAAAAAAAAACAAAGGTTTGAAAAACAGGTTACAGGTACAATACTAAAAATTATATAACAATAATACTTTATTTATAAGTTATAAAATATCTGAACTTATGATTAAAGTAATATAGATATTTGTTACATTTGTGTTTATTTATTAAAAAGGTAAAATAGATAATATAAGTTGTCGAATTTTTATATACATTCGTAAAAGTCTTAAGTGTTTATAATAAACGTTTTCGTGTTTAATTATTTATATAGCCCGTTTATATATATAATTTTAATAATAAATTTTTTAAATTTTATAATTCGTAATAAAATTCTTTGTGAGTTTTTTTTCCAATTATCTGGCACAATATATTATTATAAACATTAAACAAATTGAAATTATGTATATAGTTGTTTATGAATCTATTATGAAAGTAAAAATCAATAAATAATATAATAAAAATGTTTTCTAAAATTATATTTCACATGGAAATCAGGTACTAATAAAAAATATAGTAGTACCATTCTTATTTTTAATAGTAAAATAAGTTGTATAGAAATAAAATTGTGAGTAAAATTCATTGTCATTATTTGATTGTAAAATGTTTAATCAATTAATAAAAGTACCATTATTTCATAATAACAACTTATGCATTAATGAAAACATTCGATACAATATTATTTTATGACACTAGGAACGTTTCTTTCGTAGTTTATATATTGTAATAAAAATTTAACATGTTGCCTTTTTTTTTAAATAGTTCGCAAACTTTAATGTGTGTATTCGTTTATCTATTAATATTCCTTCACATTATGTACCATAGAAAATTGATTTTTTAAGTTGTATTTTAAATTTTAATCTTTTTTTTTGAATAAATATTACGGCATAAATTAATTTAGTTATTCATACAATAAAATAAATTATCTATAATTCGCTTTGATAATAATTTGTTAATAACGTTTTTCCTTTTATGCATGTCGTGCATGCATGCCTAATATATGGATAAATTATGGTTCGAATTCGCATTGGAAAAGTTATATTTTGACTGGACTAGTACAAAAATATACAAATAAAATAGTTTACAATAAGTAATTACAATAAATATGTCAAAAATAAAAGCATATAATATAGTATTGTATATTGATTCAAATACAATATACCGATTAAAATAAATAAAATATTAAAACATACGGTAATTAAAATAATTTTTAATGTCTCTTTAACCTATAATTCTATTTTCAAATTATGCAATCAATATTTATAGTGATTAAAGTATAACTAATATATAAATTTATATTTAAGAAATTTATAATTATAATTCTGATTTTAAATATCATATACAAATAAATGGAGTGTATAATATCAATTTTGTTAAAGTTTCAAGTATTTTCTATAAATTTGTATCGAATCCTTGCATTAACTTTTTATAACTTATAAACATACAACATAATTTATATTTTCTTCTTATATTTTAAACAAACATTACTCTCATAACATTACAATAATATAATAAAGCACTTGTATAATTTTATACAGATTATACTCTCCGGTTTTTAAATTAATTTATAGAATGTTTTATTCAACAACAGATATAAAACATTTAGGAGTATAAAATGTTATGTATAAACTTTTCGAAGTGATTTTATTCATTTGATTTCAATGCTTATTTATTTATGAACAACTAATTAGAAAAAAGGGATAGAATAGGTGAGAAGGAGGAATTAAAAATAGAGAGAGAGAGAGAGAGTGAGAGAGAGAGAGAGAGAGGGAGAGAGAGAGAATGTAAGATTTCTATACAAAAATATATAAAAAAATGCGATAAATTTTGAATAGACGAACGTGCATAATATTTTATAAAAAAATAATATAAATTTATAAAATAAGAAATAAATAATTATAAATAATATTTTAAATTAAATCATAAATAATTGAAAATGTTTAGAGATTTAATTATCAACAATAAAAGTTCAATCAGACTTATTAAAGATCTGAGCACCGTCGATGTCTTCTTGATGCATGTCCTTGTCACCCCAACCCCAGATCGTTTCTTCATGATAATGTTCTTCTGAATTTGGTTTAATACGTGTACCATCACCGGTCCTGGCTGCCCGTTTTTCTATCAGATTAACATGTACAGTTTTAAGATCGTAAGCCCATCCAATACGAGCAAATAAATCAATGAATGCCGTAGTGAAGTTTGCACGATAATCGCCCAATTCTGCTGCTTTGTAATCCCAGGGGAAAACATGATGATAATTATGCCAACCTTCGCCAAATGCACCCATAGCCACACGAATATTGTCCGTCGCACTGAACGTTCTATTAAAACATAATTTATGTAATTATAAAGAAATTTATATAATTGTATTTCTTGAATAAATATGACGCAGGCTTGTAAGGTAATTTGAAAAATGTTAAAATTGAAAAATACAAATTTCATTTACATAATTTTCGAGTGATTTCTTAAAATAGTATATATTACGTTTTCAAGATTTTATAAATTGTAATTCTTCGTATATTCTTTTATCTCTTTACGTTATTAAATATAATCAAGTTGATTATAATTTTAATATGTTCGATAAATCATTGATTTATTTTATAGGAATTCAAAATTATCGTAGGTTTATTAATCGATAATGAATAATAAATAATTTATGGTAAATGAACATTTGTTATGCAGAAATTTAATTAATCAATTAGTTGATTCATAAGTAATTTATGGAAAATGATAAAAATCATATGAAAATTAAAAAATGATGACAAATTTGATTTAATGATAAAATGATGAAAATATAATTTAATAAATAAAAATTCATTGCTATTAAGATATATTTTAATTTTTATGCAATATGTTTGTTATCATTCGCAATGATAAATTCGAATACTCTTTAAAAATATTTTTATAATTTTATCAAAAACATGGTTCAAAATTATGGAAGAAGTTAAAAAAAATATTTTGTCGGTATTAAAGTTTTAAGGTTAATTTATGTACTTATAAAAGCTTGGCGAATGGCCCGCTTGTTAAGTGAAAATTGTGCAAGACATATTGTTAGAAAAAGGTTGGCTAGTTGTTAATACAAAATAAAAAAAAAGTTAAGCAATATCCAGAGATAAAGGAAAGAAGTGAATCCAAACAAATTGCAAGGTTTGATTTTACCTTGTCATATAAAAGCTTCATATCTTGTTACAATAAAATAAGCATATTAACACTGAATATTAACTTATAATTTAATGAATTAATATCTAAGTATTATAATAAAAGTAAGAATGTGTAATGAGAATAAATCAATTTTATATTCAAATATTAACCTAAAAATATTATGTTATTACGTAAAATCGTATTTAGATTTAGAAAATTTTAAATATTATAATTATACAAAAATTAACAAAACAAAATCAAATAAACAAATTTATTTATAAATATCTATTGACTTTAATATTATTCAAATGTACATATTAGACTCATTAAAATTGTTATGAAATATAATTCCGTTAAAATTGAAATATAATTAGTTTTCAAAAATTTATAAACAATATATTGAAATACTTGGTTATAACACGAGCATTAATAAGGTTTTTTTTTCTATTTAATCGTATTTATAAAAAGTTTAAATAAAATGACAATAGTTTAGAAATTTAATATAATATTGTAATTTTAAAGCATATGAAAAAATTCTAAAATAAATACGCAATCAAAGATTATTCAAAAATGTCAAAAAATTAAGTAACATTTCGTAATTACAGGATTTATTTTAAACTCAAAATAAATGTAATGTTATTTTATAATCATTTTGTATTTAAAGAACATAATTTTTTATTATTGAAAGCATTTCAGTATGTGAAGTTTTATTTTTAAATAACTATATACAGAATGTTTAACTTAATTATTATTTCTCTAACATATCGCACCTTCGTTTGCGAGCATTTGATTTTCTACATAACTAAATATATAAAACAAACTTCCTAATTAATGTGTATATAATACTTCATATTATTTTGATTTACAAACACAAGGTGTAGTATAACATAATTCTGTGTTAATTCAATGTAAACATACGTTATGCTAAGAATGAACTGTTGATTAGCTATAAATATAATATTTAATTTTGTTTGAACGAGCACATAATTTTGTCTGTAATATTTATTAAAAATGTATAATGTATATCATAATATAGTAATAACTTACTTATCGTAGGGTCTCATTCCCCAAATATGTGCTGCAGAATTCACTAACCACGTTAAATTTAATGACATTGTATATCTGCAAATTGTTGCATACCATGAAAACATGGCATTCTCACCCCAGAAGTAGCAGGGTATCCAAGCAGGCAGTAGGAAGCAAAAGATTGGCATTAAAATGATATAAAGCCTAAGAAATATACTATATGTTTGAAATTTATCGATAATTAATTTACAAAAATATTTCATAATTCTATCTATAAATACCGAAGCGTATTTAAACATATATAAATAATTCACGTTTATGCTTTCGAATTTGGCAGTATTTTAATATTGGCTTTATTAGTAAAACATAAAGTAAAAAAATCTTTTTATTATTAGTGTTGGAATTTTTTTTGCTTATTAAAATAATGAAACCATTGTCATTTGGTGACAATCTGTTGTAATCGCTAATTTTACTCGGATTATTGTGACATGTGCAGCAAACAGTATTAAGTACTTTAAATAAATTATTATAAACAGTTAACCATATTTATATATAAGTGTCATAATTAATACACTTATTAGTAAATAATCAGTGATATTAATAAATAATAAATCTTTAATTTAGTCGCATAAATAAAAGGAAAAAGCAGCTACAAACTTGATTACATAAAATTGGAAAGTCTTTGTTTTAAAAAAATAATGATTTATTATATATCAATAACAGAATTATTCATAGCATTGATAACTATTATTAATCACCGAAAACATATTTGTTTTCAAAATGGTGAGATAAAAAACTTATCATTCGTGCATTAATATTGTCTGGCTCTGAATTAAATTGCTTTAACTAATCAAGTTCATAAATTTCGATCAAACTAAAATCAATTACATTCAATCTACAATAAAAATTTAATTCTATTTTAAATAATCTAATTATTATGAATATAATTATGTGGAAATTATCGACTTGCTTGTATATTAATTGATAATTGAATTGTTTGAAATTTATTGTGAGAATATTTCATAGTATGATTTTTTATCTTCGTATAGATTTCAGAAACAAAATTGATGTTTTCTTGTTTTAATTAATAATATTAATCTTCTTATATTCTATAATGTATAAATAATTATTAAATTGAATAACTATTATTATATTTATATAGTTTCATACAATTCAAATATTTGAAATATATATTTAATAATATAAGAAGCGATACTGAATATAATATGCCAATGAAATTACCTCCTTTGCCAAATAACAATTGGGTCCGCTTCAAGATCGCTCATATCCACAGTCGCTCCTTTTTCAATAACATCAGGATGCTTCCGCACAAGTAGCCAACCCATGTGCGAAAAAAAGAAACCTCTTTGTGCATTATGAGGATCAGCATCCGTATCTGTAAATTTGTGATGCACTCGATGATCCCTAACCCATTCGAAAAGATGATTCTAAAAAATCAAATGAGTTGTAATGCTAAATAACTAGGATAATAAATAATAAATAATCATAGATGACAAGCGATAAGATATATTATCGATTACGTACACACTATAATTGAAAATTAGCAAATTATGATTTATTAAAATAATTTATATCTAATGTTTTTTATATTGCAATTATATTTTCTAACTTTTAATTACATGTTTTTCGATGAACTTTTAATTGAATTTTTCCCCAAAATTTTTCATGTAAATAACTGTAATCGTCTATTACAATCTATAATCTTGTTGAAAAAATAGATTGTCGTTATATATATATATATATATAGTATATATAATAAATCGTTTATATATATAATAAATTATATTTTAATTAGCGATTATTGATGTTTACTAAAGAAAAGCTGCAAGCAATTACATCGCATTACATAAATATCATTAATTTATTTAAATATGATTATTAAATGTTATGATTACTATATGATACTATTTCTATTGAGACTTAAATATCACTAATCAGTACTAAAATAATGATTTTAAAAAATAAATATGATAACCCTAAGAATGGAGTAAGTTCAAATAAATTACTAATAAGATACAGACTTGGTAATGTGCACTAGCATTAATAAAGACATTTATATATAATTTACAATACGCTAAGAATTTAACATAAAAAAATATAATTCTTCTAAATTTAATTGAATAATTGTTTCAATTTAATTATAAAATTTTTAATTACCTTGTATTTTAACAATACCAAAATATTTTTGTATTTAGTTAATTAATGTGTTTGAATAAATTTCTTTTCATATAATATATATATGTATTATTTATAAATGTTTAAGAATATGCTATAATTTTATATATGTATTATATTATTTTTTTATTATTATTATTATTATTATTTTATGATAAATATATATATTATTATAATATTATTATTATTTTATTATATTATTATTAATACATTTTATTATTCATTAGTATATTAATAAATTAATTAAAAAATTAAAAAATTAATAATTAATAAACATATATTATTATTAATACAATATTATTATTATATATATATTGTATTATACAATAATATAATAAATGTTTATAAATTGAAATAACAAAATAAATATGCTTTTAAATTATTGATAATAATAAATTACAAAAGCAAATAAATATTCATTCTTATTTAAAATTTTTTTATTGTATTATAAAATACTAATCTCAATATTGAATATAATTAAATTCCATATTAAAAACGTTTATCTATATATCAATAACTTATCTTATAAGTTCATAGATAAAAAAGACTAATTTACTAATTTTAGAATGGAATTATACTGACAATATATTTGTTATCTAAAATACAGAACCTTTAATAAAAATATATGAATACCGAAAGAGTTCCTTTATAAAAAATAAACTTAATTATATATAAAAGACGAAAATATATAGATAAGAAGAAAATAGATAAGAGTCATATGTATAGGACAAAAAAGTTATATGATTAAATAATCCGCCTCATTTTGACAAGTTTTATTAAGCTATTAATATCTTAAAGCAAATATTTGTTGACTAATAAAAAAAAAATTTTATTCACGAAAAGAACGAAGTGCGCACGTAAAGGAATGAAATTATCAAAGATGGTATTGGCAAGCGTTCAAAAAAATTTGCTTCAGACTAATTATTATGTTATGTAAAATATAATATAGAAGTAATTTATTGAATTTATTGAATAATTTATTGAAGAGAATTGTTGAAAACATGATTTTATGTTTTCTATTAATTATTAAAAAATCCAATATAAACTAATTATAATAAATTTCAATTGGTTTACATAAATGAGCATTGTATAGTTATAAATATATCAATAAATGCCTTGATATTTACACTTTGCTATAAAATATATCTAAGTAAAAATATGTTTTTAAATTTTTATTGAATGTTGACATTGTTCTACATAATACTATAATTTGTAAATATTCGTAACCATGAGTATGCTGTCACTTGATATATCATTATATTCCGAATAGATGTAATTTAAGAAAATATCATACATTTTTATTTCATTTTATTATTATTCTTGTTTCCCTGGTTTCATATATTTTATCTAATTCTACTAGCTAACTATTACCTAGAAGAATAGATTTTATGCCTGTATTTTGTTAATGATATAAGTATGTTATGTTGTATCTTATTTTACACGTGCTTACACGAATATTTGTCGAATGAACGTATTTGCTGCGAATATCTTTCTTAACAAAACAATTAAACTCCTTTGAATTTGAACAATATAGCAAAAATTTGAATTTCACGAAACTTTTTGAATGTTTATTTGGTATCACAATGAATAAAATAAAATAAAATAATTATAGTTATAAAATAATTTAAACAAATTGCTCAAGTGTGTATTGATTATTAAAAAGAATTAATTTAAAAAATACTCGTATTCTTTTATTTATTATTGGCTGTTAATTTCTTTAACATAATCTGCCAATTTGTAAGCATAAAAAATTTAAATAAATTCTAATAAAATGCAATTTTATTTAAATTTTAATAATTTGATTGTTTTTGTATTAATTTTGTTGCTTATTATTATTGTAATTTATTTATACATAAACTTATTCGATTAAAATTTTAGTGCATATAATTATTAACATTTATATTTAATACTATAATAACAACAAATTATAATTTTTTGCAAATAAAAATTCCTTTGTAATATATTGTAACTATCTATTTATACATATTGTATAATCAATATAATATGTATAAATATATATACATATATATATATATATATATATATATATGAATTCGGTAATTTTATAACAATTTTAAAAATTTAAATCATTTTACTATAGCACCATTCAGTTAATATATATTAATTAATGTAAGTATTATAATGGCTATCGGTATAATTTTGCATCGTAAACTCGTTTGATTTCATTTTAGTTTTCTTGTCTTTGGGATTAACTTTAGTCGTTAATAAACAATAACATTAATAGCAGTCGGACCAATGGCAAAAGGGTACTAAAATAATGGCAACAAATCTCAAAAGAGCTCGGTAGTAAGCACGAAGAGGAAATTCTAATAATCCTTGGCTTGACGAATTTGTCGCTAAAGCTAAAATCGACAGTTTATTATAAGCAGTTCGACTACAATGACTATAATTACGAAATATCTTAATTTCATGTAGTAATGACACTACATCGTTCTTGGTAAATTGTGCAATTTTATCTGAAATGAACAGAAAAATTATTTCATTTATAACTACTTTAATATCGGATTCGACAGCTTCTTATCAGTTCCGAAGATTAACGAACTAAGAAAAATACAAAAAGAGGATGTAATTAAAGAGAGATAATTAGAATGAGGAGAGGAATATATGCTGAATGTAAGAGATATTAAGTGTAAAATAGTAAACACCTTCTTAAGTAAGTGTAATGTCTACTTTTTGTTTTCTTTATCGATGCTAATAGCCATTCGGTAGTTAAAATATATTATTTAGTGCATTATCAAGAAAATATTTGTCCTTATATATTAATAACAGATGTCAATAGCTTATTTACCATATATCGATTACAAGTAATATCATTCGAGTAATTCAATTGAATCTTCTTTCTTTGTCACATTTACTGACTCCCCGAACAAGAGTTTAACAAAATTAAATTTTAACAGAAATCACGACATGTACAAAATTATGAATCAGAAAAAGCGACCAATGTTGAGCAATAAATATAGTATTAAAGTAGATCAATCCATTTATTTTTAGAAAACTTTTTATTTCCTTCTATGCATTTTAAGTACTTTTTACTTAAGTTAAATTATGTTAACTTAATGATCTACATGAATTAATATTTGATCAAGTATAATTTTTTAATTATTAATTCAATGTCTTTTTTAATTATTAAATTTGAGTTTTACCCAATGATTTATTACAGTAACAAATTTTCATATTACAATTTTTTATTTTTTTGTCATAATTAAATAATAAAGTTAGGTTTTCGTTGATAACTTTTTATTAATTCTTGTGAAAAATATCAAATACATATTTATTCTATTAAAATCTATGTTTAAAAGCTCAATATAAATAATTTTAAGATTGTTATAATTAATAATCTTAATTGTAACAGATAATAAAATCATGAAAAAAAAAATTGTATTTTGATATAGTTCAAACTTTCATATATAATTATATTCTTCAATATTTCTTAGAAATATTTTATAGTTTTGGTTTATCAAAAACTACTTCTTTTTATTATGTAATGTCAATTACATTTTATTTTAATTAATATTTGTTTCTTTTGTATTATTTTTGTTTGTTCATATATCTTTTCTATATGAAATATACACCATTATTTTTACACAAAATAAATAACATTAGAAGTTTTGAATTTTTCGTAATTATTAAAGTAAATTTTAATATGATCAATACCTGAAACGCTATGGTCTGGAAAATCATAAGCATCAATCGCATCGGCCATTTTGCTTTGTAAGATCTATGGGCCCATAATCTATGTGCTCCGGCTGTGATGCCCAGAGCAGCTACCATCGCAATAAGTACCGCTATCGAAATAATTAATATCAATTTAATCACATGCAGAGGCAAGATATCATCTAAATAGCTTAAATGAAATATTTGAATAGCCTATAATATTATTTATTATTATAATATAATTTATTTCTAAACGTAAGAAATTTCCAAATTAATAAACATTTGATATTCTCGTAGATCAATACAATTTATACGAAACTTTTTGTCTAATTGTCCAATGAAATTTTTATCTAATTTCTTAGATGAATTTTCGGTCGACTAAAAATATTTAATTTTACATTCATATTTTATATTAAAAGTAACATATAATAAAAATTGAAATTTTCCAAATGTAAAGCATTAAAAATTATTTAAGTATAAGTAAGTGTTATTATTTTTAACATTAATTAAATTTATGAATATATATAATAGATTTTAAAAATATATTTCATAATCGTATGCGGAAATAGATTAACATACTATTTCGATTGTAAATTTTGTAACTCCGATAAAAAGTTATAAAATATAATCAGAAATCTTTCGCTTTCTAATATATATATATATATATGAGTTTATGAAATGATGTTGTAAGTTGTTATAACTATTTGAAAATTTGTGATATCAATATTTAATATGTCATTGTAACAGTTTTTGTCTTTTAAAATTGTAAAAACGTTAAAATTATAAACTTAAAAGCTTTATTTGTCCATAAATATATTTTGTATTTTAAAATAATTATTTACAATAGACAATATAATTTATATTATAAACACATTTAAATACAATATATTATAAACATATTTAAATATATTTTTAATTTATAATGATACTTTTATTCTAATAGCTACTTTCCTCATTAACTGTAATTAATTCATGGACTATGAAATAATGTAATAAATAGATATTTGGAAATATAGTAATTATAATTAACTACTGAACTATTATACTTTTTTATTAATTACCCAATGATACATATGAAAGCGAATGATTTAGATATTAACTCGTAAAAAAGCACACAATATTTTATTTTATAGAATTTATTCTAAAAATAAGTAATGATTTTTTAAAAAATTATAATATTTTAACAAAGAAGCTAATGATACTTACACCAAAGAACAGTGAGCAATTTTGCTGCTGTAAAAAATAAATAAATCCCATACACAGCTCCTAAATGTAAGTAAATAAAAGCAATAACGTTTCTCCATACGATATTCCAAGTGTATTTGCTATGTAATTTGTTTTTTGAATCATAAGATTTGGATACATTTACAGACTTTTCTTGAGGAATTCCTTGTTGTGAAGCTTCTAAATAAAGTGTTGCTGTATTACCAAATAAATTTGGCGTCATGTTGATATTGAACCTTAAACAATAAAGCGAAATTTACTACTGGTTAGAGTAATAGAAAGAGTACTCTACAAGAGCTATTATTTCATTAGTATGAAAAAAAAAAGAATTAAAAAATATTATTATTATTATTATTGATATTATTATTATGCAATACATTGAAAAGACAGTGATTTTATATTAATATTGCAATGGAAATTTAATGTACAAATATTGAAACGAATGAAAAAGATTATAAATTATAATATTTTTCAATAATTCAATTTTTTTTATATATTAGCGACTCAACGCAATTGAAGGAGTCTTGAATTATATTAAAATATGGAAGTTTTATGTTAATTCATATGTTAATTATATATTCAATATAATGCTTTAATAAATATTAATATATAAGAAACAAATATATAAAATGCATGATGTTATTAGTCATCCAATTTAATTTGTATTATAAATGATATTTTAGAATTTATTAATTGAAAACTGAAAGTTTTTGAAAAAACAATTATTGTACTTATTTATGGCTGGCAAACTAGTATAAGCGTATAATTAAAAATATATTTTTAAACAGGCTGTGCACTATTTTAAATATTTAAATATTTAATTAGTGTTAAATAAAAAAGAAGTTAGTAAAATGTTAGTAGACTTGTGCAATTAATAATAATTAAAATTAATATACTATTATTATTATTTATTTATTTATTTATTTATTTATTTATTTATTTATTTATTTATTTATTTATCAATTATTATTATTAATATTATAAATGGAATTTTTGTACTATGACTGGCTTAAAAAACTTTTAAAAATATAAAAAAAACTTTTGTAGATAAAGTCTGTATTATGTAGAAAGTAATTTTAGTGTATTAATAATAATTTGAATATTTAGTAAAAAATATTTTCAGTTATTTTTCATTATTACACACACACACATATATATATATATATATATATATATATATATATTAGTCATACACGCCCATATATTTTTTTTTTACTTTCATTTTTAACTTTTATAAATCTTTCATTATTTAATAAAACTTTACAACCTTTATTTCAGTATTTTTGATATTGTTTATCGTATTAGACAAAATGTATATTTTTTTGTTCGAAATATCTTAGATTATTTGATGTTAAGATCTGATACTTTTGTTCTGTCTTATTAATAATTAAAATTGTAAAACGGATTTACATTATTTTAATAATCCTTAATATTTTATAAAATATTTTGAGTGTTTGTAATGTGTATCTGTTATATTTTTGCATACTTTATCATTGTTATAATTATTATTCTAATTTACTTATGTATTTTGAATAGTTATTAAAGAAATTAGAGAGTTCTATGTTTGTTTTAGTTACATTATATACTTTTTACTTGAAAATTTATAACTGGCTTTGTTTTTTAAATTTATTTCCTGTAAAATATTGAATTTTTATTACAACTTTAAGAGAATGTCAAGAGGCTGATGCATAATTTATAATTTCCATCTTTTTAAGGGTACTTTTTTATAAAGTGACTTCAAATTATATTCTTTATTTGAGAGTATGACTCTTTGGTTTTGACTTCCAGGGTAATAATTGCTTATGGTTGTTATGGCAAATTATTTTGTAGTATCTAATTCATTTATCGTTATTATATGTGCTGAAACTACTTTTCATTTCAGTCTCATTCTGTCAATTATTTTTTAATAATAGTATTTAATTATCAGAAGAATTAGCATTAAAACGTGAATTCTGAAGTAAATTTGTTGCTTTGGCTACAATATCAAAACGATACTTTTTGCGCCGATTTGAGGTTGACACCTATTCAATAAGTATACCTGGAATTTCATTGAAAGTAGCATATATTGTTTTAAATTATTCCACATATATACTTAATCTCGTTAAATTCTAAATATTATTTTTATAATTATCAAGAGGTATTAAATAAAATAATAAAGTTCTTTATTGCAGATCATTTTTATTTAATACTTTTACCTTTTTCTACTTTCATTTTTAAAGTGTATAAAATCGTATATTACATTATTTTTCGTCTTTTTTCACTCCTCACTACATAAGGGCACCTATTTAATCACAGTATTTAATAAAAAAATTGTTCATTTGATTTATTATTTTTATCAATGTTAATGCGCACAATTATAATTTATGGATTTATTACAAAAGATTTTTTATTATGATATCGAAATTCATATGTACATTATAAGTATTGAATGTAATTATTAATGTAAATATTTAATGATAATAAATTGTTACATTATGAGTAAATTATATGGTTGCTAGTTGTCAGTGATATTGTTTGACATTTACTTAATGACTGTCATTTTTCTTTTTGATACTATAAAAGCATATATTTCCAATATATTATGTAACTATTTTCTAAAAAGAGAGAAAACTATATATTTATATCGATTATATATACAGATATTTCACGTAAAGGAGTTTTTCTAATTTTAGAATATTTGCCATTCTGTGTTGTCGCTACAATTTTATATTATTATGAGGGATCTATTAATAATTATCTTGTTATGGTTGATGTATTTTTTTAACTTATGTATTAAGGAATCTAAATAGAAAAAGCATTTTACCGTTTAAATGTGTATCCACATAAATGTATAATTAAATTATATTTTTATAACATGCTTACTATAATAATAATATTGATTTAATGTTTTTAAATTTTATTATAAATATTTTTTAACAAAATAATGTAAATACTTCTTATTTGGTATCTATATATTTTTTAAATAAAATATAAAATAATTTATATAAATAATTTTCAAAAATAATCTATGAACGTTTATAAGTATACTTAAAGTAAATAATAAATCAATATACATTATTTTATAGCGATATAATGTAATAACATTAATCAATGTACAATAAACTATAAAATAAAGATCTAAATGAAATTTAGATTAGATCTATATTTGCATTTGTCCTTAAAGTAAACTTGACTTGCTTTTCCTTCAACGTAACTGTACATTTACTATCACGTACGTGTTTCTCCCTTTTGCTCTTTCATCATCCTACTTTCCCTCTTTTATCTCCCTCCTTTATCTTATTCCTTGCCACTCGCAGGCATCTATAGTTTTTCTCGCATTCTCTCTCTCTCTCTCTCTCTCTCTCTCTCTCTCTCTCTCTTTATCTACATATATGTAAAATTTTCTTAATTAAATTTATTAACTAAAGCACCCATTCGATATATAGACATAAAACAACTTTCGAAAATGTCTAATATACACTGTACATTTCTATCTTATTCTTAGATCAATAAAATTTTATTCTAAAAATTAAAAAACTAATTAATCTCTATATAATAAAAATTAAAAAGTATGTGAGAAAAACTAAAAATAATTAAATATTTAAATAATATTTCAGACTGTTATATATATATATATATTAGTAAAAATGACTTTCATGATTAAATTAACATACGGTATTTTGCATGTATCTTAAGAATTTTATTGTTATAAAATTACACTACAGAAAATTATCATACAAGAATAAAATCCTTATATTAAATGGAAATGGGATACTTGTATATTGCATATATTAAAATATTTCTAGGTTATTTAAAAATGGTATTTGCTATTTGTATAGGCGATGGTAATGCAAGACATTTAAATAACAAGCACGAATAACTTAATATGATAGTAAGTAGCAACTTTCTTTGAGAAACATTTCTTGGTACTAAGTAGAAATGGAGAGGGAAATCAAAAGATGATCGGCAAGTGGAAGATTAAAACAAGTATAGATGCTGAAAAGAGAGTTGAACGGGATCGGTTGATCAAAAAGAGGCCAACGTTATATTTGAGGTCATTCGGCGGTACAACTTGACATAGTCGAACGAGCACGCAGGAACGGCAACAGCTTCACATTGCCACTTATAATCGAACGAATTTCTTCTTGGTACATTATAAAAAAAAAAAAAAAAAGTTTAAAAGCTGAATTTTCTAGTTACCATTTATGTTAGCTTGCTCTCATAATTACAGATGGCACAAATTTAAAACAAAATTCAATTTATTTTTCATTTTTACATACACATATACATCTTATTTTTTTACTTAAAAAACCCTTTTCGGCATATGAAATACAGAAATAATGATTCAATAGAATTTAAATTGAGATAATATATTTGTATTTAATATACTATTATTTTCACTTAAATTCGGAATTTTCTGTTGTTATAATTATAGTTATATATTTCATTTTATCCGTTTGAATTTTTAGTTACTACAACTCAGCCGTTTACATAAGATTTTAATTAAATTTATTTATAATACAGTTAAAAATAGGGCTAATTGATTTATACAAAATATATTTGATCATTATCTTATAATATAAATATAAAAATAGAGTACATTTAATATGTATCAAAAGTAAATGAAAATAATTCTTTACACAAATAATATAATTTTATATGGGTTGAGAGAAATGGTTAAATAATTGTATATAACGCATTAGTGAAAACAAAATTAATTATTTAATATTTAATAGGTTCAGTATCTCATTGATAATTATAAATTTTATTAACTATGATTTTATTCAAAAACAGAACAAAATTGAAAGTCAAAAGAATTATAAATATAAAAAATTTCTAAATATTTTAATTTCAATATCATACACTCATTGTCCACTTTACGACATTTAATTTATTACTGCCACTGCTTCCTAAAGATATACAATTTATATTTATGCAAATAAATGATTTAAATACTAGACGAATTATATATTAGAATTATATTTATATTTCGAATACTCATGCTTGATTATTTTAAAGTCTTATAGTGAAAATACTCTTGGAGATATCACTACATTTTTCTCCTCCCTGATTATATTCCTTTGTATCCTTCACCATTTTAAATTATAAAATAATTTCAGTATGCACAATTAATAAAGCAACGATAGAAAATAATTTTTTTATTAAAATTATTACGACAGTTACCGTAAAAAGTATCATATATTGAAAAATAATTAATATATATGCAATATTAAATTAATCATATACAAACATTTATAAAAATATATAGAGAATAGTATCTTACAGTACCTTCGAAATACAAAAGTTTTTAGAATTTTTTCAAAGTTTTATGTAACATCTCGAATATATAATATGTTAAAAATAATTTAGTAAAAGTTTAATATCTTTCTTATAAAATAATTTCTGAAGCACGACCGTCTATTAAGAATAACATCAACTAACATAAAAATTAATTAATTAATATAATTAAAAAATGATTAATATTAATACGAATTAAATTAAGTCAATATTTTTATATACTATTAAACATATTTACGATCTTGTCTTCTCTTTTATTATCTCTCTCTACCTATCACCTTCACTCATTCTCTCTCTTTTAGAGAGTATAAAATATTTTTATACATTATTAATTTTTATATTATTACTATATTAACAATATTCTTGTATTATATTATTATGTTATATATTATCAACACAATATCGGAAAACGTATTATAATACTTATTACTATTATGATAGTTTTACACGTTAATCTAAAAATTAAATTTGAAAAATTCTTTTATTAATATCAAAAAATATATATATATATATATATTTAATGATTCAATATATTTATATTATTATTAATTTTCATAATCTTATTCGATCAACTTATTGATAGTTTATGGACCTTAATTTAAAGCTTATATTCTATTAGCAATATTTTCCCTGTTTATAAAAAATTAGTATATTTAATTAAATATGATATCATTTAATACATAAACATGAAGTTTTTAAAATAATGTCTCTATAGAAGGACTATTTTATTTTCAATTTCATTGAAATATTAAAGATTATTTTTGCATAACATATTCTGCATAATTTAAACTAAGAAATTATGTTTTTTTTACTATGTATACTCTAATAAAACTTAAAACTAATATTTATAAAAAAGTATTAATTGTATTTTTAAATTCAAGAATAAGTATGTAAAATTAATAATAATTCTATTTGTATCTTATAAACGAGTGAAATTCTAATTACTGGAAAAAGTTTGTAAATAATATAAATACAATATGTTTGTATTAGTGGAACTATTTTTGGAGAAAAAAATATTTATTTTGTGAAATCAATAATATGAAAAATATATGTATTTTTCTGAAAAAAAATATTAAAAAAAATTAAATAAAAAAAAAAAATAAAAAGATATAAGAAAAGCGTTTAATGAAATTACATTGATACAAAATTTTAAATTCAAGAAATAATCAGTTTTAATAATATAACTAGCATTAATAATATAATTAAAATTAATAAATTAAGATTAGGTTTATTATGTTCTACTTGAAATCTTTTATTTTATTACTGAAAAGTTTTTATATAAAACAATTACGCGTAAGATAAATATGGCGATATTCATCAATTTTTCCTCGCATTTGGCTTTCCTATGAATGGTTTTTGCGACTGTAGATTTATTATACACTTTCAATGCATGCGATAAGATTTATAATAATAAATAATACTAAAGTTTTAATAACATTTACAATCGTATTACAAAAATAGTAATGTGCTGCAATACAGTAGTTAATATGCTGCAATGCAGTACAGTAGTAATATGTTGAAATACAGCATAATTCGAAAGTGTAATATTTATGTTTAATCTTACTACTATTGTAAATAAAATTAATTTATATGATTATAATATTATTAGGGACTAAATGCAGTCATTTCTTCATTTGAAATTTGAATCGTAAGTAGTAAAAAAACTTCGTATTAAAATAGTCGAACATTTTAAAGAATTTTTTATTAATTCTTTAATAAATGCATTGAAATAAAATTCTAATATTTTATAAAGTATTATCGATTAATTCAATAAGTGTATTTATAAGATAATATCTTAGGTAATCTAATTATGATAGGTAATTTATATATTAGATATTTAAATATATATTAATACTTATGTTTTCACATTACATTATTAATAACATTTTTTATTCAATTGAGTATAAAGTTGTACAAAGACATTAATATCTCAATAAATTAAATTTTAGAATAACTTAAACAAATTATTTACAATTAATAGATAAGTTTCTATGCCAATGTTATGATTAAATTGATGATTATTGAGGTTTCTTAAAAAAAAAAAAATAATATAAATATCTTGTATCAATAATAATTATAAATAATATAAATAATTTGTATTCAATCAACTTGAAATTAGCCCAATAGAAAGATCATCGTTTAATATACATTAATATTTGAAAATGTAAGAAATTGAGATGTATAAAATTATATATAATAAATTTATATTTTAAGAATAAAAGATAATTTGTTTTTTAAATATCTCAATAAAAGATATAAGAAGTACATACAAGTTGTTCTAAACATATTATTCTATCTGTCAAATTGAGTTACATTCTTTGCATAATCGTAGCTATTATATAAAGATAAATATTATATAGAGTAGTTAGACAATCCTATTCAAGCTTTCTTCTCTTTATATTTTTATTTTTAGCAAACTATTCTAGCAAATTTCAATACTTCATTAATAACACTAAGTTACTTTGGTTAACTTATTAATTATTGCAGAGTAATCTATAATTTAATATGTCATTATTTAAACGTTATATTAAATATTTATTATGTATTTATATATTAGCAATTAAAATGAAAATAAATTCAATATAAAAAATTATTATCGTAAACATTTCTTATTATGGTTAAAAAATGTATTCACATATGAGTTAATTGATTCTTTTATAACTATTCATTACAAATAATCAAATTTTCATTTAATTTTATAAAATTCCATACAACTATACAAGTATTTTAATATAAATATGTCGATATCTTTTTTTTGTAATTTTCCTTTTACTATGTTTTTTGTTTTATACAGTTGAGTTTTAATAATTTTAAATAATAATTATACTACTTTTTGATTTTGACCATAAGTTTCTAAAATATATGAATTTGAAAAAATAATTTATTATAAATTTTGTGTGGCATTAAGATTTATCTTAAATTTAAATGTTCTATATAATTTTAAAAAGAAATTATTTTATTTAACATTTTATTTAACTTAAAATTTTAAACAATAGTTTAAAAAGGAAGAAAATCATATTAAAAAATATATATAATAGTTTTAATTTATACGTTGATATAGACCGGATTCAAATTCAATTGTCAACCGAACACAAATATATCTAATATATAAAAAATTATTGATTGGAATACTTGCAGCACTGGAAATCATTATAATGTTACCTCTGATAAAAACAAGCTTGTTTCTTACATACACATATACGTAGGCGCACACACATGATATGTAATTAATAAATTTTTTTTTTTTTTTTTTTTTTTTTTTTTTTAAAAAAATTTAACTTACTTGCTTAGATCAAAACTTTAAAATATCTTAAATAATCAGCTTAATGGAACTACACTTCTATGCGAGTAAAAACTATACACGTGTTAGCACGTTTTCACCTGAATGTATAACTGACGATTCGACTGATCCGAACTCGCTCTCGGTTCAAGACAAAATACCGAGATACACGTGCCTATGTCCCACTTATGAGTCTCTCTAGCCTTTCGCCGCCACCCCAACATCCTCAATCAGTAAAAAAAGTAAGAAACGAAACAAGCCAATGATTTCTCTTCATCTTATAAATCCATCTTTTAATCTTAGTTGATAGTATATTTTCTGCATTTATGAAATATTAACTTGCATAAAATATTTTATCTTATGATTATTAAAGAATCAATTTATAATTTACATATAAAAGCGTATAATTTATTATATGTTTTTATTTACTAGGTGTCATCGAATTATACAAATAAATGTCATACCTTAGAAATATTTATGAAAATGCAATTAAATCATACAAATTATATAAATTATATAAATTTCTTATTGGTATAATTTAATATTAATATATAAGCTTCTATGAATTAAGTATATTTGATACCTTAATTGTAGGTCGTGCATCTTTGAATTTCTCCAAAATACTTTTTGTTGCAATGAATGATATGCTCTCTTTTTTCGTGCGATTTTGATTTTAGAAAAACCTTGTCTTTAAAATTATAATTAAAATTATAATTATCAAAACAAGTGTTGAAGAACATTAAAATTACTTTATTTATGGCGTTTTTCAATTACTTTTTGTAAAATACTACTTACTATGGCAAAATATTCGTTAAACTAATAAGAAACTAAAAATATTTAAAGTAGATCTATTTAGACTAACCGAAGAAACAATTTAAAAAAAAATTTTACATTATAAGAAACAATTTTATATTATATATATTATTTAAAGCTGTGGTAGATCTAAATATATAAATATTTTTCTTCTTCATATATGTACATATTAAAAATGAATTACTAGAGAGTAGGCCGTGTTTGGATCAATTTTACGCTATTCTCTTTATCATTGCAAATTAGTAGAAAATTGCAAAGTACGTAGAAAATAGAAAATTTAACAATCGTTACTATTTCTGATTGGACAAGCATAACTGATATAATGCACAGTAACGTAGTTAACCCACTTCAAATATTTTTATTATCTTTGCAAGTGTTATTTGAATAAATTCTGCATATAAATTTTACTTCAAATATTCATCTAAGAAAATAACATTATAGACAGGACTTTAACCAAAAAGATAATTATGGATGTTGTACATCTAGTAAAATAATGTGTACATTCAATTTGTTTATAAATTAATAATAATAAAGTAAGATTACATTAAATTTAATGTAAATTTTATAACTTTTACTCTATAATAAATTAATATAATAATATTACACGGAACAGATATATGCTTTTACAAGTACTTTAAATTAAAATTTATAAATGTATTGTAAATTTAATCTGATATTAATGTAATTATTGGCTATTTAATGAGATTTTAATTGTCAATAACATTGAAGCAATCGAGATAAAATTGTTATGTTTAAATAAGCACAATCGGATAAATTTTGATTATATCATCTATTCATAAAATAATTTCAAATATCAAAAGGACTAATTTTAATAATACATGATGTATCTGCAATTGAATAACAATTTAAAGAGTAAATAGTACTGGGAATAGTTTTTAAAGCTATTAGTGGCAATTTGTACATGATAAAAATTTTTTATACGATAATCATTGACCAACATTATTAAAATCAAACAACGGCATAGTCATCCGAAACAAGTTTTGCAAATGAAAAATTAAATCCCTTGCAAATGCTAAGAACGAACTTATTCAACATAAATTACTTTATAAAATAGTAATTATTTTAAAAATGTATAAAAATTAAAAAATTAAAAAACTATGCATATTTTATTATTTATACAAATAAATATTCAAATATAAATAAACAGGATTTTGAAAATGATCATTATTAATCTCTAATTTTTTTTAAAAATATATATTTTTCATGAATTATAATCGTATTATAATTCTTTGCCAAAAAGATAACATAAACAAATATTATTATAAACATTTTTAATAAGCATATTTTGTAGCTTTCAATGTTTAAAGATGTAAAACAAATTTGATAAATTAATCAAATTTACAAAACCTCGAAAACTGTGAATTAATTGGAGAGTCGCTAGAGTTTTAAATTTCACACGTATAATAATAATAAAAATATAAAATGACAGATTTTACAATATATCTATCTATCTATCTATCTATCTATCTATATATATATATATATATATATATATATATATATATATATATAATCACAAATTAATCTAATTTTAAGTAAAAATGAACGTGACTGTTAATACGCTATCAGTGTAGAGTATGTCATTTCCATGATTTCGCCTTTCCTTTGACGAATAGTATATGTATGCAACCCAACTAAGCATCAAGGCGTAACCGTTGACTATATGTACGAGAGAGTCCAAGGTTTCAAGATCAGCAGCAGGTACCGTTTTTCAACCTTAATCGTTCAGAGAAGCAGAAAGTACCATGTGGTCCACGTTCCGTTTTCATTAGCAGCAACACTTTTCACTTCTCATCTTACCCTTCACTTTAAATTATTCCCTTGAGATGTTTATTTATTTTATTGCAATTTTATTATGAATTGTTATTTAAATTCAGTATACTTTCAACAATTTATAATTTCTCCAAATTATTTCATATCAAAATTAGCGTTTATAAATTATTTATTTTCAATATTCTTCATTCCCGTTAATATTACTTGCGTATAGTGGTTAGAGTTTGTTGAAAATTTTGGTTTTTAATTTTTCCCAAAATGGTTTATAAGAACTTTGATAAATATCCTTAGATATTTGCCTAATACATTAATATAAAATAATCAAAAAATCATTTTCATATTATAACATATCTTATAAGTATATCGAATATTAACTCAATGTACTATGTAATAGCAAAAGATATATTTATATATTCAACATCGAATCTCCGTGAAAACTTATTCCTAAATAAACTACTTAACAATGGATTTAATTTTTAATGTAAATTAGTATTACAGTTAGCAAATAGATATATTAATGTATCTAACAAGAATATTTCGATTCAATTATCCTAAGAGACTTATAATTAAAATTTTCAATTATAATGAATTACCACTTATATTTTAACTAATTTTCTAATAACGTTTTTTTATAATCTTTGTTTAACTTATTGGAAAAAACCATAAGTTTAACATATTTTAATTTTGATTCGAAAAAATTTGATTTGAAAAAAGATATTAAAAATTGAAAATAATAACGATTAAACATAATATAACAATTTTAATATTGTTTAATTTTGAAAATAATATATGCATAAATTATTAATAAATGGTAAAATATTTATTTGTGTTAAGCAGTAATTAATCAGTTAATCTTCTTCTTAGAGCAATATTATTTTGTTTTATATATGTTTATTGATATTTAAATACGTATTATTGAAAAATAGAGTACCCTATTAAGATATAAAATTAATACATAAAAATACGTTATAATTAATACATATAACAATTACATATTAATCACGTATTGATATTGGACGATGTTTTAATAAATATGCACACGAATAAATATACTAATATATAGTAATATACGAATATATAGTAATACTCATTATTTTAATTTTCATATTCAATTATATGACTCAAATCCATATATTAGTTCTTTAAAAATTTAATTATAATATAATGAATACTTTATTCAAAAATATTTTATAATAGTTCAATTATTTTATTGAAACAATAATCTCATCCAAATTCAACGTTCCACTGTATTGACATAATTATTTTTGTTGATATTTATTGATTTATATGATATTTTTATATATATTTTTTTTAATAATTGTTCAAAACTCATTTTTATCTATTAGTTTTATTTTATGTTTTACTTTAAAATGTTATTACTATATTATATAATCAATTTTACTTCTATTATAACAATTTTATCAGTGAATAGCAATAAATAAAGATTAAAGATAAATTTAACTTAATTTAATCTGGGTCAAGTCATATTAGGAATATAAAATAATAAGTTTCTACTTTTATTGACTTTGGTACCAGGAGAAAGGAATTTAAAAGTAATATTTTCTAAAACTAAATATAATTTAAATGCACAAAAATAACGTGGAATTATTATCTAGAAACTTACTCTAAATACTTTGTAAATATATAACAAATAATACTGTATTTTTCTTAGAAGTTTATTTTTTATAAGTTATTTTATTAAGGACTTTTTCTTATTGCTACTAAGATGGAAATTTCTGAAAATATTTTTTTTAACTATTGTAATTTAATTAATTTTTAATTACATAATTTTATTTAATAACTACAAATTTTTATAATTTAGTAATTAAAAGTACGAATTAATTAACTAAAATTATTAAATAATATTAAAAAAATACGGATCACTTAATTAAAATGATTAAATAATATGTTTTGTTAGTAAAGATATAATTTTTCGTATTAGATGATTATTTATGATTCTATATATGATGTGATTTTTAATTAAAGTTTAATTTATTTTTTAACCAAAAACTTTGTTTACTGTAAAATGATTACTAATATATCCGCAATGTTTTATTCAATATAAAATGACCTCAGATCTTATTACTGTTTGTAAGAACATTACATATTTTGATTCATTGAAACATTGAAACATTTTAGAAATTCATTATTGCTAATGTACGATAGATCCGTAGGGTCGACAAAATTTTGTTTTTAATTCAAATTTAATAAAGTAATATTATTCTTTCGTTTTTAGTTATGAAAGTACATTGTAAAAAAATTGTACAATTCTTAACAATAAATATAGGAAAATGTTTAAATTGATATTGTATTTCATTGAGCTCATATGAAGTTAATTTGGTTTTATTTAAATTTTTGATAGTATTATAACAATTAGGTTTAAAATAATTTGTATATACGTTACCATAAATGATTTGCATATTTCTAAAAGAGCAAGTAAAATGTACTATTGTATATCTATTCATGTAAATGTAATTTTTTTATAAAAAAGGTAAAGAGAAGAAAAATATATATTATTAATAAAATTAATAATAAAGGTATATGCTAAATTGCATTTTTGTATGTAATTTTAATTATACCGTAGTGTATTAGGAAAGAGAAGGTGACGTTAAGACCAGAAATGTGAAGTGAAGAGTGCCACTTTCGAAAGTAGGTATAGAGGTCTCCTTTAATATTTTTATTTTTTATTTAAAAATTATATTCTTTCTCATAAGAAGTTAAAATTGAATTTAAACTTATTTTTAAAGTTGTTTTTATTTTATTGATATTTATCCATTTAATGCAAGCTACTCATACTTAAGAGTATGAATATTATATACTGTCAAAAAAAATTTATATTACACACAATCTATTTTTTTTCGAGAATTATAAATATTATTATTAAAATTTTTATTTACATATCCTATTCGAATATGTTTCACTTTAAATATATAAATATTACAAATAATTTGTGTTATACATACTTTCATTCTAAATTTACACTTTACTTAATATAATTATGGGATTCCTATAAATTTAAATAATAGTGAGAACAAAATCTAGATTTTTAGTAATAATTTATGTAAAGTATAATAGAATTTATGCAATTTTATTATGATAAGTAATGCGTTTATACAGAGCTAAATATGCTATATGAATCATCTTTTAAAACATAATATAGCATGAATTTATATTTTAAATTATGAATATATTGCATATATTAATTCAATTTTTAATAATTAAAATTAATTTCTAATATCGAACTATTCATTATAATACGACATATATATATATATATATATATTTTTTTTTTATAAAAAGAAGAAATTAATTTTTTTCTTATCAAAATATAATTGATAGAAGATAACAAACTTACAACACCTGAAGAATTGAAAAATTCAAGAACTATACCAGTAATACAAAAAGAAATAACATTTTATATCACAATTAGTTAATTAGAAAATTAAATGACAGATTAAGCAAGATAAAGCCGACACGGTTGAAATTGACATAGAAAGTTAACAATCATTCATGTTTGAATTGCATGACAAATATTCCGTGTGTATACGTATTCATGCATACAGTCATGAAATATGAGATGGCTTATATGTTAAAAATATATTTTAAAAAATTATATCTTTAACGATAAGTATACGTTATGCTTGTATTTACAATCAAACATTCAATAAAATTGTATTTAAAGTAAAGTAGTTGATTGAATAATATAGCAACATATTGAACGCAAGGAAATAATTAAAAACTGATAATTTATTAAAAATTAAATATCTTTTTCTTTTATTATCAGTTATAATAGATCGATAATAGCTTATTAACATTACTTTTTCATTACTAAAAAAATTGTTCATTTAACTCTATTATAAAACTTAATACTGGCCTATTTCTGCAGAATACTTTATATCATTTTAGATCGACATTTAAAATTATTCAAACATATACATTTTAACACTGTAATTTTGATTATTTGTGAAATAAATTTCATAATGCTAATGGGACATGTTTTATTGCAAATCAAATAAAATTTCACAATTTAGTCCTTTGTATGTTAAACGCATCTTGGTTTTATATAAACGTATATTTATATTTACATTTATAAACATTTATATGTATATAAACATTTATATAAACATATATATTTATAAACATATTTATATAAAAATATATAAAATTATATATTTTATATAATATTTTCATCAATTTTTATAAATATGAGTAGAAAAGTACTAATGTTTTTATACAGATTTTATCAATTATTGTATATAGTTAAGAGTAATTATTGGTATAGTACTTAATGAATTACATCAAATTATAGAATATTACTTCCAATGTGTTTTAAAAAAATTAAGAAAACTGAGCGATGCTGCCTAAATACTTTGCCTTAGCGAATGCTACATAAAGTACGCCACTAGTGCATACATATACATTTCTTTCTTCGAGTCGTTCACGTAACAAAATCATATTGAGAAACTAAACAGCATATATATATATATATATATATATATATATATATAAGCCGCATATATCATACGTAAAACATTTTTTTTTGTCGCATTGAAAATATTATAATACAATATATGATAAATATATAATATCTGGTCAACAATAATAAATACATGATATTTCGTCAGCAATAATTATACAATTGTCAATATATTGTAGATAAATTTGTATATGATTATAAAAATTATTTATATCATAGCCATTAATTAAATATTAATTTTATAAACAATGCATTATTAATCAGTATTAGTTTTAGAAATTTTAATTCTATAAATTCTAAAATAATATATAATATAAGTCATGACATATAAAAACAATACGCCACTAGGAAAGAAAAAACCAATTTTTCATATACAAAATCGCAATATAATTAAAACATTAAATAAATAACAATATTTCATGACAATTAATCTCTTGATAGTTCACCTTAAAAAAAAAAGGATAAAAAAATGTATAAGCGATTAACAAAGCATTAAGCTATTTATTAACGAGTCTGAGTATTACAATCCTATTAAAAGACGATTTTAATGATATTCCTATTTTAATGATTTTCTAAAATATTTATAATTTACTTTTACAAATTAGAATGCGATAGAATATTTTATAATATAACATTTTTGTTATTCTTTTAATTTATTAAAAATTATAAGTTATTAATTCGCAAATTTGTTTAAAATATCTTATCTTTTAAGGCTGAATTTTATTTACGTTTATCAAATCGTGGATTATTTTTCTAACAAAATTATTACCGGATGTCGTTTATAATATCACGTGTTAGTGATGGTTTCATTTTATCACAAGCCAGTGTGTTTGGGAAGTATAAATAGATAACCTTTTATTTATATTAAAAAGCTTACGAAAGAGTCTGCATAAATAATTGTAGTTAAGACTATTATATTATAAAATATAAAATAGTTCTTAAGTAACTATTCTCTACTATATTGTTAGTAAACCATTGGGAGTATGATTATATGTGCCACTTATATTAAAATCGACAATGAATTGTACTATTCGATAGGTATTAACTAGAGGTGTTAAATCTTCATAGTATTAGACGAGTAAAGATTCCCTGCACAACTTTACTTTATCATGAAGTCATTGATATATATTGTCACGATATAACGAAATATATAAATAAATATATATATATTTTCGACTGTCATAGTAAGAACGATTTGTAAGATGTAATGAGATATTCGGCCGAGCAGAGCATTAAAAATTACTTAGTAGACGCTTTGGTCGTGGCACGACAGTTCGCATAATCAGCAGTATGGAAGCAAAATGTAGTTTTGTCGTGACTCAATCCTACGGCAGTACAAGCGTGTCACGCCTTCAGACAGCATCGAAAAAACACATACATACGTGAAAACCTTACGCGTTCTGCATTGACTTGTTTTAATTTCATTGTTGTTTTGCCGTGAGACTTATGGAACAGAATGTACTTAGATACGTTACAAGTATTACGTTGCGGCAGTCAAGTGAAATGGTAGAACGGGCAACGAAAAGAAAAAACTTGTGAAAAGAGAGAGTAATTTAAAAGTTTAGAATTCTGTATTATACTGCTAATGAGTGATATACACCAATAACAAAGTTTTGTTTTACAAATGCACAGTTTATTTCACTACATTTTTTGCAGGCTCATGATTTTCGACTCTGTTGATCGAACAGTAACTCGCAATTTTTCTTGTAAGTTATGAGAGCTTTATTATTTTTATTTGCTTGTAATTATAAATGAATGTTGAGCTAATTTAAATCTTAATATAATTACATTGTAATCTAAGCACTTAACCTTTTTTTTTTAAGAGCGCGTCTTTCGAAATGTAAAAATTTTCACATAAAAAACAATATAAATATTTATAAATAAATAGATGGTAATTAGTATATAATCTAATCGAAATAATAAATTTTTCGATTAATGAATATTTTAATTTGACACATATTATTTAATCTATATAAAATATCATTAATTCATAAATAATATAAGTCATTTTTCAATTGTTATTAAAATATATATTTTTCCTTAATTAGGATATAAAATTTAGTGGTTTTGTTTAAAGCCATAGGATTGAATTGAAAATATTTATATTAAAATATACTATCGATATATTCATATTACATTCAATACATTCATTGTTTTAATAAAATTAAAAATAATTATGATAATAGTAATAAAGTCTTTATATGTATATATATAAACAGAACTTGTAGACAATGAATGTTATTTAATAATTTTATTAAATTTATGCATTTATTATGGCTTGGAAGGTAGTAAGAAAGCTAATATTGCAATTTTAGTAAGATAAGCGTAGCATTATAGGCACAAAGACTAGTCATCTTCGATTTCTTTTTTGTATATTCTCATCTTTCAAAAATAAAGCCATACAGGCAGTCATAATATTAAATATTTGACATAGAGTATATTAAATAATGTTAGTATTAAAAAATTCCATTAATTTTTTAATTTCATTATACATTATAAATAAATAAAACAATGTATAATGCAATCTAAAAATATATTTTAATTATAGCATAGATTAAAAATATATATTATATAAATTTCGTTTATAATTTCATGAATATAAATAGAACGGCTATCTATAAAAAGGAAAAACGATTTATTTATATGGTACACTAGTAACTAGAAGAATTAAACAGATTAAATAACAATATCAGTTATAACTTGTATAAATAACAATTTTTAATTGTTTATAATTTTATTCAGGCTATTTAAACTATTTTATTCAATGAGTAATTGCTTTAATGCTGTATTAAACAGTTCAAAAAAATTGTTTTATTGCTAGTTTATTTCATTTATTACGAACAGGCAAAATCATTTCCCATCAAGATCAATTCCTTGATTCATTTTTATAATTATTTATAAAAAAAAATTATTAAATACATTTATCGGGAATGAATTATGACTTTTAAAATCGATGACCTTTTATTATATCAGACTTGATTTTTTTTAAATTATTTCAAGAATATTGTAATGAAGTTAAAATATTTTTGTAAATCAATTATTAATTGTAAGAATAAAAAATAAATCAAATAAATATTATTTTTTGCATAAATGATATAAGAAGTGCCTTCGAATATGAAATCATTACTAAAAATATGATATTAGATATGTGAAAATGTTAAAACATTTATATTAATTAATTTTTTTGTAATATACGTTTTCACGAAAATATTCATATTTTCGTACTTCCGACTTTTCTATTTTATATTTTGCATTAAAATAACTTAATATAGCTGCAATATTAAATACTTGATATTACTTAAATAACGCAGTCGTTAAAAAAGAAATGAATACAATTAATGTCAATTTTTTTATCAACAATAATAAATTCAAGAAAAACACAATTATCGATAAGTTAGATTAAAAAATGTAACTAATCGTTTTAAGTAAATTAAACTGAGTAGCATTTCACAAAATTGTCGCATGCGCACTAAAATTCTAATTTCATTGGTCATTTCAGGCGCGCGGGATACGAGTATAACAATAATAATTAAAACAGTAAAATACTATTGGACAGGGGGTTGCCAAAAAATTATTTAAAATATTGTTTGAGTTATTTCTGCTTCTGATTAAAATTTTTTAAACTACTAACTTTTAACGCAAAGGTTTTCTATTATCACTTGCTATTTAATTGTATTAATTATTAATATACAATAGTTTGTGTAGACGTTAAATGTTATCGGGTGCGCAAATAAATGTTTCAAGTATGAATTTTTATAGCTTGCATGCAAAAATTCGTATACCATTTAACTACATTTGTTCCTGCTTTGTTCCAGCTTTACAGATTAAAATATTTATTTCAATCATACCAAAGTATTTTATTATAATCTTACATATTGAAATATCAATTTTTCTCATTCAAAGCGAATAATATGTAATAAATTATGAAATAATAACCGATAATAAAAATTCTCAGAAAAATCTCTCTTCAAAATTATTCATTTTTCTCACCTGTAATACAATTTTTTAATATACTTTCATTATGTAATTTGAGCACAGTTTTAAATAAAGTTTAAAAATCATTGATAGGAAGAAAAACATTCCAAAACAATATCGAACATGTACTACATTTTTGACAATTACGATAAAAATAATATTATCTATATTGTAAAATATTTCAGAAAGTTTAAAGAGAATACTGTCGTTCAAGACTATGAGAAAAGGTTATAAAAGAAAAGATATTTTTTTTCTTATATAGAAAGTGTAACCTTAATGTAGAAATACAGCTGTATTGTTATAGGTTTTTTTTTTTTTTATTACTAACGTAGAAAAATGGTGTTATGCCTTGTGAGTGCTATGGTGGATACGCTGCTATGGACTACAGATGTTGCGATTATAACACGAATATAACATATAATCGTTCCTAATTTAACACTATCAAAGCAGTATATTGTTGTTAAGCTTTATAAATACTTTGCTGTTTTTAAGTGTCAAGGTCAGTATTTATTATAGTTTTTATTGTTCCATGTTTATTGCACTATTATTAATATTCGTTTCGACGTTAAAACATTTTTTTTTTATTTCATTTTCAATACCTCATGTTAGCTTAATAACATTGCTTATATTATTTTTTATTATTAAGACACTTATCAGTCATTTTGCTGCAAATAATATCTATAACATAAGTATACAATAATATCTAACATTTATTTCCTCGTTGAATTTATGTATAGTATTTGCTCTAATCATTGGATACTTCATATATGTTAATGATTATTTTATAATATAGTTATTATTTTTATTTATTTATGTTTTTTATCATTCTTCATTTGGATGTATGGGTTATTAAATTTTAATTTGTATTAAGTAACTGCTTCGACGCTCTATTTTTCTTCTTGCAAGTAAAACTTTTCCCTTATATAATAGCAAACGATTGTATTCTTTCATACATGTTAATTCTTATGTATGAGGAGTCGCATTGTTTTTAAAAAGACTTTATACTTCTGCTTAATAAACTTTCTCAGTTTCTATTATTTTTTACCCTTTATTATTCCACCTATTATTATTCTTTGCTTATTATAAATGCTTTATTGATAAATTTTTAAAACTTGTTTTTTTTTACTTTACGTCGTAATAATTATTATTGTATTTCTCACAATAATATTTAAAGAATACATTTGCATGTGCAGTTATGTTAGATTTGTTGGAAAGATTTCTATTTAATCAATTCATTTATCTATGTTTATTCTTTCTTTTAATTTTAGAACGTGCCGTGTACGTATATATTCGTTGTTTTATGTGCATATTTATATTTTCACTTCTTGATAGCATGAAATGAAATTTCACAAACACGCGCGCACGCACGTACGAAGAAACCCACACACACGCACGCACACGCACACGCCCAAACAAAATACTATAATTGTGAGAATTTAATTGTATAGTTAATTTTATAAGTTAGTATCAGTGTGAATTTAATTTTTGGTACAACCTACAACCTACACACATAATAATGTTTCTTGTATGAAATTTTTTGTACATTTATTTCTTACGTCACTTGATACTAAATTGAAATTTAAATAATGTTGATTTTTAAAATTGCTATTCTATTTTGATTAAAATTATTAAATCTCAATCACATAATATTACCAAGATTTTTTTTATTGGTAATCATCATTAAACGAGTAGTAAATAGCAAGGACAGCATTTCTTCCTGTTTATTTTTGTATAATATTCTAAGTTTAATTTATATTTATACAATTTTATTAGTAACTATTCCGAAAATGCATTTTTTATTACCATTAATAAAAATAAGTTAAAGACAATATAAATAAAACGAGGCTCCTTTAAAAAAAAACACCTGCAATAAATTTATTGTTTCAAATTTTGTAAAAAAATAAATATTTAGTTTTCTTATTGATATTCCGTATACGTTCGTGATATACGATTATTTTATAATAAATATAACTATTGTTAATTATAAAAATAATCACGAACCAATGCAAATGTAATATTTAATACGAATAGAATCAATTTGTTAAAACAGAAATATTAAATTTTATTCTATTTGGTCAAATTCAATTGTTTTTTTAAGGCTCGTGTGTATGTGTGTGTATGTGTGATTGAGCGAGTGTGCGTGCGTACGCATGTGTGCGTTTGTATTTAAAAAGTGACAAATATTGGTTTATGTGTTTGAAAATACTTTCATATTCTCATTTTTGCTCTGTCATAAAAAATTTATTTGGTATATGTATTTCATTTGAGAAAAGCTAAAAATTTTTATAGTTTATATAAAAATTTTATAAGTATGTTTATAACAATTTGTGTAAGCTTTTTGTATTTATTTTTTTTTCAATTAATTATAACAGTAATAATCAAATAATTAAAAAATCTTACGTTTCAATTAATATATTTATTTATGGAGTATTTACTTAAATAGTAAAATATCTTATTGTAAATACTAGGAGGATATTTTTAATAAATTATTTTATAAATTCGTGCCCATGTGTTATTTCTTTTCTATTTCCATGATTTTATTTCTCTATTATATTTTCCAATAATACGAATAACTCAAATAATTAATTATTTCAGCTTAAATGTTTAATTTTCAAAGTGTAATTTTTTTCAAGGGTAATCGCATTCTAGAATTGGCATGCTAATTACTTGCATATTCTTTCTATACGTACATATTGTTTTTTCTCGCTTGAACTTTACTCGACCGTGATCTTTGGGTGTGGCATAAGAAGCATCGTCCGCTTTATTCTTTTAAAACCATAATGTAATTATTGCGCATATTTTTGTTTTATATATTTAATCTGATTTTTGGTTTCGGCCGATTCTTTTTGGTTGATGTAAATTATGAATTGGAAAATTTGTTTTCTTACATATATCGTACTATTATTATAGTAAGCATCCTAATTAATCGCATGCAACAATTACTTAAAGTATTAAAGTTTCTATAACTGTTATATCTGTGTTTTACCTATATCATGTTTTAATTATTAATACTGTGAATAAAATATTTTATTTTTTTCAGCCTTAAAATATTCAAATTCTCCGTCCAAGATTCAAGGTTTTATACAACTCTTAAGCTTCCATATTTATTTTATTTAAGATATTTATTAAACTCTTTTTTTATTTATATTATAATTTTAAGTTTGGATGCTATACGTGATTAAAAAAAAAACATTTTTTCGAAATATTATTAATTTATCCTGGCTCGTAAATTATTTTTTTTTAGAGATTAAAAGGTTCCATTTAATATCATAGCGATTAAATACAAATATATACAAGTATAAAACATTGTTACATAAGTATTCCATTAAATTAGTAAATAGTAATTGATAAATTATAATAGAAAAAGTCTTTTATCTAATGTTAGACTGTATGGATTTTAAATAACTATTTATTTGAATTGCAGGAAGTAGGTGATAAGAGATTTTTTGAAACCAAACGGATTTATTTACTAATACTAGTATAAGAGAAATCAATTATTACAAAGACGTATAGATTATAAATTTGATATTTAATTAAACAAAAATAAGAAAGGATAATTTATTTAAATATTAAAAGAGAAAGATGTCTGTGATCCAAAATAGACAGAAATGTGTACCACTTATTATGTCAAAATGTGTTTCTGAGAAACACTCTAATATAAAAAACCCAAACAGTGATAGTCAAAATATAAATCAAATTATAAATTACGAGCCAAGAATTATGTGGCCAGATTTATTTGCTCAAATATTTCTACACACTGGTTGCCTTTACGGATTATATTTGGCTTTAATGCACGCTAAAATTTACACAAATTTATGGGGTAAGTACAATAGTATAATAACTAACTTATCTAGCTTAATTAAAAAGAAATAATTAAAATGATGGAATATCTTATTAAATGAACAAAAGAGCAAATAATATTACATCAGAGTCAAGCAGCAACTAAAGGGATAGAAGGAATGCATAGCTTCCTTATTCACATTTTTAAAAACAAATATTGGTTGCAAAATTTCTATTCAGCTATAATATATTAAGATCAATGCATATATTAATACAAAAATAGGTAAGTATATTAATGTAGCGATATATAATTCTGAATAAGTTCAGTTTTTTATCACGAAATCAGGAGTATCGTTAAGCAATAGTTTTTATTCAGTGTCGTATAAGGTATTTGGAAAAACAATACAATTTCATTCATTTAATGATGCTATATTACCTGTCGAAAACAAAATATTATTTAGAAGTAAATTAATTAAGTAATTGGAAATGATATATTTTAATCAAAATCGACATCAGAAAATAGATAAAAAAACACAATACGATAAAATGAAGCGTACCGACAGTCATTAATGATAAATGATATATAATTGTGAGATGCAACTAGATATATAAAAAAATGTGTTCTGTGATATCTAAAAAATCTTCGGCCATATGTTAAAGCAACAAACAACGATTTTCATATACATTTATTAGTATGTAATTTAATGATGAAAAGTAAATGTCGACTATGTTTCAAATATATCAGCCATATGTTTAATCTTGCATCCAATCTTACATCGCAAGATCTATGGATCTTATAGATAATTTTGGATCCTATAAGTCAATAAATTAAAAACAGTTCCGGGAAATGAAAAACTGAAAAATGAACCAGCATCAGTGTATTCATTTTCACGAAATTTAATATTTATTATGCATGACAGATAAAAATGACATGTAAAGATAAAAAATAAAATGGTATTTGCGAGTCAATTTTCTAAGAAGATTTCGCTTCAACGAGTAATTGCGTTAGGATATTTTATGCGACTAAAAGTTACTACACACTATGACGAGTTAAAATTAACATTCCATACAAACGTTCGACCGAGCTATAAGTTATTATATACAAAAGTAACAATTCATTATACGTATATCTCACCTGTCACAATATCATTAAAAAGTTTCTTTAATCATTATAAAAAATATTTATGCTGATTATTTTTGCTGTATATATTTGTAGATAAACTTCAATTTAGATAAATGTTTATTAAAATATATGATAAAATATTAAAAATTTTTTCTAATAGCTTCGATGACCATCTTTGCAACTGGTTTTGGAATTACGGCGGGAGCTCACAGATTATGGTCACACAAAGCTTATAAAGCAAAATGGCCTCTTAGGCTACTGCTTATAGTACTTTTTACAGTAACTGGCCAAGTTAGTTTTTTTATTTATAATATTTAACATTATTACATTCATCTTTTAATCATACAATTTTAAATTACCTAAGCTACATAATTTGTGATATTAAAGTAACATACAAATATGTGATGGTGAAATAGGCATAATTAAATAAAATTGATATTCAAAATTTAATTTGGCTAAATTAAGTATAATTTTTCAAATCTTTATCAAAACTACATCTACCAATGTGTAAGAAATAAATATCCATGTGTACTGCATTTATGAAGAAGTGAAAAATATTTATTTCTAAATATATTTACAGATATATTTTGTAAATTTCATAATTTCATCTAAACTTACAATCCCTATGTTATTAAACAATGTTTGCACAATTATCGCATGTACATAGATCATAGCATAAGAATTATTATAAATGTAAACATTGAAATTGCAAACATTAATTCTGTTAAAAAAAAATTGAATTTTCTATTACAAGAAAATGAATAGTCAATGTTGAACTTCAAAATATTATTCATTTTTTAGAAATATATTTAATTAGAATACAGTCCTGAGCTATTGTAAATCTATTAATAGCACCTCGAAAATATAATAAAAAAATTCTATTATTAAAATTTCGTATATTAGTAAATATATTAAATATAATATTAAAATTTTAAATAATATTATTATCGAGAAATTGGGCTTAGACATTCTCTTGTTGATATTGCATCTGATTATGTTATAAAAAAGCAGCTTTTAATATTTTATTTGAAATTAGAATAAAAATATGCTATTTAATATTTAGTAACACACTTTTGTGTTCGCTTTAATAAAAGTTCCAATTCAAAGGTCTATCTGGATCGCTAATAATGAATCTTATGTAAGATATACAAAATTTTAAATAACGCTTGCAACATAAGAACTTCATTACACCCGGAAATTGAATTTCAACGGAAAATTAAAACCAATTACATTTTTACTACACATGAAGGTATGTTTAAACTTATTTATTTTACGTAGTTATAGTATTACGGTTTTAAGTTGTAGATAAATTTTGAATAAATTTCTATTTATTTCAATCTCTTTATATTATGTATAATTATATATATATATATATATATATATATATATAATCAGTCATTTTTAAAATCTATTAATGATAAAGAACGCAAATATTTAAGATAAACTTAGCAAAAAATTTTATCTAATATTAATAAATTGTAATATCTATTAGAATCAATTCTTATACAAATTTTTGTATTCATTGAAATAAATCTTTGACAGAATGAAAAGATTTTTATTATATTTATATTAATTAATGCATCAATGAAAACAAACTAATAAAATTTTAATACTCTTAATTTTGTTCTTAAAGTGTGTGTTATTCATAATGAAAAAGAATTAAATATAAATGAAGATAGATCATTAAATTATTATGTTTTTTTTCTTCAAGCTTTGTATTTTTAATCAATTAGAATTAAAGTCCTAAAAATTGATAAAATTCATAAATAAAGTAATGTTTATAACTAAAAAAAAAAATAATTAATTGAAATACCGTATTAATTTACATCTTATTTCAATGGATATAACAATAAGGAACCTTATTTGCAGGTGACTTAATAAAAACATATTCAACTTTCTAAGAGAAGAACTTCTGTAGATCTTGGGGTTTTCTTAGTCAACTATAAAAATAGGTACATTTTCATTTTTTCCTGAACATTTTTTATTAGAAAATTATATATAAAAGTATAAAGTTTTAATATAAGTAAATAATGAAGCTATTAGTTTAAAAATCTTAAAATGCACATCTAGATAATTATTAATAGTCTATAATACTATGCAAGAATATTAATGTTTTTGAATTTAAAAAATTTGAATGGTGTTTGTCAAGTAATTGACGATTACAAAAAAATTTATAAATTCAAGTAATATATAATTTCGAACAATAATTTTTTTATGACAACACAAAAACTTTTTGTCACAATGAATAACTTTACCGATATAAATTCTTGTTACCCATTACTTATATTCATTTATAGGGTTAAATTTTCATTCATTATCCTGTTTTATGTTAGTAAATATTTACTTTAAAAAATGTTGTTTAACAAAATATTAATTGTTCGTGAGTGAAATCGATAATCTTTTGACTGAATGAATTTCGATTTTTATTGGACATATACGTATTTTAACTCAATTTTAAATATACAAATTTAACAGGACCGGCACAAACTTATAAATACATATATACAATTGTATTATGTATAGTGCGCTTTGAACTCGAAATAATAAATTTTAATATTGCACTTTTATTTTCTATCTTTTATTGAATATCGAAAACAAAAAAATGTATCTGAATATTTAGAAATATAATACGTAGGCTAAAAGATTATCATTTTTTATTTGTGTTCTTTGGTAGATATAGCTAAAGAAATTTTGAAATATTATACTGATTTAATTGTACAGATTTTTAAAAAATTCATAGTATAGTCATATCATAGTATATTCATAGTCATATTCATAGTCTTATCAACGTCATCATCATTGCAATCATAATAATAATAATTATTATTAATGTTGTTGTTGCTGCTGCTGTTATTGTTGTTGTTATTGTTATTATTATTTGATATTAATGTTATAGAGACACGTATATTCCTGGGCATTGGATCACAGAGTTCATCATAAATATAGTGAAACTAATGCTGATCCTCACAATGCAAAAAGGGGCTTTTTCTTTTCACATGTGGGCTGGCTTTTTACAACACCGCATCCTGATGTTGTTATGAAACGTTTATCAACAGATATGAGTGATCTTGAGGCAGATCCTATAGTAATGTGGCAGAAAAGGTTAGTTAATAAATTTGACTAAAACAATTTCAAATTTGATAATTGATTTTGCAATTATTTTATGAAATAATTTGTATTTATTTTATAAAGTAAAGTTTGTTTTCTTTTATAATGAAATGATAGTATATTTATTATATTTAATCATTAAATCTTCTATTAAATTTCAAATAAATTAATAATAGAATTATTAATCTGTTTTTTTAGACTGTACATACCTTTATTTGCATTATTTGCCATTGGTTTGCCTGTGATCGTTCCTTGGTATTATTGGTCTGAATCATTCTGGGTATCATTTTGGGTGAATTTCAATTTTCGATTCTGTGTGACACTTAATATGGCTTTCTCCGTTAATAGCGTAGCGCATATGTGGGGACAACGACCATATGATAAGTGAGTATTGATTATTTCATAATTAATGTATAATCGATGAAAGGATAATAAATTATTAGATAAAATTAAATGTAATTATATTTTTAAATTAAATTTAATTATATCCTTTTTCAACTACATGGCTGGTATTATAAATGTTAAATTTATTTTTAATAAATTAAGGATACTCTAATAAAAAACCTTTTAAAAGTAAATTTTTTAAATTAAAAATAATGTAATTAAAAATATATTTAAGTATAATTTTAAATGCTAAATTATACAATAAAAATGCCAATTATATGAAAATGAATGAATGAATGATTTTATGAATTATATTATTGAATATATTAAGATTGAAATCATTTTTAGAACAATATCGCCAGTAGATAATATGACAGTTTCGATAGCAGCATTTGGCGAAGGCTGGCATAACTATCATCACGTCTTCCCTTGGGATTACAAAACCGGGGAGTTTGGTAATTACTCTTTTAACATAACAACTGGCTTTATCGACGTCTTCGCTTACCTTGGGTGGGCCTATGATCGTAAGTCTGTTTCGCCGGAGATGATTAAATGCCGAGCAAATCGTTGTGGCGATGGTACATACGTTCAGAAATTTTGTAACAAATAATGATCACTAATTTACTAAAGAAAAATCCTAATAACTGAATAATTTAGATCTAGAAACTTAAAACACGATATATAAAATTTTTAGATTTATAATAATTTTGAAATTTATTAAAAATCCTTAAAATATATACATTTTACGAAAATGATACAATTCTTAATTCTTAATTTTTTTAATATCAACCAAATGTATTAAAAGCTAATACAAATTCTAATATCAATACAAAAATTATTTTTTAATATATTATTAAAAATGCTACCATTATAAAAATTGAAGGAAAATTAATTTTTTTTATATATCTTTAAATTGTAAGAAACTAAAATATTGTTAGAAGTTAATTTTCAAATTTATTTTGCAAATATCTTAAGTTAAAATAAAATTGCCGGTAAAGAACAAAAACATATTCTATATAAAGATTAAAAGTAAATTAACTAGCAATTTTTGCTCTTATAATGAAATGGTATACTTTCATTAATATTATTTTTTAAAATGTAATATATGAAGAAGTATTAATATAAGTATTAATATTATTATATTCATAAGCAATTTTGATGTGTTGTACATGCTTTATAAAATACTTACACTATCAATAAAATAGTTTTCTTTTGTTTTACATTAATTTCACAATAATTTATATGTTATTATATTTAGATATTGATAGAGTACGTTAAGAATTTGTTATTATAATTTTTTATTATATGCATGAATTAATAAAAAATAATATATAATAATAATAGATTACAATATGAATATATGTTTGATAATTTAGATCATTATGAATGAGTGTTAACGTACTAAACTCAGATTCCCTTCGGACCAACTAGAATAATGTTTAGTTACCGATAGAATCGTGTAAAAATTATTGATTATTTTTTTGGTCTTTCTGACCATGTCAGATGTGTGTATATCATGGTTCATGTGTGTATATCGACTTATGAAATATTCTACATATATTAAGTATATATTTTTGTAATTGAATATCGTTGACTTTAAAAATAAATAAAAAATATTAACATTCTATCGAGAAGAATAGTTTAAAATGGATAATATTAGTAAAAACCATTAATTTAAAAAATATATTTTTTATATTAATTTGGATAATTTTATATATTAAAAATGACATTATGATAATAATAATATTAAATAAAAAATAAATAGATATTTTCTTGAAAGATGTTGATCTACTTTATTCTTTTTATTATAAATGGAACCAAAAAGAATAAATAAAATGGTTAAACAATAAGTTGTACTTTATTTCATTTATTTACCATATTATTATAGTATACAAAATAATGTTGTAGGAGAGAATTATTAGAGTTAAAAAAAAAAATTACTAAAAGATCCCGTCAAGAAATACGATAGCCCATTTTCTAAATTAATACAATTAGAGAAAATAAATTGGTTATGATAAAGTTATATAAATAGAAGATTGTTGGACAATAAGACAATATATTTCGTTGTCCAAATATAAATAATATAAGGTAAGTTAAAAAGACAAAGCAAAAACGTATTAATGTCCTATTGAAAAAATGTGTGTATATATGTGAAGTTTCAAAAATTATATATACATATTGAATATTTGGGGCATTTTAGAATAAAATGTATCAAACTAATTGCGAAATAAGAAAACAGTAGAGAAAAATGAGAATCCTTATTAATAACCATCTGAGCATTATAATTAAACGTCCATACGATAAAGTAATAAATACCTGACTAATATAAAACGATATACCAAAAATGCCAAAAAAAGTAAAAAATTAGAATTACACAAAACAATATATGTAAATAAGTTAATTCTGAGTTTTTTGTGGCATAAGTATATACAATATGATGTGATTATTTAAAAAATTAATTAACTGTAATAAAAGTTTATAAAAATTGAGTTTCTAAAATACATGATAAGAAATAATTAACGACAAATGACTAAAGAACGGAAGCTGATTATATTAATTATTACGCCAAAATGAACAAAGTACGGAAGCTAAATTAACGCGATTGATATGTTGAACATACTATTAATTAATTATCGTAATTATCTGTTCACATATATTTTTCAATTAAATTTACTAGTGGGAACAGTGAGAAAAACTGTGCATTAATACAATACGTAGAATTAAGTAAAAAGGAAAAAGTATGCGATGATAAGAGCGTATATGAAAATAAAGAATTTTCAAATTAAAAAAAAAAAAAAAAATAGATCAGTGTAGGAAGAATGTCATGAAGCAACAAAATTATATGACAGATTGAAACAATGGTGAAATAAAAAGATACCTTTATTAGAAATGTTATTAAAAAACATTATAATTTGCGCTTCAAACGTTCAAATGACTTTAATTAATATTTAAAATAGTATTTAAAATATGTATTTCTCACTATTTCAAATGTACACCAATTTATAGTTTTCATGCCATTCTCGTTATATTTACATAAATAGGAGTAATTGAAAACAAGTTTAAAGTATAATTATATTAAATAGTCTTCGATTATAAATGAGATAGTAACTCAAAGTAATAAGAAAAATATTTAAATATATTCAATTATATAATTTATATACATGTCCCATTTATTAATATATATTTTATATTTTATTATGTAATTTATGCATCAGTACGATTCTTACGAACTGAAAAATATATGAACATTACAATTATTGAATATATATAAGAACTATAATCGGTATTCAAAAGAATACCGATTTCTATACTATATTTCTTCACTGTCTTTTGATATCAAGTTGGAATTAAAATAAATATTACAACCAAAAAATTTTTTAATAATATCGTTGATCTATAATTATTAACAAATATTCACTATTATTACTTTACGAATAATTTAATTACTGCAATATATATGTATATAACTGATGGAGTATTTGTATACAAAACTACTACTCCAAGCTAAGGTTAATGTTTCATAATAATTCTTTATTATTATAAAGTTTTAGGTATATTAATGTTTTATGTTAATAATTATGTAGTATCTATTTCAGGTATTTTATAAATTTTTTCACACATTAGAATTATAATATTTTACCAATGACAATCTACCACTAGATGAAAAAAATATACCTTCTATTCGTATATCACTACTGTTAAGCATTTTTCACTGGTTAAAAAATTGTTAAAAAATCAATAATATACAATATATTTGGTTTATTCAGTATATTTCATTAGTTTCCCATTTCCAGTAATTGCAAGACCGCATTTAAACTTACATCTGAAAATATTACCTTAAATGTCATTGTAAGCAAAGAATTATCTTACCTTAAAAGTCTGCAATAACTAATTAAAATATTTAGGTAAATATTTAGGTAAATATTTAGGTATTTAATTAATCGACAGGCATCTGTTCTATTATTATCTTTATAGCAATTAATAATAAAAAATATTCTAAACTCTTATATAAAATACTTTAATCTTTCATCTCTTATTTTAATCAATGCAGTAAAAATATATAAATTATAAATACAACATATTAATACTAAAGTGAAAAATTAATTTATTTAATGACGAAAACGCAATTTTGCTTTGATCGCTTCTTCATTTGCAATTTTCTTCACTGATTCTAAGGATTCAGTAACGTCTAATTTTTTACTTGCTGCTTCGTATAATGCATCACGAATAGATTCGTTGGATGCTGTTTTCAAAAAATTAACAAGTCCTAGATTTTTCCACATTTTGATAATGAAAGTGCTACAACCGCGGTCATATGTGCCAAATTCAGTGCATTTGTAATCCCAAGGGAGAAGGTAATGGTAATTAGGCCAATAGGACTTATTTAATAGAAAACTCGTATTATCTTCAATATGAAATCTAAAATGGAAAAAATATAAATATTATTTATATTACATGAAATATAATAAAATTAATTAAATTTATCGCTATTTAAATTTTCTTATTTAAATAACTGTCTACAATTATTTCAATGTGCAACAAGTTATTTTCTATGATAAAATTAAAAAATTTAATTAAATTTTTTAATTGATATAGTAATTTTGTATTACTTCAATAGTATTGAAAAAAATGTATTTAATGGTAGTTTGCAAAACAAAAACAAAAATATTAATTCTACTATATAAGAATATGAAATTTGTTTTTCAATTACTTTTAGCAGAAATAATTAATTGTCTATTCCATATTTTGCGATAAAAAATCATTAAAATTATCATTGTGATATGAGTATTTCTTTAATACTTAAATATATTTGTTATTATTATTATTTAATGTGTTTACAAATAACATACTAATAATACATTAAAATGAATTTATTTGAAAACTATTTTCAATGTGTAAAAATATACGTGTATTGATATTTAATATTAAAGAACATTTTATTTTATTCAAAAATCAATATAATCATCTGATTAATTATTGAGTACGTAAACCATTGTTATTTATTATTACAGTACTGTGACTTTTTGGTAATTTAAAAAACAGATAATACAGTAAACGAAAAATATTAGAAAAAATTATTAACTTGTCTTCGGGTTGTGATCCCCAAATGAGCAGTGCACTATTAACTAGCCAAGAAAAGTTTGTCGTTACAGCAAGTCGAAAGAAGCCCAAAATGAATACAGAATTCTTGATTGACTCATTCCAGTATTCAACCGGTGCATTAATTATAAAAAGTAGGCCTACGATTGGAAATAGCAGCCAATAAAACCTATAGATAAAATTGGAATTAATGTTTTTAAATTGTAAATTAATTTTTATTTTCATTATAATAAAGCATTTGTATAATTTTTTTATTGTAAAATTTTAAACTTTCATATTCTTTCCAGTCGTTGTCTAATATATAATGGTACATCTAGTTTATAAAACTCTAAATACTATTTTCTCATTGATCTTATTGATCATTGAAACGAAGTATACTAGATAAATTATATATTTAAATTAGCTATATATATATAAACATAAATGTATCATATAATATAATATAAGAAAAATTTCATGATATATTATATACGAAATAATCTAGTATTAAAAAATTAATAATTATATAATTTTACCATCGTTGAATCCAAACGTAGCCATCAGAATCAACGTCACACATATCGATATCTTTATCTAATTTTTCCTTATGTGGATGTGCAGCAAGAACATTACTCACAAGATGACTATAATAAAAACCTTTTTTGTGATTATATGGGTCTCTTTCGGTTCCATAATACTTGTGATGAGTTCTGTGCTTAAGAACCCAGTCATAAATATTACCCTATAAAAAGTTATTTATAAATTTATAAATACATATATGTGTGTATATATTTATATATATATATATATATATATATATATATATATATATAAATAATTAGTGATTATTTCCTAATAAAAAATTTGTGTACTCTAAAACATTAACTATATCAGTTATAATACATTTTATTGTATTAATTAAGACATATCACGTTTAAAAAAGTTGACAATTACCACTATATATCTTGTTTTATAATATAGCAAAAAATTATTGCATATTTTAAAATGATTGTATTTGTCATGTATTTGTTAAGTGCAGAGTTAATATTACAATACGCTATGCAGACAAAGCTAATTTACTTAAAAGTACAGCTTTCTATGAGCATTTAAACATTTGCTTAAACAGTTACAAATATTTAATTGAAAATTTTATTCATAAAAAAGTAAAATCTATTTTATATTTATAGCATAAAAAAATCTATAAAATAGAATAGGCAAGAAGATCCATAGAATAGTTGTTATGTGAATTTAAACCTTTCTATCGCTTATTAGCATTTAGAAACCGTTGATATATATAAAACTTAATTGAAAATTTCTAAAACATTCTAAGTAGAATAAAATTTCCCCTCTCACTACTCTTACATAGTGTTAATTTAAAAATAAAATATAATAATACTCCAAAGCCTTCGTTATAGTACATAGTAGTAATAATAGAAGCTAGTCTTTCCGCGTCAAATTTTGTATACTATATAATTTTATAGTTTTTACATAGTTTTTATATACTATATAAAAAATACTTACGACACCAGCTATTGTGTGTGATATTACAAGGAGACCTCTAACGAATCCTGATGCCTCAAAAGCATTGTGAGCCCATAAACGATGAGCACCAATTGTAATACCAAGAGTTGCGAATGAAATTATAAAAAATGCTAAGAAAATAAATAAAATGACCAAAATATGTTTAGTATTCATGCTTATTTTAAATTTCGAATATTAGAATATATTGTTTAAAAAAAACAACATTCTTTTCATATAAGTCTATGCAATGATGTTTAAAGAAATAGTTATAAATAACTTCTGAATTTGCGAGAAATTTAGTTTAAAATAAAAAAATTATTTTAAACAAAATAATCAAATGAAAATACTTTTAAAATAATGAAATATAAGTGTTTTACGTATGAAACTATCTTATTTTCTAAATAAGCTAACGTAATTTTTCTCTTTTTTATAATAATCTTTATTTATTTGTTTTCATTCATTTTTTAGATAATTGTTTTATTATTTAAGAAATATTATTTTGAATAATATTGATGAAGATTATAAATCCTTATAAAGAATTATATATCCATAAAATTAATTTTAAATAAATAAATCCATATTTCTTATAAAAAATTTTATTTCCATCCATCTTTAATTTAAAACTTTATCATTAAAAATTTTATCATTATTAATAAAGAGAAATAACTTTGGTCACATAATCAATAAAGATTAATTATAATTATGTTGCCTTTATTTTTTGTACCTCAAATACAAATTTTATATTATACATTAACTTAGTATACTGCTGTGGTATAATATTTATTTATATAGTATCATATTACACGTACACATACACGTATTTAAATAATTACAATGTAATTAGTGTTCGAATTGTAATTGATTTTATATTGGTAATATTTAATCAATTTATTTGAATAACATTGAATAACAGTTTGTGACAATGAAGATATAATAGTAAACGAACTTATACTAATTTATCAGAATTCATTTTCATTTCCTATTTACTATAAATTCAATAGAAATAAAATTATTATTATTATTAGAACAGTATGTCATTATGTTGACTGTATAATTAAAAATTTACTTCTATATGCATATAATAATGCTGTAACAGATTCACTATATGATCAGATTAAATTTTTAAATAATTATAACTAATAATTTCTTTAAAGATAATCGTAAGAAATTATATATTAGATATTTAAATTCGAAATGATGTTTTTTTAATTAAAATATACGCAATGTGTATATTGAAATGAAAATGTTGGTTGAACTACATTTTTCTTCTATATTAAATTTGTTGTTTCCAAGTACGTACTATAGTGATTTATTCTACAATATGAATTATTATCATTGCACTTTAGAGAATTTTTTTTAAATTTTCGTTTAATGTTTTCCAATCAATTGTAAAGCATACATCTGTTGCTTTTTATTAAAAATTCTCATTAAAGTACGATTTATTTTAATATTCTACTCAATTTATTAAAAAATATTTAAAAATAATATTAGTTGGAATTTTCGACGTTGCGAAAAAAAAATTGTTAAAAAATTCACAAATTGAATTTAGTTGCTATAATAACTATTTATATAAAGCTTTCGTTGAAAATATTGATACTTGATTATAATTATTTTAACAAATATATAAAACTGTTATGAAAAATTTCCTTACTGAAAAATACAGTCATCCATTTCGCTTCGGTCAATAGCAGCATCAATCCATAAAGTCCAAAAGCATGAAGATGTATATAATATAATACAGTTGGCCAATGTATTTGTCTCTTATAAATTTCAGTACACTCAGTTGACATTTTTATTTTTATTTCTTGATTTTTTGATGAATTTGATAACGTGTAACTCCTAATAATGCAATATTTTCTCCTTAACACAATAAAAAAAATTTCGATGACTACAATGTAATTTTTATTCAATTAGTAAAAAAGAGAAATGTAAGAAAGAATTGTAAATAGATAAAATTAGCCATTGTCTTATTAGTTGGTAAAGAATCGTACCTTCGAGTGTTAAGTAATAATCGACTTAGATTCAGAAATCGACTGAGTGGAAGAACTATGTTACACAGTGGTAATCACAAAAACGCTTCAATTGACCTCAGGGACCTTAACTTCAGAATCTTATTAACGCCAACGACGTACTTTTACATTGTCATTTCCTCTTTGGGTATATGATATTCTAATAATGATGACAAAACAACGCTAACGAAAGCCTATCTATTATTCTGCTGTTCAAATCATTCAAGGTAAAAATTTTTACATATTTTTTCATTATTTAAAAAAAAATTCAATTAATAGATGGTATAACAAATATAAAATTACCTATATTATTTGTATTACGAAAATTAGTACATCAAATTCTCATATTACTGTTATTAATATATTGTAACTTATAATATTATAATTATTATAATTAAAATTTAGATGTTTATAATTATAGTTATATATATGAATAATTTATATGATTATACTTACACTCGATTAGAAGTTTTTTCAATATTTCAAATTCACAATTGAAATTCATGGTAAAAAAAAAAATAATACACTTTAAGAAGAAACAAACTATTACAAGATACTTTAATTAAATCATTAATTGTATTTACTTTAAATCGAGGCAATGTTATAACATTTTAATAAAGTAAATGTATAATAATCTTCTAATTTATGTTTTAACATATAATTATTAATTATTGCCTATTAATAACATTATGAGTTTTTTGTTTATAGTGTTATCTATTTCTAATATAATGTACAGTGTTTATTTACGTGTTGAAAAATATCGTAGCTTGATTGACAACTTAATCATACGAAATCTTTTACTTTAATATAAAACAATTTGTTCCTTTCCTAAATATCTACTAAAAATGCAAAACATTTAATCAATAAATATAAATCATTTTAATACTTAATAAATACAAACTGTATTATTTTATAGATAATTCAGTTTATAAATTTATAAATTATAAAAACAGCTTAAGTTTATTTTTCATTGACTATTATTATATTATATAATGATCAAACTAATGGATAATTAATTTTTTTATTTTTTTATTTACACTTTTAATTCGGTTGACTAAACAAATGTGTATTTCAATTTAAGCTTTATATACGGTTTAGACGAACTTTCTGTTTCTTAAATATATTTCTTATTTATGTTTAATAAATACTTATGGTAAATGATTTTAATAAAAATAATTTTGGAACTTTCGAACTGTTCTTTTTGTACGAAAAATGTTAATTTTATTACCGTGGTTAATAGTCAATACTTATATAAAAAAAAAGTTAAACTATACGTTAATGCTATCATATATAGAATCTGATTTTATCTAAGTTTTATATATTTCCATAAGGCAATACTTCTACCATCACTAATCTAAGAAACTGTTTTATAATTTTAAATTCAAATCGTTTGACATTCTTGTTCACTTATGGGACTCTGATCATGTATAAATATATGCTTTTACAATCTAATTTTAGTTCTAAATACAACTGCTTTAATGTTTTTCTTTTTTACCCGTTATTCGAAAAATCATTTTAACAGTGAAGATAACTAAATTTTATTATGTCATACTACAATATTCCTATATCAGACACGGGTAATTAAACTTATTCCTGCATTTTAGAATAAAATTACAAAAGAAACTAATATTAAAGATGTGAAATTTTTAAAAAATATTACAAATAAATAATTTATGATTTTCATTAAATAGAGCAAAGTATTTTAGCAAGTCGAAATGAAATCTATAATATATGACTGACTATAATAGGCGCTATTTAGTTATACGTAGATTAAAATTTACCAGAAAACAAAATTAATGATTTCTTTGATATGCTTCTATTATATTATTTACAAACTTTTTTTTTTTGTACTGTATTATACCAATTATAAACTTTTATCGCCGTAAATTAAATTGCTTATAATATTTTATTGTACCGCATTGTACTGTCTATAAACTTTTATTGAACTGTATTATACTGTTTAAAAATATATTTGTATCTAATTAAATAAATTATTTCAAAGAAATTGTGATCCTTCTTTAATTTGGCGAATTCAGCGTGACCTACTATTTAAATTCTAAATAAATATCAAACTTATGTTTATTTATGTTTCTTATCATGTTATTTAAAAATAACATAAGTACTACGCGTAAAAAAATGAATAGTTATATTATTAATTTATTTGACGCATTAAGTGAACAATATAATACTCATATTCATATATGCGCAATTACAATTTCTATATTCTTCACTATGCATTTTTATTGTCTTAAAAAATTACAAATGTAAATCCTGATCAATTAGTATGAAGCTATTTTGATGTATTACTCGATAAGACTTTATAATTATATTACATTGACTGAAATAATACAAACGCTGATGTATAATAAACTCGTATTAACAAAGTTAAAGTTTATATTGTAGCTTTGTTATATAACAAAAAACTGGTCAAGAATTTATGATAATTTATATTGAATTGTGCACCTTATTTTATAATCATACACATAAAGAATTAAATATTTTATAAACAAATAACTTATAGTATTTATTTCGTTAATATAATAATATTATTAATATTTAAAATATTAAGACGGTATAATCCAGTTTTTTATAATTAATGTCATTAAACAAACATTAATGAAATATCACTTTTACCAAACTTTCAATAAATTTGGATAAATTAAAAATTACTTAAATTGACTTCTTTATTTATTGTTAACGTATCTTGTAATCATTGATTTATCGCTATTTTATAAATTTTATAAAACGAATCAAAACAATCTGTAGAATTCTTCATTCATAAAAATTAGGATTACAATGTCTATTTTATCATTCTATGAATGTAATATATATTATTTATAGTATTATCATTATTAGTATTATTTATAGTATATTACCTATAATATATTCTACATTTTCTTACAGATAAAACTACAATTGCAAAATGCTTTATGTAGCACATATAAATAAAGTTAGTTTAGAAGGTTAAAAAACAAACACTTTGAAAAATAATAATTATAAAAATTTAATTCGAAACAATAGATTTTTTAAAATGCATATTACTTGCACAATATCGTTTTAGTTTTATATTTTTATTGATGAATAGATAATATAATAAAATAATTTAGTGCTAAGGTTATTAAAATTCAAAGGGAAAGATAATCATAATTCTTAATTTATGATGGCACAACAAATTTATAAACTTGTGTTACCGATTCAAATACTCTTTATATTAAATTCTAAATATATTTATTTCAAGCATAATTATTATTACACTGTGTCATTATATTTACATTTATTAATGTACTTTAATTTTAAAGTTAATATTTAAGTATAAGTAATAAGCATTTCATAAAATAAACATAATATGAATATGGAAATTTGAAAAAAAGATTTTTTACCCTTGATTTATTTAAACGACAATCTTTTGCAATGCCTTAAATTTATCAAATTCATATTTAAATATTTTGTATATTTTTATGTCAAATGAAATATGTGTTATTTTTTTAAATCCTAATAATTGCACGTCAAATCTTATTTATATCATTATCTAACAGAAGCATTTTTCTCTGACATTTGAGCTTTGTAGCTTATACATATATATATATATATATATATATATATATCGGGATAAAGCCTACTATTCATATAAAAACATCGTCTTGCACATGCGCAACACGAGCCTCGGATCACCGTTATAACTGTATTGCTCTCGATAAGGTAGTAGTGCATAAAACCTTTTGGCCATTCAACCATCAACAATTATACCATATATTGTCAATTTAATACTAAATTCATTAGTATACTTTGCATGTCGCCTACTTTGAAAATTATTATCTAATATATTCGTACATACTGATAATCTCAGTTTTTTAATTATAATAGATAGTTTGAAATAAGGAAAGAATATTATTACAGATTATACAGAGTGGAAATTAATCAGACATTGGTAAATTAATAATGTATTGATAATGTAATCATAATGTATGATTAATTGTATAAATTATAATAATGCTTCATTGATAGCTTAGGATATAAAGTTAATTATAAATGTTTAACATATACAGTATGATATAAGCATAATAATAATAATAATGTTTGACGCGTTACATATGATAAATAATTTAATAATATTGAATACGTAATGTATGGTATAACTAAAATTAATTCTAAAATATTATATGAAACAAAAATTTTCGATTCATCAAGATATAATATTGATTGTCTATAATATTGAACATAAATCACTTATTATAATTACATCTGGGTGAAATAAACATTAAGTCTTTTCGATTTATTTTTTCGTATAAATGTAAAATTTCTTTTAATTAATTACATATCACATATGCAAAAAGAAGACAATTCTATCGAAGCGTGGGAATAATTTATAATTATTTTATTAGATAAACAGTAAAAATGTCTTCATACTCTACGCGTTATTGTCAATCACTCTCTTTCAACAACTATTAGGTATTGACAATACTGTTTAATAATAAAGCTTAAAATACATAAAGACAATATGTTCAAAGATAGTAATAATGGAATAATAGAAATGCGTTATCTCGTTTTGCAGTGGGCATAATATTTCAATTATCTCAAGCTTTAAAACTAAAATTAATTTCATTATGTTACAACTGTTGTGCTCAATAATTCTTAAAATTACGAAAAACCTCGTAATGCAATCTTAAGATTGAAAATATGCAGGAGAATTCAAATTCTTATAAAATCAGATCGAAAGAAATATCATGAGATCATTTGTGCAATATTTGACATTAACTTCTTTGGAATGTACTGCAATGCCAAGGGAATAGAATGTAGCATACCATTCTGGGCCCACGACACCATTTTAGTCCTTACTCAGGCTCCATTCACCGAACAAACCCGACTGTATCCGAATACATTGATACAGGTGCGTTCGGAAATTCTTTTACTAGTAAAACATTCACCAAAGCGCTGGTGAGTAGTATGAGCGCACTCTTCTCTACTATCCCTTCATCATCCGATTTAACACATTAATTTCTAATTTTTAATTATGCAACTACGTGCCTATATTTGTGTTTCATTATCATTAAATTTGTCTCTTACGATAAAAGATAATTGATCATATTTTTTTTTTTTAACTAATTCTTACTTTACAAGTGAATTAAGTGCGCGTTTGTTTTCTGATTGATATCGTGTATTACTTTTTCTACTTTGTTGAAAA